ATTGAAGTTGAGTTTAAAGTTAATTAACAATAAAAATACATTGTTTATGATGCTAAGTAAAGTTAAGATTAAGTTGATTCTGGTTTCGATGAATTATTTGCTTCTCGTATGAAACTGAGAGTGATGGCCGTTAGAGGTAAAACGGCTGAAAAGAAGGACAAGATTGAATTACGATTGAGATTGAACATGTCGGCCAGAGTGTACGGAATGAAAGGCCTTGAGCCCAATTCTTGGCTCAACTTGATGTACTCCAGTTTAACCTCAACCGGATCATCCAAACATGGAGCCAAATGATCACCAATGTAGAAGGTTATATCAGACTCGAAATTGGTAACGTAATCAACTAAAATTGTGGCCGTAAACAGACAAACCATTCGGGTTAAGTAGACGAACCAAGAGTCATTCAGAAAGTGAGCAGTTTCGGTTGATGCTGGGTGAAAAACGGAAATCAGGATCAAACAGGTGATGATGAATGCTTCAATGTACCAAATGAATGACCACCAGTTGATTGTTTCATCGAGAAATCTTTTGATTGCTTGATAGCGAGACCGATCACCTCGTAATGTACTTATTTCATGGGTTGACGGTCGATGGGAATTGCTCATGGTTTTGATTACCTTGTCTTTAAAGTTTACACAGATTTGGTGTAAGAAGTAGACAGCGGCAATGTAAAGGTAGATCGAGAAAAATAAGAGTCCATCTGATAGCCAAATGGAGTGGATGGACAGGAATAGACTTCCCAAGATGGACGGTTTATCGACTGCATCAGGCCAATGGAAATCAATTAATAGTTTCAATGTTCGGATGGCATTGACAATCAGGTAAACAGTGATTATTACTGAACGTACTTTATTTACATTCCAGGTTTGATCTGGAGTTATAATGGTTTGGTTTGAAGCAATCAACTGGTTGTATCCAACAATAGTCATCTTCATTGCAACCAACAGACCAATGTAAGTTACTTCACGAAGGGTTACCAGCATATTTACACTGTTTATTTTAACTGTTTGGTTATAGTTGATATTGATTATGTTGATTAAAGCCAGTGATATATTAACTAAGAAAATTAAACTTTTGATCGATGATCCATTGGATTCACTTTTCCTTTCCACTTCTGTGTTGAGTCCATTTGCTGAGAGAAATGCTTTTTCAGCCGAAGACAAATCGATTGTTTTGATCACTCTTTTCAGGTTAAATTTCATTTCAACTTTCTCTATAAATTGCTCATTTCTATGCAATTAAATACTTTAAATTAACTGTTATCAACCTTTTTTCACCATTCGGACCTTTTTGAGACTCGATTCTTGTTATTTCTTAAATTGTTATTATAAAGGTATGAATGTCATGGAAACAACTTGCAATAAAAATTGAGTGAATTCAATTTGAAAACAATCAGATTGAAAATGAGCAAAATACCAAAAAATGGAGCCACTAGCTTTTGTCACATTCAAAAAACTTCATTGGCAGTAAAGTTACATCAAAATACAAAATGAATTGAAATTTTCATCTGATATTAGATCTGGTCAAGTTAAACCTGTGAATTCCTTCATGAGCTGTAGAAAGTTAAAGTTAAATGTTAAAGTAACTAAAAATCTCTAACGATAAGCATTAAAAAGGGACTGCAAAGTTGTTTCAGAAAGATGTTGGTAAAAGAGACACAATTAACAAATGTAAATTGACAAATTGATACAAATGGCCAAAATCAATTACTTTCCGATTTCGACTAATGTTGGTTTGTAGGGGCATATAAAATGAATCTGTTCGCGAATTTAAAGATTTCTCTGATCGATGGTTCTCGAATAAATCGTGTTCGAAGTTGAAACTTGAAAAGCTTTTTGTACAATTATGACAGCAGATTTTTTCATTAAACTCATTGTAATGATGTACCTTTTGATAATAAACCATGAAATGTATTCATTTTTAGAAATAAAATTTTTCTTTTTCTGTAAAACGGATTAGTTCGACTTTCACTTGAACCGATCCCAATCAATTCCCATAATAGTTAACGAGCTCAAACTTATTATTTGTCCATAAAAATGGTTGTAGCACATTACGGATTGAATAATTTTTTCAATCAATCAGTAGTTCTCTTAATTTTGGCCATTGGCCTTAAAACTTTGAGCCTCGATATTTCGAGAATGGCATCATCTACAATTATTCTTCTTTCACCAAATTAATGCTTAACTAGTAAATAATGCAATTCAATTGAATTACTTTCCATAAGCCCATTTGGGTTACGATTTTTGGGCTGTAAATGTACTAGAAATAACTTATTCAACACAAAAAACTCATATAAACACATATCTTGCTTGCTAAACCACTTTTCTGGTTAAACTCAAAAGTTAGATACAAAGAATGCTGCTAAAGGCTGGAACATTTGATTTTCGATTTGAGACTTAGTGAAGTTTGTAGGGAAATGAAAACTGAGTTCATTGGTACTATTAAATAATTCATACGATGAACAGTTTTCTAGAAAATCGAAGTCAAAGTTTAAACTTCGAACGTGTTTTGTGCAGCTATGGAAGCTAATTTTTTCATGAAAATCTGTACAACTGATTTATCTTTTGATGATGAACCAGAAAATGTATTTAATTTGAGAAATAAAACTTTCGGTTTCCTGTAAAGCATATAAGTTCGATTTGCATTTAAACTGATCTTCTGCTGCGACGGATTCATTTAGAGGCCTGCAGCTCATAATTTGTCAATAAAAATTGATTGTGCACATCATGGATTAAATACTTTTTTCAATCCAACCACAGTTCTCTTGATTTTGGCCATTGTCCGAAAAATTTCGTGCCTCAATATTTCAAGAATGGTATAACTTAAGATCATTATTTTTTCTCGAAACATTAGATCTCACTATGGGCTATAACATTATGTGACTGAATATCAAATAAAATCTAAGTTAATTCATCTAATACTGAAGATACTTTTACCGCTCAAGATTTGTGTTTAGGTTTATAAACCAAGTTGCAAGTCTGACAACATAAGTAATTAAAGGCTATAACTTCTTTGCGACAGATCTTAAATGGTTTAATATTACAATATATTGTAGCCCATAGTTTGATCTAATGAATCGAGAAATAATAATGGTTGTAGGTGATACCAGTCTCGAAATATCGAGGCTCAAAGTTTTAAGGCCAATGGCCAAAATTAAGAGAACTGCTGATTATTTGAAAAAAGTGTTAGGTCGTTGATGTGTACCAACAAATATTATGATTAAATACTAAGTTTCAGCTCCTGCACTATGGCGGTCGGTGATTGTCGTCGGTTTAAATAAAATTTACACTTGACCTGTTTTGGAAAAAAAGAAAATGTTATTTGTCAAAATAAGACTATTTTCTGGTTCATCATCAAAAGATAAATCAGTTGTACAGATTTTCATGAAAAAATTAGCTTCCATAGCTGCACAAAACACGTTCGAAGTTTAAACTTTGACTTCGATTTTCTAGAAAACTGTTCATCGTATGAATTATTTAATAGTACCAATGAACTCAGTTTTCATTTCCCTACAAACTTCACTAAGTCTCAAATCGAAAATCAAATGTTCCAGCCTTTAGCAGCATTCTTTGTATCTAACTTTTGAGTTTAACCAGAAAAGTGGTTTAGCAAGCAAGATATGTGTTTATATGAGTTTTTTGTGTTGAATAAGTTATTTCTAGTACATTTACAGCCCAAAAATCGTAACCCAAATGGGCTTATGGAAAGTAATTCAATTGAATTGCATTATTACTAGTTAAGCATTAATTTGGTGAAAGAAGAATAATTGTAGATGATGCCATTCTCGAAATATCGAGGCTCAAAGTTTTAAGGCCAATGGCCAAAATTAAGAGAACTACTGATTGATTGAAAAAATCATTCAATCCGTAATGTGCTACAACCATTTTTATGGACAAATAATAAGTTTGAGCTCGTTAACTATTATGGGAATTGATTGGGATCGGTTCAAGTGAAAGTCGAACTAATCCGTTTTACAGAAAAAGAAAAATTTTATTTCTAAAAATGAATACATTTCATGGTTTATTATCAAAAGCCACATTAGTACTATAAGTTTCATGAAAAAATCTGCTGTCATAATTGTTCAAAAAGCTTTTCAAGTTTCAATTTCGAGCTCGATTTTCTCGAGGGCCATCGATCAGAGAAACTTTTAAATTGCACAAATGGACTCAATTTTTATTTCTCTACAAACGTAACTGAGTGCAAATTGACAATCAAATAATTTGTACCCGTTATTGTCATTTTTCTTTCAGTATTTGTGTCAATTTATGCATAAATGTGACAATTGTATTTATTGTGTCTTTTTCTAACAATTGTCTTTTTATATTTCGGTTGACATTGCAAATATAATAATAAAGAAAATATATTTTCATTTTTCATTAATTTGTTAACTGCGTCTTTTTGAGTAACTACCCTCTAAAGCAACTTCGTAGTCCGCTTCGTATGCGTATCGTTAGTGATTTCAGTTACTTTAAAACAGATCAGTTCGTATTAATAAATGAAGGAATATACAATTTAAAGTTTATCTGGATAGCATTTTAATATCAAATGAAAATTTCAATGCATTCTCATTTTGATGTAGCTTTTGTTGATTCTAAATCTTTATTGCAAGTTTTTCATGACATTCATACCTTTATAACAATTTAAGAAGTAACAAGAATCGATTCTCAAAAAGGCCCGAATGGTGAAAAAAGGTTGATAACAGAAAATTTATTTAATTTTATAGAAATGAAGATTTATTCAAGATATATTTGGTCAAAACATAGCTATTCATAGAGAAAGTTACATGAAATTAAATTAAATTTGAAAAGAGTGATTAAAACAATCGATTTGTCTTCAACTGAAAAGCATTTCTATCGCAAATGGACTCGATGAGCGGGAATGCTAATTTTGTTCAGTTGAATTCCGCCATTTTCAAATAAATTGCGTTAGATCAAGATTTTGTCAAGATTTCATAATCTCTAACTATTTTCCTATGGTAATTATCAGTACTTCTTGAGTGTCATGTGAAAACTAAGCAAACACGGTTTACAAAAGTATTTGAATGACAATTGGGTTTAGGCTAACAATTGTAAGAGTTTCAACAACGGTAAATCTTGTAAGCTTTCGACATTTTATCTTCATCTTATTGAAAAATCCTTTGAAACTAAAAATATAATCTTAAAGCTGTATTTTATAATAAATTGTGATGACATTAATTGTTGGCTTGGATATTGGTTCTTCTTCTTGTAAATCTTGCTTAGTACGGGTTAATAGTTTGCCATCATCATCATCATCCTCGATTGCATATACAATTGAGTCCACATCCGTGATTAACTATGAAATCTTGAAGATTAAGAATGACGACTCGACCAGATGGGAGGTACCAATCAATGTGATTCTAGATGCCATCCAACAATCAGTGAAAGGACTAAAGCTGAATCAACAAAGTTCACCTGTTGAAGCTATAGCCATTACTGGGCAAATGCATGGTTGTATCCTTTGGGCAAACAGTCCTTGGATTTATGATGAAACTAGACATGTGTATTCGGTTAAAAGTAATTCCATTAGCAATTTATATTCATGGCAAGATCAAAGATGTGATTCACAATTCATCTCTTCCCTGCCAAAGAGTAAAAGTCCTTTAGCAACTGGTTTCGGTTCAGCCACAATATTTTGGCTTCAAAAATTTCAGCCACAATATTTATCACAATTTAATCACACTGGCACAATAATGGATTTCATTGTTGCTCTCATCTGTCAATTAGAGACACCATTAATGTCACCCCACAATGCCGCTGGATTTGGCTATTTTAATTCACGTAAAAAAAGTTGGTCCAAAAAGTGAGTTGAAAACAATCTGAAAATCAGAGAAAAAATCAGGGAATTATGCGTAAGAGACGCCATCTTTCGTACTATTTATTAATTTTATATCCTTACCAACCAATTAATATTTAAAAATTAAATAGAAATAGAAAGATTAAAATTTTTCAAGAGATGGCGCAACTAACTTAAGAAATGTCAGTTGATTACTAATACAAATTGTAATTTACAAATGAATAAGTTGTTTATGATTTTTCCTAATGTCGTCGCTATCAATTTGCGTTTCAATTGTCTTTTGTTTCTACAAGATTACATTCTGATAACTTCCCAACCCACATCTTACCCAAAATTGTCGATGTCGATTACATAGCTGGTAATTTGGCAAATGATTGGATTGGGTTACCCAAAGGCATACCTGTTTATACTGCGTTCGGTGACTTACAATGCTCGACATTTGCTTGTATTCAAAATAAGCTCAATTCTGCAGGTAATCTGTAATTATGTAAAAGATGATTGTTTTTAACTTTTCGTTATCCACAGTTCTAACTATGAGTACATCACTCCAGTTGGTTGTTAACCCAATGGATCAAAATTGGCATAATGAGAATGCAACCTCTTCAAATTTCCTCCCTGATCTTAAAAGTGAGAAGAAATTAACTAAAGTATTTATCAACAATTAATTATTCTCCTTTTCTTTTCTCTGTTCTTTTAGAAGTACTTTTGATTCCTTATGTTAAGGATAACTTTATTGTTGCCGCTGCAAGTCTTAATGGAGGAAATGTACTTGAAGCATTTGTTGGTTTTATACAAAATTACTTGGAAGATTTAACTGGCTCGGAGTTTCCAAAAGAACGGATTTGGAAAAGACTTAATGAATCAACTGGAACTGCTGATTTCAACAATAATCCTGATTCATCTTCAATTAAGTTTATTCCAACCTTATATGGTGAAAGATATGATCCTCAATTACGATCAAGTTTATTGAACATTCCACCTGACTTGACTCCTCATTCATTGTTTAATGCAATTTGTTATGGATTAATTGAAAACATATTCACCATGATACCTGTTAAATGGTTGACCAGTCTGCCAATCAATGAAATTCAAGCCACTGGAGGAGCTTTACTTCGTAATCCCATCTTGAAGAATTCATTGGAGACTATTTGTGCTCAATATGGAATCAAAGTGAATTACATGGAGCAAGCTGACGCTCACATTGGAGCCGCTTTAATGGCTTCAATGTTTTACAGTAAATAACAAATCCTTAAAACTTCCAGTTCGAGTAAATGTTTCAATTGATGGTAATTGAAATTAATCTGGTATCACTTTATTAACAAACCATTCAATAGCCAAGAAGTAAATTTTCTGACCAAACGATGCATTTATTTAATTTGTAATGCACCAAGTGCTTTTAGCTAGTTGTGTGAACCTTTGTTCAACACTTATAGTTAATGATTCATATCACAATTAAACTTTCAAAGTGTTTGAATTTAAGTAGCAAGACCACGATTGAAGTACCAGATTTCTTGATCGCTGATCAACACTTGAAACGATGATTCTTCAACATGCATCCACCAACTGGTGTCACTAACTAAGGGAATTTTACCACTTCATTGACCAGACAAATCGTTATTTCTCGTGGCCTCGAACGAAATAACCATTAATCGTAATTTGCCATTGGAAACTTTGATTCGATAAAATGTGTGATTTTGTGTTATTAATGTCCATTGTTATCGAGTTGAGACACATTAAACTAGTCGATTAATTTGAAACTGATGGTTTCTTTAAGAAAATTAAAGACAATAATCCATCAAGAGGTGAAAAGAGTTACTAAAGCATGAAAATTTAATCACCTAATTGGTCAAAATTAAAAACGAACCTCTCAACGAAATGACTTCTCAATATATTTGTGCATTGAAACAGCATTTCATTATCACTACATTGAAAGATTCAAATTATTATAACATGTTAACAAATCATCTTCTAATTGAATTTATTTACTTAATAGTGCTAATAATAATGCCGAAATTTCAAGTGAAGTCAATTGATTGAATAACTTGTTCCATCAATTGTTGTAATCAACCTTATTTTCAATTCAATAGATTACATTCACTTTACACTTCTTTGTCTTCAAGTCTAATATTAACAAACTCCTGCAACCCTCCCGTTGGGTTGGTGAGAACTGTTCCTTGATTCATCTGTACAAAATTAAGACTGATGTCTTTAGTTCCAAAACCGCTTCAGTCACCGAAAGAGTTTGATTTTATTCTTATACTCAATTTCATTGCAATATTTCACCAAACTCAACGTCTGATATTGTGAAGACAGTTAACAATCAGATAAGTTTGTTGGTTAAAAATTAAAACATGTCAACCTCTCAACTTTTGAGATCACCGGCAAAAAAACCTTTGTCTTTATCTCAACCCTTACAAGAGTCTATCGGATCTCATAAACAATCTTCTGATGAACCAAAAGTCATATATGTTTGGCAAAATATTTTCGCCTTTCTTTTACTTCATTCTTCTATTATTTACGGTGCATTCAAATTGTTTACTAACCCACCATGGTTAACAATGGCTTTTGGTAAGTAAATTTCTGATTCTAATCAAACCTAATTCTAATCAAATCCTCATTCTACTTTTACATTCATAGTTGTCCCTTCATAGTCAATCCATATGTTCTTGTTTAATTTTTTTGAGACTCATTTCAATTTGATTCATTGTTACTAAATTTAATATTTATCTTTAAAAATAGCAACCTTAGTCGGACATATGAGTGCATTGGGTGTTACAGCTGGAGCTCATCGTCTTTGGTCACATCGAGCTTACAAGGCTAAACTGCCTCTTCGGATATTTCTGGCTGCCTTACAAACAACTGCTGGTCAGGTAATGAAGATTTAATATATTTTTCCTATTATTGATTTATTACTTTGATTGTTTCACCCTTAGAACAATATATTTGAATGGTGTCGAGATCATCGAGTTCATCATAAATTTTGTGAAACTGATGCTGATCCTTATAATGCTAACCGTGGCTTCTTTTTTGCTCATATGGGATGGCTGTGTGTTAAAAAGCATCCCGATGTAATCAACAAAGGACAGTCAGTTGATTGCTCAGATTTACTCAAAGATCCAGTTGTACGTTTTCAGCGGTCTTATTTCATGCCCTTGGCTATTCTTTGTTGTTTAATCATCCCTTCAATTATACCAATCATTTTTTGGAGTGAAACTTATCTCAATGCATTCCTCATTGCCGGATTAGCTCGTTATTGTATTTCTCTTCATCTTACCTGGTTGATCAATTCCGTGGCTCATCTTTGGGGAAATCGTCCTTATGATATAACTATTGGTGCTCGAGAAAACAGATATGTTATCTATGTCTCTATTGGCGAAGGCTTTCACAACTATCACCATACATTTCCATCAGATTATTCAGCTTCTGAGTTAGGAATGGAATGGAATCTGACTACGCGTTTTATCAATGTGATGTATTATATCGGACAAGCTTATGATTTAAAAAGTACACCAACTAGATTGATAAAGGATCGAATCAAAAGAACTGGGTGCTTGAAATAATATCAGACTCGAGACAGCCTCTATACGTTCGCAAAACGAACCTCGTTAGGTCCACTTTTTTCATCAAATACCAAATAATACAGCTTTAATTTTGTTGATCATGCTCATAATAGACTGTTTTTGAACAAATTTGTTTTTTACTGTTATAATTAATGGATTATAAATTAATTATTGTTATTTTTTACTATATTTTTTGAACATTTGAACATTTCCAAACTCGCAAAAAGGGTGTCAACTCCGCCTATTAGTATTTCATAGCTGTTACTTTTGTAGAGGATTGGTAACTACAAAAAAATCAAGTCAATAGATGTCAAGATGAACAAAATGTTGATCAAACAAGCTTCAATTAATAGTTATTTAAATTTAGATTGAGGTCAAAATGTTTTTCAGGTAAGTACTGTGGTCAATTGTTGTGTAAAGTTAAACAAATGATAACAATTAAGTTGCGAAATTTTCCAACTCTTCAGTCTCAACAATTGCTCCTTTGAAATCAATTGATGTTCAAATACTCGGCAGTTTGGTTCAAATTAAGCACATCTTTTGCTAAATTTTTGTGTTTAGCGTATTTTTAGTGAGAAAAATTTGAAAAGAACCAAATTTTTTAACCTGTTACACTGAAACGATTTGCGATTGATCTCAAAACGCTTCGAAACAAATCATTAGACTTGACAAATGTCGACTTTAAGATTGTGTATAAAAAAATCACTTTGACTCAAATCATAGAAAAAATCGTCACTTTGAACAGGAATTTGAACTTGATAATACACTTCGTTAAAATGGTGCACAATTATCTGCAAGAAAATTTTAACGATAAAAAAATGGCGAGTCTCAATCATTTTGCAACAGAAAACCGTTCTGTTATCAACAGAATTGAAAGCAGCATGAAAATGAAGGAGGTAACAAGAAAATTACCGTTTATTAGTGAATACTATTCACAATGAGTATATAGAGACAATGAAATCAAAACCAAATCAATCTTAATCAGTATCAACAAATCTACACCTTATAGAGTAACCAATTGCCTAGAAACATTTACGCGCATTCAAGCCCAGTGCTAATAAGCGAGTGTCTCAAGCTTTTTCTTGCTCGTTCTTTATGAACATTGAACTAACAATTGAATCCAAAGACCGGTACAAAGTGTTCAAATGTATTGTTTTAAACTCTTTGTTGTTAATTATGTGCCAAATATTTCTCTATTATCATCTTTTAGTCAAAAGTTAACACTTGTTTGTTCATTTTAGGAATCACTCTATTAAAATATTTTCGCTTTACCTCTTTTTTTCATTTTAAGCTTTTGTTTTACAAACGTTATGCTTTTTTTGATTATGCCTTTAAATAGGTGACTCAGATCGGAAAATAGATTATCTGTTTAGAGTACATATGAAATTTTGTTTCCTAAAATTTTTGTAAGTGATCTGAAAGGGTAACTTTGACATCCTCTCTACCTCAAAGAATAATGTGAATATTTGATTTAATGACAATTTTATGAGTATTTCGGTTGATATTTTCTGGTTTTTGAACCCAGAATTATTTAAAACATATTTTTTGGGCCAAAAAAAGAAGAAACTTAAACAATCTTTTAACAAAAAATTCATATTCAACTTTCCAAAGCTGGGTTTGGTTATTTTTTTCAACTTCACAGGTTTTCAATCAAGATATGGAAAAATCGTTAAGGTATAAAAAAAGACGTTAAAAGAGGAAGAAAAATATTCACAGTTCTCAATAAAAACCTATTCTCATTACAACATTGAAGATAGATTTCTTAAAAATAACTCCGATGAACGTAACTAGAATCAGTAAAACCTTGATTTATAAATTGTAGTTACTGTACTAAATGTAATAAATGTAGTTTTAAATAACGGATTTATAATTAAATATGAAGTAACAATCAATATTTAGAGATTGTTTAAATGTACCGCTTGTTTTGAATGCGATCTTTTGGCAGTGCCACCTATAAACTCAACTGCTCTTTTGGTTAGGTAACCAGATTCAGTTAAACAGACTGTATATCCAGCTGCTTGGGAGCAGATTTTTCATCATTTCGTTTAACAGTATACATTGTGATAGGTGTGAGAGATTATTAGATTGAATTTTATTTTAATTTGCGATGTCTGTTCGTCGTAAAAAAGAGTGTAAAGACTGTGATTGTAAAGCAAGTTATCAACAATTTATTAAGAAACAGTTTCTTCGAATTGAAGAGCTTGAAAACCAAATTTCTCTCCTTCGAGTGGAGAGAGATACACTGTTACATGAAAATGAACGGATTATGTTTAATCTTCAGATGTTATCCCTCAAAAATCAAGAATCAAGGTAAGTTTGTTTTTTCAAGCAATTTTTAATTTGCAATATGGTAAAATTGTGAACAGTGGTAACCGTATTTGTACTTTTAACAGTCACATAGGAAATTCTGATAAATACCACAATAATGATCAATCTCATCAATTGAGGAAGCAACTTCCTGTTGGAGCAACAGCAGCTACAACCATCCATGGTTCAACATCAAATGGAGGTGAAAGGAAACAAGAGAATTATGAACTATCGCAAGAGATTATGGATAAACGCTTAGAAATTATTGTACGTAAATATGGTAAGGAGTCGGTTAAAGCAGCTTCAGTTATACAAAAAGCTTACCGTAATTATCAGTTGAATAAAAGGTTTAAGAATCTTGCTTTGAATGCTTTACGCGTCAACAACCAAGCAAAAGATCTCAAAAGACAACAGCAACTGCAACAGGCCCATCAAATTCAACAACAAACGGCAACCCAACATCGTCTAACTGTGACCGGTGGAGGTAGTGCTTCAAGCGTTGATGGTCTACTTGTCAGTGATTTTGTTGATGCTAGTCAATCATTTGAACCTTTACATCAACAACTTCAATCTTCTCAATTTAGTGAACCCAAATTAACTCGAACCAGTTCATCATCATCGGCTTCTAAAGGTACATTCAGTCACCATAATCATCCTAATTACCATCTAAACGGTCTCTCAAATTTTAATAATAGTATCAATAATAATATTAATAATAATTCAATAATACCTCGCTCACCAACAATGCCTTCTCTCCAATCATCTCCAGTTGTCATTAGTGGAGGCCGCGTGGTGACCAAGAAAGTCTCTGCCAATTCTAATCAACAACAACAAACTCAAGAACAACAGTCATCAATACCTTCTTCGAACTCAGCATCTCAACTCCATCATCATCATCATCCGCAACAACAACAACAGCAACAACAATTTCTTCAACAACATCAACTCCAACACCAACACCACCAACAACAACAATTACAACAAAATCAAATAGTAACTCATACCCATCATGGTGGATCTATGAAAACCTCCGTTTCAGCTACTTCGTTTCCCCACCGAACTCCACATTATGATGTTATAAGAGCTCGTGAATATCGTGTTGGCCTAAATTTGTTTAACAAAAATCCTCCTGAAAGAGGAATACAGTATCTGTTTGATAAAGGATTCATTGATGATATAGTTGATGAAAGTAAATTAGTTCATTATTCTGGTAATCTTGAAAGCGGACGTAAAGCTTTAAGAGTGGCTCTATTTTTGTTGACTAAAAAAGGATTATCTAAACAAATGATTGGTGAATATTTGGGAGATTTACAGTCACCATTTAACCAATTAGTATTGAAATTTTTTGTGCGTGAAATGGATTTCACAGGAATGTTATTAGATGTTGGACTGCGAAAATTTCAAACGTTCTTTCGTTTTCCCGGTAAGTTGATTTGTCATGAATTGTCATTAAATTGAATCTATTATCTAACACCCATATCATTCTTTTGTCATCTTCGTCATCCCTTTATAACTCAAGCAAAACTTGAGAGGCTTGAAGTAATTTCATTTCAAGTTAGCAATTGTTTTTCCCATTTGTTCTTTCCAACAAACAACAATAACAGCAATAAATTCCTGCTGAAATGACAATATATACAAGACCTTCCTCAAAAAGCAGGATGTAACCATGCATTCTTGCCTACTAATAGATAAATATACATCTAAAGCTTCATAAATTGTTGTTATTGTTCATTATTATAGTCGCGTGCTTTTCTTTCCCTACCTTTTTTATCAAAATCTGTGAGGCTGAACAAAACTTACAATAATTTCTTCAAATGATTATCTTCAAGACTATACTCAGACCATTTTACCTTCATTCACCTGTAATTTTCAATTCAAATTGAAAAGATTAAATCGTCAGTTTAATCCATCAATTACTTACATTGACTTAGGCGTAGTTTTTAAGGTTTGATTGTTGTTGGAGGAAAAAAACAAGTGAAATCATTTCCCCCTAAACACAGCAAGCTAAAGTTGAATGGAGAATAGCATTTAGTCATTTGACGAAGTTACCTGTAAATTTGTTTTTGTCGTCAACTCATCATGATGTCAGTTCCGTTGATGTTCCTTTATTATTTTTATTGGCTATAATCATATTGACAAAAGACTAGAGCAGGAAAAGAAGCCTTAAAACTCTGTAAATATATGAAAATGAATACAAATTATATAATTTTGATTTCCGTTTGAATTTTATATTTAGCTACTCAATTGTTCATTTTGACATTTTATCCAAGCTTAATATTTCTCAATTTACAATGCCCTTCTTTATTTCAATTTGATTCCTGCTGAAATTAAATACTGCTTTTTTTGCACAATTATAATTTGAATAATAACTAATATATATTATCTCTTTTTTTCTTCCTTCTTGGCTTCATTTTTTTCATTGTTTAATCCTATTTAGGTGAAGCTCAAAAAATTGAAAGATTGGTTGAAACTTTTGCTGAACGTTACTGTGAATGCAATGAAGGTCTTGAACTAGATCGAAAAGGTGATTCAGAGGAAACTCCTATTATAACTAATAAGGATGACGTATTTATCTTATCATTTGCAATCATCATGTTAAATACTGATCTTCATGTACCAAATAATAAACGTCGTATGACAGTTGATCAATGGATTAAGAATCTTCGAGGTGTTGTAAAGTCAAATTTAACTGAAGACTTTCTCATTGGAATTTATGAAAGGATAAAACAAGCAGAAATGAAAACAGGCCATGATCATTGTTTACAAGTGCTCAAAGTTCAAGCTTTTTTGGTAGCTTCATCTAGAAATATAACAGTTCCAAATTTAAGTGCAAATACTTACAGAAGGTTAATTTGTTTTTGTCGTCTTCATGAGATTGTTGACCTAAACAAAAAGGAACGCCAAGGTCAACATCAAAGGGAAGTTTTCCTTTTCAATGATCTACTTTTAGTAACCAAAGTATATAAGAAAGGTGCTGCATCTCGAACCTCTGTAACATCATCTTCAATGGCCTCAAATCAATTGGGCAATGGTGGTTCAGTTGCTTCACAATTGTACAGTTATCGTCGAAGTATTTTATTAACATCAGTCAATGTTTCCCTGTTCTCTACACTCTATTATCCTTATGGAATTAAGATTTCATCAAGAGTTGATAAAGACAAAACATTGATTTTATTTAATGCACGTAATGATACAGATAGATTTAAATTTTTTGAAGACCTTAAAGAAAGCATTGCTGAAATGCATCAAATGGAAATAATCCGAATTCAGTCAACTATGGGTAATTCAAATGGTTGTTCAGCTTCAGCTTCACCTTCAAATAATTCTTCATCATCAGCCAAAAGATTAACAGTTAATTCTGTAGGTACTGTTTCCAGTTCATCAATACCTACCACTGGAAATAGTAATTCGTCTTCATCGGCTACAACAATAGCAACACCACCAACAACATCAACATCATCTACAGGAAATCTTCCCAATTTAAATCATTCTTCTCTTATGGATTTAACAGCAACTTCATCCAATTCTTCATCGCCATCTTCTTCATATTCCTCACCAAAATCAGGACTTTCTTCTAATAAACACCAAGTTAACAAAGTATCAGTATCAACATCTTCATTAGATTCTGCTCTTCCAAATAATAAAGCATCACTTCCATCTTTACCTATTCAACCATCTTCTTCTCAATCAACTTCCTCTTCATCTTTATCAACTGCAGCAGCAACAAATATTACAAATCAAGGGTCAAATTCAAATACAGATTCAATGACTAGTTCATTGTCAACAACATTAACTATGACACCTCATAGTCTTGTCTCATCAACATCATCATCGTCGTCATCTTCATCAACAAACCAACCATTAACGTCAACTCAAATTCAAAATTCTACATCGACTGCGTTAACAGCGACAACAACTCATTATGTTTAGATAATATTGAAATTTTATTTTTGTTTACTCGAATTATTCTAATCATTATTTTCTGATGCTGATTACTCAAAAAACAAACAACAAATCATTATTTCACCGATCGGCAAAAACAAGTTCAGACAAAGAAGAAATCAAAAATTATCCATGATAAGCCTGTTCTATATTTTACTTTGAACGAAGTCCAATTTATAAATATATATTTGAAATTTATATGCATACATCTACTGTTCATATGAAGATAACAAAATATTCAATTCACCTAAAGATGAAACTCATTGAAGCAAACACAATACGAGTCGAAGTGAAATGATATTAAATTTTTGCAATTGATGGAAATCAAACTTACATCATCTTTTATTTCAAATGAGACAAATTAAGTCACCAAATAAAAGGCGATAAAACACCAAAATTGAATTAACAACACCAGTTAATACAGCTAAACATTGCGTCGCAATTGAAATTAACGCCCTTTTGACTTTACTTACCGTAATCAATCAATTGAAGGTCACCATTATCATGTATATATATGTATTCATTATTCTTGTTCACATCTATCTCTCTTTTATAACTCATTTTCAGCTCAAATGTTAACCAAAATTTACCCTGAACGACAACCCAAAAAAAAGAAACAAGTCAAGTCCTGGTCATCCTGGAGACGGAAAACATCAAGATTCAACATTGTAGATAGAAACAAAGATGAATTGGGAATCAAGTCAAACCTGATTAAAAAGGAATTGCAAAAATTAAGTCAAAAAGCGAATTATTTTTGAGCAAACAAAAAAAGAAACAAATCAAGAAGGACAAATTAAAAGGAATGATCAAAGCTTCGGATTAACTCCACTAATCATTGGCTACATTAGATCATCAAAATGACCGTCAAATGTAAATCTCAACTCAACATCCAATGCTCTTGAAAATTATTTAAAAATCCAAATTACCTGATTGATGGAAAAGGGCAACAAATATTTAAATTTCTCTTCTTGACCTACCTTTTTCTAGTGATAAATTATTGATAAAACTGTGATTCTATTCCATTTCATTGAATTACACTCTTCTACCCTCTTAAATATGATGTTGATGATGCTGATGATAAATATGATTACTCAAAAATTTAATGATCAATGAATTATCCATACTTTTATTACCTTGTATTTGTATTTCCCATCTATTTTCAATTGTGTACTCCTTTTGATCAACAACTTTTTCCGATTCCTCCACCTTTCACCTCACTTTTGCCATGTTAGAGAGTGTTTTTAATTATTTTTTTTGTCATCACCATCAACACCATCAACATACGTCTTGTCATTTGTAATTGTACAGCAACATCAACAACGAGTAATGAAAAAAATATATATAATTACGGAGAAATGTTTATTTGTTTCTTGGGACAAAACTATTATCATCATTATTATTCTTATTATCATTATTAGAGCAAATAATGCCATTATCAATGGTGTCAAATCAACAGAATACTCTATACATAAGTGTATATATATTATTATATATATTAAGAAATGAAATTGGTTTTATTATATCAAACTGTTTCAAATCAATTATTTATTTATTTCATCACAACCCGACCTAATCACTTGCAAGTTGTAATTGAAAAAAAATCAACCCAACCTTGTGATTTTGATCAATTAATAAGTGGTGAATTAACTCAAGTAGTCAAGGAAAAGCAGAAAAAAGTGACATAAAATGCAATACTTAGGGCGTAATAAACAATCAATTACCATGTGATCTTCAGTTCCTATTGAACCCTTTAGTTATAGCTAGTTATAGCTAATAATTGTACGTGCTTTGCCTCGCTTAAACCTTAAATTCAACTGCTCACAATTAGATAATTGATTGATGATAATAAATACTAATTTTGTACAAAAAAAGAGTCCAATTGACCTTATTAGATGAAGGTTAAGGTAAGATTAGAGTTCATTTGAGTAGTAAATTTTTTGTTAAATCTCATGTTAGATCTAAACCATGTATTTCCGAGTTAACAATTACCATTCAATTACCTAAAGCTTTTCAACTCTTCATTCAACCTTTGTCTTGTTAAACGATATTTTTAACAACATTCAAGCAAAGACAAAGACACTGTAATTGGCAAAGCAACTGAAATCAGGTTTTTCTTTGGAAAAGTAAATTGTTTCTTGGGACAAAATTAATATCAACTTTGTGACTCTCTGCAGACGTGAGTGCAACCAGATGATTCAATAGACATCGGTAGACAGATGGCGAAAAATGAGCGTAAGCCAGAGTAGAAGAGATTGAGCAGGAAGAGAGGGCCAACCTTTAAACAGGAAAGTCTCACTTTAAAGTTTGACAACATTTCTTTCGACTTTTCTTCACAACAAATATCATCTGCATCTTCTTCTTCTTCTCTTTCATTTTCTTATTTTTCTTATTTTCTTCTTCTTCATCTTCGTCATCTTTATCATCATCTTATTTCTTTTCTCCTTTATTCCTTTGTTTGGTCTTTTCTCTCCTTTCAGCTCATTCACTTTGTTCACTATTTTTCATTCATTTTCATTTGATACTTTTTTGTGTGTGTATGTCTACCTGTGACCTCAAACACGGACTCGATATTGCTATTTTAACTGGTTCTACTTTTAATAATTGTAACACTCTTTCAACTGTTCAAGGGTAAACACTATGAATGAGGTCAAAACACACGCACACACAAAATTGATTTGATCATGAAAAAGGTCTAGATGATACGAGTTTTCATGGTAATCCAATTTTTTTACTGTTTGTGATTTTTATTTTGGAGCTTCATTAGCTTATCAACTTTTATTGTTTACTTCATTTTCTTGTTATTCGTATTCTCTCCTTTACTTTTCTTTACCTCACTTTTTAAGTTTTTTTGCTTCACTCTAATTGTGTTGATGTTTTTTGCTTTGTTACTTGTTGGACTCACTCAGTGATTCTTGTGTTGTTTGTTGAACGAGTTTTTACTTTTGATTGATTTATACGTAATTTGCAACATGATACTTTTTATTGTGTACCGTAGTAACCGTGTTTGTTCAATTAAATACAGTTACATAGGGGATTCTGATAAATACCACCATCATGATCAATCCCATCAATTGAGGAAAAAACAACCTGTTGAATTAGCTAGAATTATCAATGGTTCAATGTCTATTTCAATAGATTATGGAAGATATCTGGAAATAATCATTTCTGAATTATTATTGAAATTTGACTTTTCAATAGCCTTCCATCAATAAATGCTTAAAAACTGCTTACAACAAACGGCTTCGAGGTATGATTGCGGTATTTTGACTAGTCATTAAATTTAGCGATGATGTTTGTTGCCTTCGCAATCATTACTATCTTCACAACTAAATGAATCAATCATCAGCTTCAAAATAAAGCAATCAGCAAAACATTTTCTCGAAATGCCAGCCTCCAGACTTTTTAATGAAATCAAGTCTCTTGAGTAATATTTCCAGGTTTTTTGACAGAATATCTGGCTTTGAACGAATTTCCTCAAATTTTTCCACAATAACATTCTTTAATGCATCTATATTTTCAGGTCGAGCTTCGTCTATTTTATCCTTAATGTAGCCCCATAGAAAAAAGTCAACTGGGTTTAGATCTGGTGAAAAGTTAGGCCAATCATTTCCATAATCAGTTATTTGTTGACATTTTTCAGCCAAGATCCGATCACCAAAGCGACCTGTGAGCGTATAATAAATCTCTTGCCCTTTTAAATCATCTGGAACGTCAAGCATGAAAGCATATTCGTATGTATCCATTTCCAATTCATGTATATCGATCAAGATTTCATTTTCAAGGAAATTGCTGTATTCGAGGGCGTCAATGTTATTGGGAATAAAGTAAGGACCAAGCAAGGTCTTTCCACATATAGCGGCGTAGACAGAAATAACCGAATCATCCAAAGGGTTAACTATAACTTTTTCGGGACTTGAAGTTCCCCAAAAACGATAAGTATCACGATAGGTGTATCCAGATAGACAAAATTGAACCTTTCCAGTGAACCAAACATGATCAAGCTTGAGTGTAGCTGATTTATTACTTTCCAACAGATAATTAGCCATACTCAATCTATGCTCTGGAATAGGTTTATTCAAGTGTCTCATTGTTTGAATCAGGTATGGACATAAATCGGGATTTTTGTATGGTTCTAGTGCACCAGTCATGGGATCAAGCATAACTCCAATTTCATGTTTAACTGATCCAGTGCGTTCAAAACATTTCACAAAGCTGAAAGGATTACAAGGATAAAATAGAAAATATAAATCATGTGATTAGTAATCAATTAGTAAGATAATACAAAATAAAAGTGAGAAATAATATCAGACGATAATTTCATCAGATTTAATATTGAACCATTAATAATGAATCCCACTGAAATGTAGGTTTGGGGAAATGTAGAGACGTAGCATTGAAACACAATTTGATTAAACATTTCTGGTATTTACCTTTCAATTATCTCTTTAGATGGTTTCGGTTTAACCCTGTGCTCTTTACTCCAAAGATCACTTATTTTGCCGAAGTCTTCTGGATGTTTATAATAAAGCTTGATTATTGTGGTACGTTCTTCTGTTGTAAAATAAGTCATGGTTCTTGCGGCCAGGCTAATATTCACTGAATAAAATAATTTATTGGGAGCTATGGTGAAGTGTATTCATTAAGAAAAGATTAGTCCCAAAAATAATTGGAGCGTTCAATTGGATTAAGCATGTTATTCACAATAAGATGAGTCAATTTAAAATTAAAAGTAAAAATAGAAAGTTAACGATTTACGTAAAAACACGGCTTCATACGGACACTATCGTTATCAACAAATGAATAAAATGGATAGAAAGTGAATATCTTCTCAATGGTTTATTGGATGATCCAGATGAATTAGATACCATTTATGACAAATTACTTTGAAATCAAAAGCTTCTAGAGTCTAAGCACTTGATTTTGCTTGTTTTAAGTTGTAATAAAAATAGGTTGGCATTATTTTTACAAGAAAAATCCAAGTTGATTGTAAAGATGGTTGATAATAAGGGATAGATTAGGCTGATTGTTTGATTCCTTGTTGGAAACTAGTATTCGCCATTTCAATGTAACTTTTGCGTGCAGGATGATCATCAGCTGGTCTGTTTATTGGAGTCCAAACAGGTTCACCAACAAAAAGTCGCATTGCCTTAATGTAATTCTGTGGGTAGAATGAAAAGGAAAATATTAACAATTTTAATAGATGAATAAATTGTTGACAACAAATAGATTGAATTGCAAAGAGAGTTGATCAAATCATTAGTAAACCTAAGCTCTATAACCATACGAGTGGTTGCTATATGCAGTTGACAATAACTATCTCAATTATCATCTTAAGCATCAACTGTTCATTGAAATAATCAAATCAGTGCTGATTCCCTAATTGTCTTTTGGGTAAACCATTATTGGATTCAAGCCATTTAATGTGAATTTGAATTGTTTCAATGAACTGTTTTCGTAAATGAGCTTACCTGTTCATCTAAAGTGAATCGATGATAGATGCCAGCGGGTAGAGTAATTAGATCTCCTTTACTGACTTGAATACGGATCCATTGGTCATCAATGTCTCGACAATCGAAATAGCCACTTCCTTCCAGCACAAATCGTATCTCTTCATCAGCATGAAGGTGCTCAAGAAAGAAATTTTTCAATTTGTCTTCATAATTTTCCAATTTCTCTGGACAGCACTCAATCAGATCGGTGTAAGTGTAACCTCTCTCCTCTCGAATTTTCTGCAATTTACCCTCACTTTCATAATTATCAGCATCAATCTACGAATGAGATAAAAGATAATTTGATTATTTTGTGAAATCAAATGAAGAGTTAGGGTAAAATAATCAGATTATAAATTAGAAAAATCTAGTCTTACCTTCCAATACAGAACGCCAGTTTTTTCCTTCAATTTTTCCAAGTCAATTGATTTCACTGGATTATGTTGATGAGGCAACCGTTGGTCAGTCCCATCGTCATTATAATACCAAGCTTGAACCATGTTTAGTAAGAAAAATTAAAAATTATGCAAAAACAGTTCTCACGTAAAAACTGGCTTTCTATTATGACACTGTAAACAAAATCAAAAGGGAATGTTGAATAAAAAAATTGTTGATCGATTCTCTTTCAATCATCATGTGATTCATCTTTTAAGATAGTGCTAATTGATTTATTCGTTAGCACACCAGTACAGAACTCAAATGAGATGATTGAAGATTAACCATCCAGTTATTAAAGTATAAATTTAATAGCTACATACATAATCAATTAATGTAATCAAGGTCACTTTAATTCAGTAGTTCCTATCCAAATAAGATTAAGCATATTTAGATAAAACTGTAGTGAACAAGTTATTGAGTCAAGTTACGAAGGAGCTAACAAAGGAATTGCTTGGATTATTGTCAAATACAGAATAAAAAAATATTAATAACAAAAGTTAACAGAGTTATTAAAAGAAATTCAGAAGTCGATCTTGAAACGCTTTGTTTTTCTTGTTGGTAGGAGTCATAATTCAGTTTTAAACTACTTGGATTCCTTGAAATTTTTGAGAAGCCATGTTGAGCCATTCCAATCGAGCAGGATGGCTGTCAGCTGGTCTAGGGAATCCCACCCAAACTGGTTCCGCGGTGAAGATCCTTTTGAATGCAGTTTGACCCTAAAAAGAACGGATAAGCAAAGTTTATTAAAAACAGATCACAGATGAACAGGCATAACGTGATTTATTACTCAAAACGTATTCTTGAGGTTTCAAAATGCTTGTGATATTTATGATATTACTCACGAAAGCTTTGGGCGAGAATCTATGATAAATTCCTGGTGGAAGAATCAGTAAATCACCTTTCTCAACTTGCATACGAATCCAATTATCTGATGCATCTCTGACGTCGAAATAACCCTTTCCATCGACCCACAAACGGATTTCTTCATCAGGATGCAGATGTTCAGTGAAATATTTTTCACACTTTTCATTGTAATCTTGTTCAGAATCGGGATGCATTTCGAGAACATCTGAGCCAGAGTAACCACGCTTCTGGCAAATTTTATTCAATTCTTCTTCATAATTGTCTGCGTTCAGCTGTTGAAAAGGAAAACAAAAACGCAAAGTCAATTAACGATGAGCATGCAGTTAAAAGGGAAAATAATTCTCACCTTACGGGTAACAACTCCAGTTCTTTCTCGTAGTTCATTATCATCAACATACCTCATTGGTTCAGGTTTATGAGGAGATAATGGGTCAGAGCCATCGTTGACATAATCCCATGCCAAAACCATTGCAAAGCCAGAAAGAATATTCTGATGAAACTAAACTATTAAACAATTGCAACTTGAGATGATTACTTGGCGAAGAGCACCACAAAACTGACGATAGTAAAAATCAGATGATTTTTATAAACCTTACCTCTAAGCTTAAAAACATTGCACTACAAGTTGATTAACAACTTGTTGACAGTCAGTCTTGGTGACTTATTCCATATTAAACCTAGTGCTTTTACTGTGAGAATAGCACAATTAGCTATTTCAAGAGAGTCAAGCAACAAGTTTTTTCCTCCTTACACAGTGAATAACAGTAAATAAAGCCGAAAACAAGTGACAATTAAATTAAGTTTGTCATTTAATTTAAGTTATTTTGTTCATTTAGTCAGCTTATGTAACCTTTATTATAATGACTACCATTCTGTCCGGATCCATGTGCTTCATGTTCAACATTAGACAACTTAATTATTGAGTAAATTTTGTCTAGAATATGCAACATTTAAATTGTTTTATAATTTTAATTAGCTGATAACAAGCTGAGCCCCGATCATGACTGATCGTAAATTTCTTTTCACTGAATACAAAAAATCCAATCCACATTTAAAGACTCAAATTATTGATGAAAAACCATTTTCAATGAGAAAAAATAAAATAAAATTTGCTTCAACAGTTGAGGCAACATATTTTTTACCTAACTCTTTACTCGAAAAATGGTTTTACATATCCTTTTAATTTAACAATAAACCAAAAATCAACCTGAACAACCAAAAAAGTTTTTCCCCCAAAGTCAATGGTAAAAGATACGGATTCTGCATTTTTTCCCCTACCCTATTCAAACGCTAATTTCTCAGGTACCTGAATTCCGATGAAGTTCAGACTATTTTTCGTGGATGAGGTTTAATCATAGCTTTCAGGCTGTAAAAAATTTTTCTTTAGAATCCTTTTAGTTTGGCCACAATCTTTACGCAAAAATTTCATGTTTTGACTTTATATATGGTATAGATTGGCTCAGTTTCCTTTGGATCTTACATTACTTTTTTCGAGGTAATAGTACATTAAACTACTCACGACAAAATGAATTGAAATCCATTCTTTTTGTTGGACTTTGTCTAAGAGAGTAAATTTCACCAGGAGAAGGACGAATATAAGCCGGTAATGCTTAATAATCAGGATACCATTGCTACCGTAAACCCAGGTTAATAAGCAAGGTCAGTTAATTGCAATATGAAAATCAGTGAATCGAAGATATTCACAGCCTTGGAAGACGTTAAAAAAGCAATTCACTTTGAGTTTCCTCTTCTCTATTTGATTCCTTTTATTATCTTGTCTTTACACTTTTTCCTAGATTCTTCAAAATTTGGAGACATTTTTTTTACTCATTTCCATGTTAACAGGTTTGTCAACCCTGGTTGGTCAACGGATCACAATCTACATTGATCAATGTTTTACAGCAATAAACAATAATAACAACATCAACATCAGAAACAACAATCACAAGTACAAGTACAACAACATGAAACAACGGCATACAACCTTCGTGCTTCAATTGGTTCAATAATTAACAGGCAGAATTATGCTTCACACTTTACTTCATGACAATTTGGTGTTGAATAATAACAAAAGATTGAGTGTGAAAGTGTAATGTTGGTTTTACTGATTAAAAAACCGGGAAAAGGCATTAAATTTGTCGTAATTTGTTCATTGCTTTTTTATAAAATTCTTAGAAGTTTGATAGAAATCCTTGAGAAATTCAAGAAAATTGAAATCAGCATCATTACAATAATAATATAAACATCCACTTTTGTGTATTTCAATAATTAGTTATAAAAATAATAATTGATGATGATCATTGATTGTCTTTGTTAACAATCGAACTATCGATACAGAATTTATCAGCTGAAAAATCACTGATTTAATATATCATCCAAGATTTCAGGTTTTAGCTAATCATTATTAATCTATCTTCTTTCATTGGTTTTATACATTAAAATGAAATAAGCTAATAAACGAAGAAAAGTTAAACTAGCAATTAAGATGGCAATATTTTGCCACAAATACTCGTCTTTAAGGTCAAAATGTTTGAGAATTAAGGATGAAGAAATTGATTCTTCGGATGAAAGTGATTCCGATGAAGAAGGTAGTTCAGCAGCAAGTCGTAAATAATCAAGAGGGTTGTAAAATCCGGACCAAATTTTGGGCAAACTATCATATAAATAAGATGATGGTCCAGCTGATGATCCATCAGGTTCACTTGAGTAATCTCCAGGAGATGTTGATAAATTTTCGTCTTCATAATCAACTGGAGGTAATTCAGTTGAAAAGTGAAGATCTTGAGCAGCATAGGCGAGTGTGTAAGTTGGTGATGAAGAAGACGATGGATTTGACGCTAATGAGGCAAGGGTAACATTAAGTGGAGGACAACGATCATAACCATACAAAACAATAAGGAAAGCTTCAAAGGCGTAACGAACATATGATATTGTAGCAATTGGCTTCAATGCAAGCGGAACCTTTGCTATTTTCCCAAAAAATCCACTCAACAGGAAAACAGGTGCCATTGAAAGAGGTGCCATGAAAACAGCATTTTGTACACTTCTAACGTAAATGGTACCAAAAAGCATTCCAACCGTTTGAGCGATATTAGAAACAAGGATAGAGATGAATATAAACAAAGCGAATCTCCATTCGTCCCAAATTTGTCCAGTCATTGGATAAACAATTGAACAGAAAAGGGTTGTTATTACAATTTGGTAAGGTGTATCAGCAATTATTTTGGTCCAATAGTAAGTCCAACATGAATACCAGCCATTATTTCGCTCTTGAATGTGAACAGCCACCTCGGCAGGAAAGGTCAACACAGTCGGCATCATGCAGGCCATAACAGTAAAAAGAGTAATGAAAAATATGAAAGCAACATTGTCTTGAGTAGCAGCTAGCACAGCTCCTACATCGAGATTAATATCCGTTGAATTGGGTGATAAGGACAGGCAGCCATCAGCTTCTCCGATTGGATGGTCATAAAGGTAGGACATTAACAGTCCTATGAAAATAGCTTGCCCTATTCGAAACCATGTTAATTTTGGATCACGAATTGTAGTTAAATATGTTCGCGTTAAGAGAATCATAAAGTGCGAGAAAACGGGAAACTTTCGGCTCTTCATTTTATCAACAACTCGCGTTACTTTGACCCTTTTCTCATTGGTGGCACCATTTATCATTCCTAATCCACCTTCCATTGAATCAATTTCATCGTTCATCATATCTTGATCACCTCTTGATCCGGGCACTATTAGTTTACGACACGAAAGATACATTGTTTTCTCATCATTGATTATTGTCATCTGTTTGGTTGATTCATATAAGGCCAATTTATTGATTGGCTCAAGACCATAATCACCCGATGCAATTTCAATAATGAAATCGGCTGGATTGTGAAATTGTGGACAAGTTAGGTCATGACGAGAAAGATGATTTAGAAGTGTGGTCGGAGATCCCTGATATAGACATCGACCATCGGATGAGAGGACATACACTTGATGAAAAATATTCAAAACTCTTGCTGAGGGTTGATGGATTGAGCAAATAATGGCTGGTGGTTTGTAATAGTTACCATTTCTTCGGAGATCGGTCAATTGTCTCAACAAAGAGATACAAGAATAAGTTGAAGATGAATCTAGACCAGAAGTGGGCTCATCAAGCATTAAAATATCTGGTCCTGAAATCAATTCAATTGCGAAAGTTACCCGTTTCAACTGTCCTCCAGAAACTCGTCCAACTCTAACCTCTGCACAAACTTCCAAGTTAAGAGCTTTCAGAACTGAATTAACGAGTCTAGGGTGATAATATGAGTTGCGTATTCGTTTGTAATTTTTTAATCTTGAAGCAAACATTAATGTCTCTCTAACAGTCAATTCAACAATCAATTGATCTTTTTGACCAATAAATGATATTCCAATGGACCTACTCTCTTCACTTGTTTCAAGATCATCACGGTCATAGGCAACGACAATTGAACCTTTTAAACCTTTGGTCCTTCGACCTGCTAAACTTTCAAGAAGAGTTGATTTACCTGCTCCTGATGGACCAATTATAGCAGTTAATTGGCCTCCAGTTATTTCACCATTTTGTTTATCCAAAATAACACGGCGAATTGCATTTGAAGATGGAGATGAACTTGGTGGCGGTTTTTTAGGTGCTTTGGGTGAAGTGTAAGTAAGATTACGCCAAACCAGCCGAACAATTGAGTTGCTAGAGTGAGATGAATATTCAAAAGGAAAGGCAAGAAAAGCATCTGAAGGTTCGGTTGGTTTATCTTTAACAATATCATTATGTTCCATGGAAAGTCGACGCATTGATGATTAACTAACCATTGACCAATTCTTGTAGTCAGTTGATGTTGAAGGTAAACTATTTGAGGCAGCACTTGGACGAACCATTGACGATGGTGAACCTTTAATAGGATTGATAGGGTTCATTGGATGTTCCAAATCATCTAAATATGAGTCAATATTAAGGCAAACATTGTCAATCCCATGTAAACCATTATTCTTTCCATCGTGAACATTTCCACTACTACCATTAGAAGCTCTATCAGAAGAAGCCAAAGATCGATTGTCTTGTCTCATTGAATTTGAGTTGAAACAAAAAATTTGAAAAATATTAAACAAAAAATAAAAACAACTAGAGAAAAATAAACTTATGACGCACAAAGAGTTAAGCGAGTGTTCGCTTAGTCACCAGTTCTTTGTTGCTCTTGCAATATAAGATTTAGATCCAATGTTGCTGGTCATTCAAGAGTTATCCGTAACTCAGTAAATCACTAACATAGATAACACTCAATTGTAATCGCACAATTCAGCAAGCCTGATGACAATCTCTGTTGTTGATGAAAAAGACTTTTTTTTGGTGGTTAACGATGAGTATAACAAAGCATGAAAATGGAGAAAGAAACAAGACTATTGTTGAACAAGGCTCTTTGACTAATATGGTTAAGTTTAAGAAAATGATTATCTTGTTGCAAGTCGAACAGTGAGAGGAAAAAGTGAGAGTTAAGGTTAAGGTGAGATATTTCCTTCCTATTTCCTTGAATAAAAATGGTGAATATTTTGTGAGCTTGAGATCAGCTCAACCTGAAAACTGGAACCGGAAAAAAGCCCAACTCTTAAATGATTGGATTTTTATGCTCTCATGTTTAATAATTTGCTTGTAAGCCCAAACAGAACGCAATCATTCATTATAAATAAGACAAATAATCAACAACATTGGTAAGCAGAATTTAAGTTTCCTTTATTTTGCTTCTGAAACATTTTATTGTCACCAACCTTGGCTAGTTGCATGCTTTTCTTTCGCTACCGTTTTATCAAAAATCTGTGAGCCTGAACAAAAGACTTTAATAATTTATCCAAATTTGTATTATTTTTCAATTTACGTAATGATACAGATTCATTTTTGGACATCTTAAACTAAACAAAATAAAAAGCCAGAGTGATCCAAATTGTAATCTAAATTGACTCAAATGATGATTTAACCTCGTTTCTATCTGAGCTACAGTTTATAAATCCTAAGGTTAATCATCAATTGAATAGGTTTTATTCTCAGTGCATCTGAATTCATTGGAAATAACAATGCATTGAAAACAAAATCTCTCAGTTCAATCAATGATAATCAACATTGATCTCTAACGGATTTATTTCATATTAGTCTTCGTTACCGTTTTTATAACCACTCCAGTAATATTAATACATATCAAGGGCCAAGTTCAACGACTGATGCATTTCCAGCCTCAGTAACCCAGACAACTCACAATCTTGTCTCACCTTTATCAATTAACATGGCTGAAGTTGTGACTGAAAATAACGCCCTGATGACTTACAGTAATCAATAAATTGTAGGTGACTTTTGAACATTTTTCTCGTTTTAATTTCTTCGGTCTTTTTTAAATTCATCTTTAGCTTCAAGTTCAATTTAAAATTGAAACTGTAACCCAAAAAATCCTGGTTAAGACTGACATAGAAACAGGATCAATTTAGCATCAATGAGTTATTTTATGCTAACTGAAACAATCTTCATGCCGTACCCACCTATTTCAGACCTTTGCTCATTTAACTAACAATAGCAATGTAAGTTCAATCGTTCATGCTTTTCTCGATAAAAAGATGTATTAATCTTTTGCACACATCTTTTCAACAATGAATGTTAATCTTGAGACAGAAATGTAATATAACTTTAAATGAAGGTTAAAGCTCAGTTTTAATTTTTTGCTTCGATAGTAATTGAACAGATGATCAAATTTGCATTCACATTAATCTTGGACCTATCAATTAATTCAATTCAGAGTTATTCGTTTTGATTTAGTTGGAAATAGTTTTCAATTGTGATTGAGGGTGTGATAGTTTAGGTTTGCATTGTTAACAAAAAGAGGTTAATATAAAAGTATGATCATTTGATGATTGATTTTATTGATAGGAAAAACTCTTTACCATTGTAAATAAATTGTTTATAAATGATCATCACTTGATTGTCTAAATATGCAATTAGTCTGTAAAATGAAAGTCAACATTTTAAACAACAGATTTATTACAAAATTCAAACTCAAATCAGTTGATATTGAAAGTGTGATAAACTTGAATTGAAGGAAATGAATTGATATCCAATGTCATGATTGTGATGAACGTTTCTCGGGTTTGCCGGATAATTAAATTTAATAGTAAGTTAATGGTTCACTTGATAAACCTATTCAATGAAATAGATTATTTTAAAAGGAAAATTTACTCAATAATCAGAATAAATCATTTCTCTCTTAATTCTAGTGATGTTTAATGCTATTGAATCAAGAGTCAACCTTGCATTAATAAACGATTTCTGGTTCGTAGAAACACTGATTTCATCTTTACATGGTTGAGTACATTTTAAAGTGTACGACTTGTAACTAATGGACAGAGCCTAGCATTTTAAGAGCAATAATTCAAATAAATTGCTGTTTGATTGAATTACTAGATAATTCAAATTTATGCAAATATTATTTTTTTGATGTTTTGAAGTTTTATTCAAAATGTCTTTCCTTTGCAAATGAAAACAAACAAAATAATGGAGACGAATATATAAACAAAATGTTGTCAAATGATTGAATCTTAACCAAGGTTGACTTTTGAGTTGATAGCCATTATCAACGGTGATTAAGACCAGTTTTACCTATTGTTGGTGTTTAAGCATTTCAATGATTTTACATTTGAACGTCTCTCATTAAGCTTGGAACTGAACTGGAATCTTTCATTAGAATCATTCAATGATGAAAAGAGGAAAGGATGTTAGTCAAAAAAATCAGATAGCAATTTATTTTAACACGTCCAATGATTTCAATTATAATAAAATAGTTGTAAATAAAATTGATAGTATAAATTATAGAAAAGGAAATTTAAATTCAATTTTCCGTGTTGATTGTAAATAAAAATTTATCTTTGCTTGTTTTCAAGTTAAAAGAGTAGATTACGGTTTCTTTATCCTGCTGGCTTCATCGATATCATCAGCATCGATACAATTTGATTGAAATGGCCAGTTCAGGTGATATTTGGTAAAATTTCTTCGGGTTAAGATTGAATCTTTTCAAATTTGAGTAAAGGCATTTCTGCCGGTCTTCTTGAGAGTCCAAAATGGGAATCAAAGGATATCTTGACGCCAGGCTTGGTTGAAATCTTGAATCGTTGTAAAATACATGTAAGGTATAAAAATAGCTCAACATTGGCCAGTCCTTCACCTGGACAGGCTCGCTTACCGCCACTAAAGGGTACCAAATATGCAGGTTTGATGGCTTTAGTTACTCCTGACTCGGTGGATAGGAAGCGATCTGGATTAAATTCAGTTGGGTTAACCCAAAGTTTGGGATCATAATGTATGGACCAGATATTGAAGATGACAACAGTTTCTTTAGGTACATTGTAGTTACCTATTTTAGTGTCTACAGTAGCACGACGAAGTAAGTTAGCTGCTATAACGGAGGAAACTCGATGAGTTTCATAGATAAAGGCCATTGTGTAAGGCATTTCATTTCGGTCTGCATATAACGGCTTCCTTTCGTGACCAATCACTTCTTGAATCTCTTTTCGTATTTTCTCCTGGATTTCAGGGTAGGCCACTAAATATAGCATTGCCCAAACCAATGTACTGGTAACAGTCTCAGTTCCAGCGCCGAAAAAGTCAGTCACATTTCTTCTCAATATTTCAAGGCTGAAATTACCCTTTTCAGGATCCAAACCTTTGTCTTTACGCTTTTTCCTCTCCAAAAGATAGCCATCCAGATAGTCAACTATAACATTTTCATCAAATTTTTTCTCATGAGCGTCAATCTCTGTTTGAAAATAATTGTAAGTCCATCTAACACCTTTAGCAACATACGCTGTGTCAAATATACCCAAAGTGATCAATATATTTGCCAGCCAAGGAAGAAAAGCAGTTACTCCAGCAAATGCAAAATTTTTAACTATCATGTGATAATTTTCATCCAATTTCATCTTGTTGGGGTCCTTGTAGTCAAATGTGTGACCAAAGAGTAAAATACAAATATTGTTTGAAACACTTGGCATGATTGTTGCCTCCAAATCAATTGGCTCGGCAGATTCTTGTTCAATAAAATTCATCAATTGGTCAATCTCTTGTTTAATCAACTCCTCCATAAGACTCTTGCCAAATCCAACGGTGCGAAAAATGGAAAGCGCCGTATTCCTCTGTTCACGCCAAGATTGTCCAGACATCTCAACAAATGATCGGACATTTGTTAAACCAGGGAAAAAAGTTTCATGTGGACGACCAAGTAAACACTCGTTGGCGAAACCTTCCTTCATGTGATCCCAATCAGTGACGACAACAACATTATGTTTACCTAATTTGACACAATAAACGGATCCATGAGTTTTGGCAAGCTCATCAAATGCCAAGTAAACAGGTTGCTTCAGAAAGGGTAAATATCCAAAAATTGGTATTCCCCATGGTCCAGAAGGTAATTGGCGAACATTTTTTATCCAGAGCAACAGATGATGAACAATGTAGATAAAACATGTGGCAGAGACTAGCTTAACACATTTAGTAAGCAAATCATTATCAAAGGAGAACATAGTTACGATTTAAAGTTCTCTTTCCTTTTTACTGGCACTGAAAACTCATTAAGATGTTTCCTGGAAATACTCAAATCAATGATTAAGATCATTGAATGTTGAACACTAGACAAGATGAAAATAGATTGATAAAAAAAGGAGATATTCAGGGAAAAGTAAAATGATAACAATGGCAATGGAACTTGTTTACTCCTCTAGAGACCATTAAAATAAATTAATTTTAGTTACCGTAATTAACCTTGAAAAATTAAGACTTATTTTTTCATAATTTACCACTTTAATGACTTTAACCATGATTAATATTATCTTTTTTGCATTCACAAGAAATTATCATCTGTAGTTTTGCATAATTGACAACGTAAGCTGAAAGAGGAGCATAAAAAGCCTAGCCGTTTATAAGTGTGCAATGATTACATACGATCCTTTTTTTAGCTTTTCATCTTTTCTCTTGACTGGTTAGCCAAACGTGAATTGTACGTGAATTGTACGTGAATATGGATCAGTATTGTAAAGATATCTTCAGGTTTCAATCAGGAAAAATCAGAGAAAGAATTTCTGTTTTATATTTTATCCAATCATCGAATGGTACTTCAAATCTCCCTTTATATCCAAGGATAAGTAACACTGAAACACCTACAGCTGATTGCTTGTTAATTTACTAATATTGTGAGTTGATCAAGTTGATCAACTAAAACAAATACAATATAGATTTATCGGGTTAAATGAATTTACAGTTTGTTAATTTAATTTTCTCGCTCATCATAATTAAACGGCGATTTCCTCTAAATGCATTTTAACTGTGGAAGAGGAGAGGTGAAATTTATCTAACAGAGTCAATGGTTACCTTCATTTGGATGTATTGTAATTGATTGCTCATTTTCACACCTATTTGACTATTAAGATCAGTCGAGCGATCTCATTTAGCCTATTTGATTACTCTAACTCATTAAGTGATGCCAAGTGAAATCATCAAGTAACCCAAAATGTTGGTTTCCCTCGATTCCGATACTTGATCACTTTTTAGTAATCATATCTTTTAGCTCTTAATTTTTTGGGGCTTTTAACTCTTTTTGCACATTTATAAGCTTCATTAAGCTATAAACCCAGTTATTGGTTTCATTCATTTAAATTTCTAAATTAGATTAAGCTTAAACATTGAATGATAGCTGGCATCAATTTGAACGACAGCAATCAGGTTTTTGGAGCAAAATGTTTGAATTATTTTTATGAAGACGATTTATATTCAGAATTGATTTATTTTTTATTCAATTAATATCTCACCATTTAGAGAAAAGAGTAAAGGAAGTAAAAAAGGTCTCCTTTACTCTTCGATATTGGTTTAGCGTGTTAAAATCACAATAAACTTGATTATTAATCTTTAAAAATAGTTAAGCGTTTGAAACATATGTTTACAATTAGTAATTTTTGAATGGTCCCTAAAAACAAAAAGTCACGTTAGTTGCATGTTGTTATGTAAGATAATTGTTCGTGAAACATTTCGAATTAAATAGCGTTCTGCTCGATGTTATCGACATGTTTTCTGGTCAAACTATTCCTTCATAGTTCTTGTTTATAACGCTCCATAATAGTCTATCTAAGTTTTGTTTTTTTGCTTAGACCAGTCTGGTTTATTCGTTGCTACTGCGAAATTTGTCCGACTTGATTGATTTTGTGTTTCTTCTGACTTTTTTTATCTTTCAGTAACATCTTTGCTCAAGAAAATGATGCCATCGACATCCCGTGGTCATTCATCTGCCGGTGATGTCAGTAAGCGAGTCTATAGAGGCGATTCACTTTTGCCGGCAAAAAGAGTTAAGCAGGAAGATCCACTTGAGGAAAATCAACAAATGAATATTGATGATGATCTTGACTATGATAATGATATTGATTATGAAGATACCGCTGACTATGAGCCAAGACCTGATGTTTCTTTGGAAGAGGCTGGTATTCCTGATAATCTTGAAAAATTCGTATCCTTCATATTACATCTTCCAACTCCGGTCCAAAATAATCGCTTCACTACTGGTTTAGATGAACTTATGCAACGCTTAAAAAGTATTCGGGCTAAATTCACATATGACAGTGTTTCTCATTATCTTCAATATAATGTACCATATCTTTTATGTAAACTGGGCAAAGAAATGGGAATAGCTATGGAAGAGAAAGGCCATTTTCCTTCGGTTGAAAACTGCGAAAGTGTTATAAATGCTTACGTTCTGATGAAAGAAGAATTCAATGACGACATTGACTTTAAGCTTTCTATTCTTAGTCCTAAACATACTCTAATGGAAGATTGTCCCAAAGCTGGCGATATTGTTCTGGTCAAAATGAAAACTGAAAGATGCTCAAATGACAAGGAAGGAGTTTTTCAGGATCCAGCTTTCTTAGGCATTTTTTTATCCACGTTTACGAGAGTTCTGCAGCCTGAATTGTTTTCGATTGAAAACTTAGTCCTTAACGAGGCTCCGGAATTCAAGAATGATCATTTATGCGAAGAAAGTGTATTAAGAACAAGGAAACATACATCTCTTTATGATCGGAGTGACTATCACCTGGGAATCCATAAGTTATTCAATTTTTTACCTATTTTACAAATGGCCAAAGCACTTTTTCTGCTTGATGATTATCCTTATAAAGAGCATTTCCTAAAGCCTGTCATGGTAATTAAAACCTCTGGTGTTGGTATTAATGAGGAATTGATTACTGATCCAGAAAAAGCAGATACGTTCCAAAAAGCCAATGATCTTGTTGGACAAAATGACCCTTCATCATCTTCATTCCTTGCTGTTAATTTAGAAGTCCCTTATTATCAATCTTTCATCACACCAGTCTTGAAACAACTAGTCAGTAACTTGTCTTTCTTCAAAACCAAAGATGATGAAAAAACGCCAATTTTAATAATCTCCGAAGACGAAGATTTCAGAAAAGATCTTTGTACTCATTTGAAGACGGAAGGTTTCGATGGTAAAAATGAAGTCATAATAGATCCAAGCGATGATGTGAAAGTTCAAATTGACGAGCTGCTCATTGAATTATATGCGGGTCATATCGCAACTCTCGAAAAGGAAACTGAACAGAAAAAAAAAGGTAAAGAAAGGTATTCAAAGTGTATTGAGCATCTTAAAAACGTACGAGCCATTAATGACCTATCACCTCACTGGATTGCTGAAATGTTACGCACTCGGAAAGACATAAAAAGAAAGATGCTGAAAGACGCCAAAGTTATCATTACCAACTTTGAAACAGTTTGCTCTGATCTTACATATTTGGCAACTTTCAACCCTAAAACTGTTAGTGAACAGCGAATCCTGTGTTGCATTATTTGTGAAGCCCATAACCATTCAGAACTGAAGACTCTCGCTTTAACTAATCTTGGTATAAAAAAATACATGCTCTTGGGAACTATTGCAGAATTAAGATTCCAAGAAATTGCTGAGCAAGAGACTTTTTCGGAGCGCTTCATTTCCTACACTCGTTCGCTTTTCGAAAGACTGTATTCGCTTCATTCCAAAGGACCAAGTTTAATAAATTCATCATTCGTTGATTAGTGTTCTAAACCTATCAACCATTGTATCTAATTGCATTTAATTCATACCATTTTTTATATTTTTTGTTCATCTATTTTTCAAAATGTAACACTTATCTTCAAAAGCTCTCTGTCCAAGCCTTTAAAAACTCTACTTTTTATAATGAAATCCATTCAGATTTCAGAATGGAAAAATAAAGTAAACCAAAATTATAGATTATTATGGAAATTTTCATCCATGTTAAACATTACATATGTATCGGAATAAATATTTCAGTGCACTTGAAATCATTTGACTGGAATACTGAACACACGCGGATAAAAAAGACTTCTGATAATGGCAGATTAAGACAAAATATTTCATATAAGATTGACTTATATTCAATTCCATCATAACTGAATGAAAAAAAATCACAATTGGTACAAGATGGATATTAATGGCAAAAAATTCCTATCTATCTGGTTACAAATCAGGATGATATTGATGGCTGTGATGTATAAGCAATGTAAATAAGACCAGTGGTTTATCAAGGAGGATTTATGCTTTAATCCAAGTAGCAATGATTAATTTCGCATTGAAAATGGTTTATCCCAATGGAATGCAAGTTGATAACTAAAATATCTATTTCTTGAGCTCGATAATTTTTGGGATGAAACAATTGAACAAAATTCAAGTTAACATTTGTATAAATAAGCTTTTGATGGATGGAAACGGTTTATTGCGAATTCCAATCCTTCCCAAGTAATTCATTACCTGTATATAAAATAGAAGTACAACAAAAATATAATTTGGTGAACTCGGTAGCGTCCATTGAAGTCCAGTGAAAATGGGGAAGATCAATTGGAAGTCCATCTCTGCAACCCTTAGAGACTCTCAAATGGAGTTTTTTTATTTGATTTTCATGTATGGTCTATCAGTTCAGTCAACCGTTGTTACTCAATTAATTGAAGATAAAATTTGTTTAAATAAATTTGGATTTCCTTTGAATGATTGTTTGGCTGACAAGTCTGAAAATAAAACGCTGGTCCTAAAGGAGACTTCAATCATCTCAAGCTACCGTTCAATTCTTGGTAAACTTCCAGCCATTTGTACGACACTCTTTGTTGGTTCGTGGATCAACAATTATCCCAGTCACCTTAAATTCATCATTACCATGCCATGTATAAGCAGTATACTTCAAATCCTGATTTACATTGGTAACGCAATCTACTTTGAATTGGGTAAGTTTCTGATTACTTTGTTGCTATCTGGTCTCTCAATTTTCAACATTAAAAATCGTTTCAATTTGCTTCTGATTGGGACTGTTTATCATGCTCATCACAGATTATCCCAAGTACATGTAGCTAATTTGGAATAGAATCCATCTTATCTGGTGTCCTTAGACGAAATCAAACTTCTTAAAGGATTAATGTGTTTATAATTTTCACAGAGATTAATCTATTGGTTATACTCAGTGTTTATCAACAATTATAGAAACAAATCCAAGTCAAATGATAATAAGAAACATCAGAGTTTTATTTGCTGAATTTTACATCATGAATTCCTTAAGCAAGATTAGCAGGTGAATCGATCACTTGAATGGTTAACAAAAACTCTGATATATTTACTTTGCCAGTCAAAGCACCTTGAAAATTGTTTTATTTTAAATGAACATTGAGACATAATTGAAATTTAAATGAATGGCGGAAGAAATCACTAATAAAATGAAAGATTTTTACACTTTTCTGATCGAGTCTTCGAATCGATGGCAAGATTGAATTACCTCAATGAGTGGACTTGATGTTTTGTTTTGATGACATTTTTGTAATTATTGTTTGCATTTGCATTCATAAAATTAGATCCAAAGACAGTTCTGATCGTCGATCTGTTTCCCTGGATTTTTGGAACCATCAGAAATACTTTTATGGCTCTGCAAACCTATGTTGTGTTAACTAATCCACCTGAGAAAAGGATCATCAAATTTGCTTCAATAGACGTTGCCAGTTTAACCGGTAAGTCTTCAGTTTATTTAAATCTTTCAAATTATTCAACTTATTCAATTAAATCTTTTAGGTTCAATTGCTGGTCAGTATATGGGAGGTTGGATTCTTGATCAAAAACCTTGGTTTCCAAATCAAGTTCACAATTATCTTGGAGTTTTCATAATCTCATTGACATTCAAAGTGATTTCAGTTTTGTTTTTCATCTTTAAAGTACCAACCGTTTATAAAGTGAATGAGAAACGAGTTGCTCGCAATCCTGATTATGTTAAATACAATTTACCTTTTAAAACTCAGCAATCGGTGGAAAGCAAATTGTCTTTTCATAATAAAGGAGCAATCAAGGAATTTATAAGAAAAGTTTTCTCTCTTGAAGCATTGAAAAAGCTGTTCAGAACTTTAACCAAGCCTAGAGATGCCGGGAAAAAGCAAGCTCTGTTGTTGCTTGTAGTGGCCGAGATTGTATTACACATTGAGTTTTCCTTCAGAGGCTCTGTTTCATTCCAGTTTTCACAGAAAGCCTATGGTTGGTCTAATTATCAGTATTCAACTTATCATGCTGCTGTCAGGGTTATTCCAGCTGTTATGCAGTTGATTGGTCCACGAATTTTAATCCAAAGACTTGGTGTCTCTGATATTAATCTTGGTTTAATGGCTATTGCTTCACACACTGCTGAACAAATTATAACTGGTGCATGGTTATCATCTGCTGGTTTCATTGCGGCAACTCTATCTGGTGCTGTTGCCTTCCTATTTGGATCTGCTGTTCGTTCAATCCTTTGTAATGTTGTGGAAAGAGATGAGATTGCAGGTGTTTTCAGTTTACTTTCGGTGTTCAGTTCAATTTTAACTCTCGGCACTGATTGGGTTTTGATTAGGCTGTTTAACGCTACACTTTCATTTTATCCTGGCCTCGGTTTTCATATGTTTGCTGGTGCTGCAATAATTCCCTTCTCTGTCTTTATGTGGATCAAATTCAAGTTGCCCCATTTGGTCACCAAAAATATGGCGAAACGCAAACCAGATAATGTTGAAACGGGAGGTAAAGATAAGCAAACTGGTGGAGTCGATAACAATGGTTTTGCTATGACTGAACAAGTAACTGAACCAGAACAGAAAGAAGGCGAAGTTAAATATTAACCAAAATCCATCTTATTATAGATGAACCTTTATTGCTAATCTTTATTATAAATTATCTTAATTTTAAATTATTGTTAATTTTGTTGTATATTCCCATGCCGATATGAAGCCATTTGCCAAAATAATAAAATTAGATCATATGTACACTTTAAACATTGTATTGTGCTTAATCGTTTTTATTTCATTTCGGGTCCTACTGAACCCACACCTACGACTTTTTTATTAATTACGGAATATGCTTTTTAAACACTAAACACCAATCAAAGTCGTTCATCACTTCTATTGAATAAGAACTTCTTGCTGGACAGATTGAATTTAAATTGTCGGATAATGGACATAACTAGATTACTCTGTATTTATTACTGTTTCATTGTTGATTGATTTTACTGTATGGCTTGGCAAAAAGTATCCCGTCTTTCAGGTGTGGGTGTGTGGTTTCAATTAGGACCCTTTCATCCCAGTTTATCTCATCTAAAGATCTTCAATCATTACTGATCTAAAAATTCTTGTCAATGATCAGTTCTTGGGAATAACTAAGCATTTCATTTTTCAGTTTCATTTTTCGCGATTTTGACATCAATTCTCGCTGAAATAGACTTAATTTGAAAATAAAGGAACCAAAAAATAAAGTACTTAAACTCAAATTGATGAAACTAATGTCAAAATGAAAATTAATTTTCTTTATTATTTGCAATGTCAACCGAAATATGCAGGTTGTTACTAAAAAGACAATAAACACAATTGTCACATTTATGCACAAATACTGAAAGAAAAATGACAATAACGGGTACAAATTGGTTAATAGTCGCTTAAAGCTCAGTTGGTCCATCGATCATAGTCAGATCGATGGTCCTTGAGAAAATCGAGCTCGAAGTTGAAACTTGAAAAGCTTTTTGTACAACTATGACAGCAGATTTTTGTCGTTAAACACATTGTACTGATGTATCTTTTGAGGATAAACCAAGAAATGTATTCATTTTTAGAAATAAAATTTTTATTTTTCTGTAAAACGAATTAGTTCGATTCTAATTTAAACCGATCCCAATCTATGACCATAAGAGTTAACGAGCTCAAACTTATTATTTGTCCATGAAAAGGGTTGGCTCACATTATGGATTGAATAATTTTTTCAATCAATCAGCAGTTCTCTTGATTTTGGCCATTGGCCTTAAAACTTTGAGTCTCGATATTTCGAGAATGGCATCATTCACAATTATTATTCTCTAACCAAATTAGTTCTTAACTAATAAATAATGCAATACAATTGAATTACTTTCAATTAGGCCATTTGTGTCATGATTTTTGGACTTTAAATGTACTAGAAACAACTTATTCAACACAAAAAACTCATATAAACACATATCTTGCTAAATAAACCACTTTTCTGGTTAAACTTATAAATGAGATGCAAAGAGTGCTGCCAAAGGCTCGAACATTTGAGTGCAGATTTGAGACTTAGTGAAGTTTGCAGGGAAATGAAAACTGAGTTCATTGGTACTGTTAAATAATTCATACGATGAGCGGTTTTCTAGAAAATCGAAGTCAAAGTTTAAACTTCGAACGTGTTTTGTGCAACTATAGAAGCAGATTTTTTCATAGAAATCTGTGCAAATGATGTGAATTGTGATGATGAACCAGAAAATGTATTTAATTTGAGAAATAAACTTTCGGTTTCCTGTAAAGCATATAAGTTCGATTTGTAGTAAAAACGATCTTCTTCTGTGACAGATTGAGTTAGAGGATTGAAACTTATAATTTGTCAATAAAAACTGTTTGTGCGCATCATGAATTGAATACTTTTTTCAATCCAACAACAGCTCTCTTGATTTTGGCCATTGGCCTCAAAAATTTGTACCTCAATTATTCGAGAATGGTATAACCTACGATAATTATTCTTTCTCGAAACATTAGATCTCATTATGGGCTATAACATTATGTGACTAAATATCAAATAAAATCTAAGTTAATTCATCTAATACTGAAGATACTTTTACCGCTCAAGATTTGTGTTTAGCTTTATAAAGCAAATTTCAAATCTGCCAACATGAGTAATTAAAGGCTATCACTTATTTGTGGCTGATCTTAAATGGTTTAATATTACAATATATTGTAGCCCATATTTCGAGCTAATGTTTCGAGAAAGAATAATGATTGTGGGTGATACCTGTCTCGAAATATCAAGGCTGAAAGTTTTAAGGCCAATGGCCAAAATTAAGAGAACTGCTGATTATTTGAAAAAAGTGTTGGGTCGTTGATGTCTACCAACAATTTTTAAAGGTAAATAATAAGTTTCAGCTCTTTTACTATGGCGATCGGTGATTGCGGTCGGTTTTATTAAAATTTACACTTGACCTGTTTTACAAAAATAGAAAAAGTTATTCGTCAAAATAAGACCATTTTCAGGTTCATCATCACAATTCACATCATTTGCACAGATTTCTATGAAAAAATCTGCTCTATAGTTGCACAAACACGTTCGAAGTTTAAACTTTGACTTCGATTTTCTAGAAAACCCCTCATCGTATGAATTATTTAACAGTACCAATGAACTCAGTTTTCATTTCCCTGCAAACTTCACTAAGTCTCAAATCTGCACTCAAATGTTCGAGCCTTTGGCAGCACTCTTTGCATCTCATTTATAAGTTTAACCAGAAAAGTGGTTTATTTAGCAAGATGTGTGTTTATATGAGTTTTTTGTGTTGAATAAGTTGTTTCTAGTACATTTAAAGTCTAAAAATCATGACTCAAATGGCCTAATTGAAATTAATTTAATTGAATCGCCTTCTTTATTAGTTAAGAAGTAATTTGGTTAGAGAATAATAATTGTGAATGATGCCATTCTCCAAATATCGAGGTTCAAAGTTTTAAGGCCAATGGCCATAATCAAGAGACTGCTGATTGATTGAAAAGTGTTGGGTCGGTTATGTGTAACAACAATTTTCATGGACAAATAATAAGTTTGAGCTCGTTAACTCTTATGGCCATAGATTGGGATCGGTTTAAATTAAAATCGAATTGATCCGTTTTACAGAAAATGAAAAATTTTATTTCTAAAAATGAATACATTTCTTGGTTTATCCTCAATGAACTCATCATTACTATGAGTTTAATGAAAAAATCTGCTGTCAAAATTGTACAAAAAGTTTGTTTGTTGTCTTAAAAGGAACAACAAAATATGCGCTCATATCGGTAATGAAATTCAAAAAAACTTTACAATATAACATCGATTAACGAATAAAGCTTTTGTACGGTGAAGAGTGATACATGAAAAATTTGAACTTGATTAATCATATACAAAAAGGGTTTGCATTCACACAATGCTTTGAAATACGAATTCTTTATTTTTCCCAAATCCTGTTTTAACATAATTTTCTCAGGAATCTGAATTCAAAGGAAGCTCGGATTATTTTACGCTTATTTATAATTCAATATTGATTCTGCGTTTTCTCAATTTTTTGTTAAATCCTTTCAGTTTAGCCACAAAACGCATAATTTTGATGCACTCGCATTTCATAAATGTTTATGTTTATATACTTTTATATGCTAGATTATAATAGATTTCAATCTTGGAAGATATTTATTTACACCAAAATGATTTAAAATTAACAATTTTATTCACAATTGTTTGTACATTTGAAGTGAAAAATGGGGTTCACTAAATGAAATGTAAGTTTAATTTAATTTACATTTAGTCAAAAAATAATCAAGGAGTCACAACCATTGATGATGTTTAGGTAATCAATTAGATGAGATCAAAATAAATGGCATTAAGTTTACGGTAAAGACGGTACGGTAATCATAAACGTGATTTTGTTTCGATGAACGATATTCTCAGCCTGGACGAAGATGAAATATATTTTGTGTTTGATTATCAAAAACGGTTTTTCGGTCAAAGTAATTCACTCCACTTGATATGAACAGAATTGCCATCCAAATACTAACCCGATTCATCTGAAACTTACAATGTTAGTAGCAGTTGGAGTACATTGGATAAATTGAATAAATTGGATCTCATCTAGTAAACTCACTGTTACTGGTGTTTTATGGGAAAAAATATTACATTTCCAGTTGAGATTAAACATTCACAATATTTCAAGTCCATTATGATTTATTTAGAGATAAAGAGAGAGAAGAAAATTAGAAGACTGAAAGTTGTGTTGCCAAAAATAAAGTGTGTCTAGGGGAGTTTGCCTCACCCAAATGAGATGTAACATCCAAAAAACTAATGTCTCTTGCATTTCTCTTGCCTTTCCTTTCTTCTTCTCACCTCTTTTCCTTCGTCTTCTTCCTTTCAGCATCCCATCTGTGTGTTAAAACTATTACAAGTCGAGATGAAAAGCCAACCATGATGATGAGCAATGAGGATGGTAAAGATTAAAGCCAACTAGTTGATATAGTTCACCAAAGAAAGGATCCAACTAAATAAACGTTGCTGTTCCTGGTTCCTCTCGTCCATCCAGACTGGTAAACCAACAATCACCTTTAAAAATCAACGGTTAATTGTGATCTTCTAAATTGTATTCTATTGCAATGGAATTACAAAAAACATTGAGAGGACATGAGAGTCTTGATTTTCCAGCTAATGGGGCCAAAACAACAGCAATCAGTACCATTGGTGTTCAATCGGCTAAAACTAGGATAATCATAGCGGTACTAGTGGTAAGTAGATTTGATTACTTTATTAACTAAAATAATTTGAAGACCATCCAAATAACCTTATTTCAAATGGATATTTGAAAATGTCGCATTGCCGGTAAAATCAATGATTTTTGTTTTATCCTTTGAGTCACCAGTAGAGCTTCTGTCTTTAGCCGTCTAGATTTTAGCTATAAGTCTAATTAGACTTAAAGCTAAAGCTAAAGTCTAATGAAAAAATCAAAATTAGCCTTTGAAGCTAGACTTCAAAATTAGCACTGAAGCTAAAGTCTAATGACATTTAGCCTTAAGTCTAGCTTTGAATCCAATTAATCGATTATCTGAGGTCATATTACAGCTGATATTTATTTTTTTACCCACATTAAGTATGAAATCAGACGAAAATTTTCTATCACAGGCAACATATTGCCCAAAAAACGGATAAGTTTAAAAAATGAAACGGTTAAGGCAATGATTTCATTTAAATCTTATGCAAAATTTCAATATTTTCCAATATTAAATTAGACTTAAAGCTAGATTTTTAGCTCGCATCTAAAAGGCTAAAGTCTAAATTTTTTCCTAACTGCACAAGTCTAAGCTAAAGTCTAAATAAAATTTTAGCTCTCGCGGCTAAGGTCTAATCATTTAGCTCTGAAATCTAGACTTATAGAAGCTCTAGTCACCAGTATTCTTGAAAACGTAACCTTAGTTTATCACATATTGCTGCTTTTGAATGCTTTGTAAAGTAAATCGTTGATTTTATTATATTTATCAAATTTTGGTTTCAAATTGAGTTCATGTTTATATTTTTATTTAACGTAAATGTTCAATTTTGATAGTTCAATCTATATCAAGATACATCAACAATCAATTACGATTTATTACTTACTCTTGCTTCTTATTGAAAACAGAGTAAAGATTGGATTGAGTTAAAGATTTGTGATATGGAGCCTTCACTGCTTGACATCGGAAGATCACTTGATGAAGCGATCGACTTTCAGCAGCAGCATTTAACGACACTGAAAAAGCTTGAGGTAAGGATTGAAATGCTGAATTTTGATTATTCAATCATTTCTCAATTTAAATCATTGACTTATCAAAATGTCTAATTACTGATATCTTTTATTAATTCATAGACAAAGCAAACTCCAGTCGAAAAGCTTCTGGGCTCAGCTGATGAGATACTTGCAAACAAGGAAACCGATCCAATTGTATTTTCAGCTATGGCTGAGAATCTGGCGTTAGCCTGGAAAAATTTGAACCTCCAGTTACAATTGAGATCTCAAACGTTGAGTCAAGCAGTTACTTTCTATCGCAGATGTGACCAATTCAATCAGTGGATCGAAAAGGCGGAAAATGAATTTTCTGTGGTTGAACTGCCTGATAGTCTGGAAGGAGTGCGAAAAATATTAGCTGATATTGAAGGACTCAAACGAAATCTTCTAGAGTCATCAATGTTTGCGATGAATGAACAACATTTACTGTTAGCTAAATTGGACGACATGGCTGCTGCCAACCTCTTTGATTCCAGGCCTTTATACAAATCCAGTGAAATAGCCAATGTGATTGCCTATGTTATTGACTACTTGGAGAGATTACAGGCAAAAAGGCGACGACTTGTCACCTTATTCATCCAACGAAAGAAACAACTGGACTCACAATATCTTAGATTACATTACATGGAGCTTCTAAATGGGGTTTGTACATTTATTTTGTTTCCTCTTCATATCCCAACAAAACGTCAACAGATTAAATCACCAGTACTGCATTTTATCTGAATGACAAGATACAGTATAACTTAAATTGCCCGCTATTTTCACGGATTCCTAACCAAATTACAAATGCTTAAAATTGCCTGAAGTAGCTATTTAGACAAAATTTTATCACAAAAATATATAACTTGAGTAAACATTTGATTTAAAAATAGTTATTAGTTAGATAAACAACTAAATCAATGCGGAAAAATCATACATCACAATGCATCAAAAGACGATTTGTTTCCACAATTTATTTTCATTACACTGCAACAGCGATTGTATTTTGGTTCAACCATTAGATTCAATGGCAATTACTGCATTGTATAATGGCTCTTAAGAATCCAATTGCAATGGCTTCAATTGACAAGCTGATTGATTTGGAATATTAATAGCAAATTATCGCCCATTTGTTGAAGATTGTTGTTTAAAAGCTCAACTGAAGTGTAATATCATTCACTTGGCTCCAAACAGAGGTGATTTAGCTGAGAAAAACATTAAATTGCTCAAAACCATTAACATTATTGCATGGTCCTTTTAACCTAAACTTGACAGTGTCACATTACAATGGATAATGTTATTTTTGTTTCAGATTGCCAGTCGCATGGACAAAGAAAAGTCCATTCTTGAAGGCATTAATCCAGGTTGTTCAGCTCGGGAAGCCGGGATTGCTCGCTACAAAATGGATGAAATTGAGCGAAGCTTGAAAAACTTGGGCACAGAATCATTACGCCTGGCGAGTGAGATTGATCAACATTCAGAGGAGATGAACAGTCAAGTTAAAGATTTAGCTTTCAGTGTTCTGGAGGAATACAGTAGTCTCATGTTTACCCTAGAAGAAATGAAATCTTTGCAAAGTTCCTTTGCATCCTTCTTGGAGGCAGCCTCCCTTACCTCTGCTAAACTTGATACCATGTTTGATTCCCTTGAAAGACCTTCTTTTCCCGTTCAACATCGATCTCAATCACCTAGTCCCTGTATCACTCTCGATTATATTCAAGAGACAATTAAGGAAACTGTGAGTCAAGGCTACTATTTGTTGGATCTTGTTGGGACCAATCAAGCTTATATTCAACCCATTAATGCTAAACTTCACGAGATCCAAGAAAAGTGTCGCGCTCTCGAGGAAAAGCTTGCTTCTATTCAACCAATCGTGACCACTGAAACTGCAACCGAAACTGAAGTGGAAATGGTTGAAGATCAAAATATTTATCAACAGAAACAAACTCGGGAAATTAGTGAAAAACTTGTTAAAGTGATAAATTTAAAAGATGATCTCAGCCGTTGGTTAAACCAAAGAGTTGGTGACTTTTTACGAGGGCATCAAGATATGGGAAGCTCAATTGGAATTGTTAATGACTTTTTGGAACAACATCGCAAACTTTCAATTGAAATGGAAACCAAGTCATTGGAACTCAAAGTTTTACTCTCCATTGTTAACAGAATGGAATCCGAAGGAGAAACTCTTCCCGAAGATGTTCAAAACTCTATTGATGAACTTAAATCGAACTGGGAATTGTATTCATCGCTACTAGAGAACCGAATCCTTTTGTCAAAACGATATTCAACATTTCACAAAGTCTCCAGTGATGTAAGCAAAAACCTTGATTACATTATGAGTTCATGTGTTGTCAATGTTAATTTGAACTGTGATCTTTATTTTTCTGTCATTTCTTAGGTAACTCGTAATTTAGATCAACTTGAAAATGATTTGATTAAGCTTGAAAAGGTTAGTGATGAAGGTCTTCGTCCATTGACAGAGATTTGGGTCTCATTGAAGCAAGAGACGGTAAAGCTTAAAAACCTGGAATCCAATTTTACTCGTGAAATAAAACAGGTAAATTTTTTGATGAATCTATTGAAGAATCTTTTTTTAACGAAAATTCCTTTCTATTTTTTATTTCACTTCAGAGTAAAGATCCTTTCCTGGACAAAGATCGTGGCGTCCTTTGCGTTCAATCATGTTTAACTCATATCAACAGTTTAATGGTTAAAATTGAAGCCTTAATGGAGGCACGGAAAAGTCAAATTGCTGAGGAGAAAATTAAATCTTCCAGAGCAATTCAAGTTTCCGTGCAAACAGATGAGGTAAATATTAAGCTAAATATACTTTAATCAAAGGAAAAAAAGTGATTAACTGATTATGTTGGATTCCTCTTTTTTTATGCTTGATTTAGATACCTAAGCCTAAGCCTGTTGAAGTTAAAAATGCTGAAACTATGGTAAATAGCTCAGTTCAGAAAATATCTAGTGAGGAAAAGATTACGCGTATGGTTTATCATGATGTAACTAACATTACAAGTCAACGTCTTATAGAGATTCCTGGTAAGTTGAGTGGTTGGGAAGATTATGGTGAAAATATATCGAAACCTTTCCACCATGAGTTAACATTTTATATTTTTTTTACTTGAATCATTATCTAACCATTGAATGTTTATATATTTTTAAATCTATTTACAGATAAACCAGAAAATTTGCCTGATAGAGCTCCAATGTTTATACAAAATTTAACTGACGTAACTTTGGATGAAAAATCAGTTCTGTTTTTATCCTGTGCTGTTACTGGGCATCCACCTCCTAAAGTTAACTGGTATCGAGATGGTCAACATGTTTTCTGCTCTCTTGGTCAAGAGGTTACCGAAGATATGGAAAGTAAAACTTATTCCTTGATTATTCAAGATGTAACTCGATCTCACCAAGGAGTTTATACGGTTGAAGCTGTCAATGCAATAGGCAAAGCATCAAGCAGCTGTCAGGTTACAATTAAACCTAAAATTACAGCCAAACATCCACAATTTTTAAAATACTTGGAAGATCGAGTAGTTAAATCAGGCGACAATGTTACGTTAACTTGCCAAATAACAGGTATAAAGTCATTTCTGTTAAAAATATAATCAATAGCATTTTCAGTATAAATTTAATTCCATTCATTTCTTTTAAGGTTTTCCCGAACCAAAGGTTACCTGGTATTTTAATCATCGTCAAATTGAGTTGAGTGATTTGAGTAAATTCACTCTGAATCAAGATGGGGAGATTTGTAGTCTCATTATACCGACAATTACGAGCGATCTTGTTGGCAATTATTGTATTGTTGCTGAAAATACGGCTGGCAAAGCAGTGTCCAGTTGTAACATTATTATGCCTGATCTCCATAAATCAACTAGTTCACAATCTTTAACAGGATTGGCAGCGTCCAATCAACTTAATCTACCACTAGGAATTAATCAACGAGCTAGTTCAGAGATAAGAACAACATTCCGTGAAATGACCAGTTCATCAAAGATTTTCAAGACAACAACCTCAACCTCTTCAAGATCAGCTTCACAATCAGCCCAACCATTTATCAATCAACTATCTCAACCAACATCTTCATTAACAGGATCAACACTTGAACTTGTCCCTTCTCCTCTCCACTCATCTTCACGAAAAAGTGAATCAATCACCCGAGAAGAGCACCATTTCAGCAAAATAAATGACAATGAACCTCAAATCAGTCACTCTTATCAACAAGAAAATTTGGTTACCACAGATAAAGGAATTGAATCTCACGAGGTTAAATCGTTTGTTGAAAGAAACAATAGCGCACCTTCCTCAAGCAATCTCCAAACAGATATCAGATCACCTCATATTGTCCGCCATTTAACCAATCAATTAGTTAATCCGGGAGAAGAGATAACTTTTGAAATTGAATTGTCGGGAAATCCTATTCCAGAAGTTATTTGGTATAGAAAGGGAATCCCGCTCAATGTTAATGATGAAAATTTCATTTTTACCAACCCAAGTAACGGAATCTATCGACTAACTTTTAAAGAAGCTTGGCCTGAAGATTCAGGTTTAATTACAGTCAAGGCCAGTAATTCACTTGGAGCAATTGAATCTAATGCCAATCTACTAGTCCAAGAATCAAGGCGAGAAAGCATATCAAGTGGCAGTGCAATACGTTGCGTCAATGAAGGTGCCTCAGTGAAACAAAAAAAAGATGTAAGTTAAACTATCAATTAGCTTAAATTATAAACTAAATTATAGAATCAAGTCTTCTCATGATAAATTTTTCCCTTATTTTTAAACCAGTTTTTCACTCGAATAGCCATGGAACAGGCTGCTTCAACCTACGATTTCAAAACACGATGCATGAGTTTGGATCGACGATTTTCCTCAGAAGGACCTGGACGATTGTTTAAATCATCTGGAATCTCTGGTGTCTATTCTTATACAAGTGATTTAAAGCAAGCTGATTCCTTTGAATCCCTTCCTTGTGGCTATAAATATTCAACCTCATCAGCTAAATCAGATATTTCTGAAGAGCCCAGCTACTTTTCAGCTCAGGAAGATAATTCAGAATTTAAACCAGTTTGGGTTCCAAAAAATTTCTACTCAGCTTCAACAACTTTACCAAGAACTCCTAAATGGCAACCAGTTCGAGCTCCTGGTCAAAACAGGGAAACACAGTCTTTCACAAAGGTAACCAAGGTCTAATGTTTAATGTATTAATGTATTGTATGATGATGATGTTATTCAAGATGTTTACTGCTTTTTGTTTGTTTACACAAAATTCACCTAAACTGTAAACTGTTATAAAAATCATATTTGCTTCTCCATTTTACCCATTACCAGGCTATGTCTATACCTAGAGGTGATATATGTCCATCCCTTTTATCGACAACCCTTTCAGTTGGCTCTTTATCCCAAACATCTCTCCACTCCTCCCAATCAACCTCCTTTTTTGGTCAAGACATTTCTGATCATCCAGCTTCCGAAGGTAATCCTGTTCGAGCTCCAATCTTCATCAATGTAAGTTTTACTTATTTGGTAAATTCAAGCTCATCATAAACACAAACAATTTACTGAACCTCGATTATTAATTGTCTTTCTTTTTTCATTGATTGGCACTTTTAGGGACTCAAAGATAAATCAATACCAGAAGGAAGCTACATTTCATTGGAATGTGAAGTTGACGGTTATCCTCCTCCAACAATTAAATGGTATCACAATGACATTGAAGTTGCCTCTGCTTCAGGTAGTCAAATTGATTCGCTTACAGGAGGAATATGTCGATTAATTATCGAGAAATCAACTCGACCAGCGGCAGGGAAATACGTCTGTCGGGCTTCCAATTTAGCTGGATCAATTTCAACTTCATGTCATCTTAAAATACTTAATCAGCCTAGTTCGTAACCTGACAATCAAAAATAATTGAAAAGTCTAAATTTGCTGTATATACTGAAAAACTGATTATGACAAGCATTTGTTAATTATTGATGCCATTTCAATCAATAGATACGATTTGAGAATTCAATTTAAACTCAAATCGTTTAAACATGATAACAAAAATGTGGTTCTTATTGATTTAACAAGTCTGAATGAACCAAAAAGAGTCATTACATGAATTCGATTATTGTAATTATCGACTAAACAAACCATGACCTGTAATAATCAAAAAATAACAATTAATACTGAAAATGAGTTTAAAGGTTAAAAGCATTTTTAAAATTGTAGTTTAAAATCAATAAAAATATTGGTTAACTGCTTGGTTAAGCTGTGAATAGTTTAGTCTCGGTTTTATCAGAATTGACAAACGACCATTTCCTTGCAAATAAACCTGAAACTATTGCCTTATATTAAACTTTTGAGAAAGAAAGTAAATTGTTGAAAAAATAATTATTAATAAACAATACACTCATGCCAGCCATTCTTTATGAGTGCCTGGTATTTGTAGTTTTGTCAAGTTTCCAAGTAAGTCATGGCAAGTAAATAGCATCAAGTTCTTGTTCAAGAATATTAAAATCTCGAGGTCAAGTGGACCCGTGGCAACACAGAAATCATCATATCGATTAATCAAGTCTTTACCACTGATTGTTTTTTCGATATCACAATTGGTTTTGATAACCTCAACAGCCATTAATTCAATTCGTCGTTTAACAATTTTCCATGGTGGGTTAACCATATTACAAGTATTTCCGTGACCAAAACGGTAATTCTCTCATACATAGTAACTGTGTCTAACTTCATCAACTGATGAGCAAAAGATAATTCTGCATGACTACTACCAATTATAGTAAATCTTTCGCCCTTTCCCGCTAAAGGAGGCATCGGTTTCATTCAACCTATTTCAAGCTGATTAATTGCTTCTTGCCAATCATTCTGATAGAGTAAATCATTCCATTTAGGTATTATATTTCCAAGAAGGACATCCCTGAGATGATTAACGAAAGGGTCCAGCACATTCCAGCCATCTAAATAAAAGTGCAGAGGTATAATTAGAAAATCATGTTACAGAAACAATAATAAAATAAGACATTTGGTTTAAGATTTGAATTGATTTTCTCGTCAAGAAAATAATGAATAATAGATAGAATGAAAATAAACTTACTGAGAAGCCTGGGTCTGAACATTTTACACAAAGTCGAATCTTTTGCTTGCTTCACGACAGCCTCGCATTCTTTTGTACTTCATGAAGCCTCTGAGAATATAGAATGAAAGATCATTGATTCAAATATTCTAAGAAAAGAGCGAGAAACAATCGATAAATAGATTACAATTCCAACCAAAAGATAAGTTATCAAATCCAACAGATGTAAGAGCGCTCAGCCAAGCGTGTATGGCCATTAGGGGGTGGAGTGAGAGCCACTCAGCCGTACTCGACTTCTTAGTGAGGCGCTGTCATCACTGACATTCTTATACTTGATTCAGTGACTACAGGGTGATAAGAAAGTTCGTTTGGTGGGTGGAGCATTAATTTGGCCTGATGGTTCATCTAATCACAGTTGCATAAAGCATTGAGGGTCAATTTTCCAATCAAAAAAATCCAGCTTGAAACTGCACCAAAGAGTAAAAAAATAATTAGTAAACAAAGTTATAAAAAAATGGGATAATATAGATAAAGCTTACCTTGTATCTCTTATTAATTCACTTCCGAAAAGAATCACTGACATTGTGAGTAAATTGAAAGAGTGGATACAAAACATCTTATGAAATGTAAACATTAAACCAAAACATAACAAACCAGAATCAGTTTAATGCGCAAGGGGAACCTTTTTTTTCCTCTCCTCATCCTAACACCCTGTACTTCAGCAGTATTATTGCTGAGCAAGGTGATGTTATGAAGAGCATAGTGATGTGCGATGATTGAAAAATCGATGTTTGGTGATTACGCAATAAATTCATAAAGGATCGATGATAATCGACTATTCAGATGCATCGAGTGGATTTAGTTTGTCAAAGTGAGTAAACAAAAAGTATGCAAATCATTTTTAAAGAGATTAGATGATGATTAAAGAAGGCAATCATATCTACATATTTACTTATTGTTAGGGTAAATTGTTGTCATTAATGTGATCTGTTTTTGTTGAAAGGACCCTTCACAAGCAACTGATTAAAAAGGTTTAATCAAAAACTTGAGAAAAATTTAATATCGATTATTGTTAGTCAACATCGATTCAGCATTACATTTAAAATATCGATTATTGTTATCGATATTTTCGATATCATCACCAAACACTAAAGACATAAGTATAAGCATAAAAGCAGCAACAACTACAGTATAATCAATTTCGTTGTTTTCCTTGTTTCCCGTGCGAACCGTTTTTTTTCTAATTGTGATTCTGTTATCGATATAATGATGTCCTCACCAAGTCCAGGCAAAAGAAGAATGGATACCGATGTCCTAAAATTGTAAATAACACTTATCTTATTATTAAATCAGACCAATGGATAAACAAAAAATTTTCTCTTTCTCTATCTCTCTTTCTCTTCTCTATTTTCTAGGATTGAATCTAAACATGTAGTTACTATCCTTGGTGGATTAAATGAATTTTGTGTGAAATTTTATGGACCCAAAGGAAGTAAGTCAATTTTTCTCCTTCTTCACCTTCACTGGAGCAACAGAAAAAAAGCCAATTGTTGTCAGGATTTATTTTTGTTCTCTTTGCTTTGCCTTAGTTTGTTCTTGATGTTAATGTTGAAACCTATTCTTCTTATTTCCTTATCTGCTTATCAACTAATTCAGCACCTTATGAAGGAGGTGTTTGGAAGGTTCGTGTGGATCTACCAGAGAAATATCCATTTAAATCACCGTCCATCGGATTTATGAACAAAATTTATCATCCTAACATCGATGAAGTATCTGGAACTGTTTGTTTGGATGTTATCAATCAAGCCTGGACAGCTCTTTATGATCTCTCCAACATATTTGAATCATTTTTACCTCAATTACTCACCTACCCAAATCCAATTGATCCTCTAAATGGTGATGCTGCAGCATTGTATCTTCATAAACCCGAGGAATACAATAGGAAAGTTGCAGGTAATGTTCAAATTTCATTTTTATTACTCACAAGTTGACCTTACCTAACTAAATCATGTAAATCTTGTTCTAACTGATAATGGAAACTATCAGTTCTTTATTTTTTCTACTTCTCGTTCTACTACTAATCATTTTTGTTGATTAAGGCTCTAAACACCACACAATAAATCTGTACTACCAATTGCAATCTAAAAAGGTGAAGAAGTTAAATGAAAACTGTGCCGTTCACTCTCAACTCCTCACTTTACCTTATTTGTAATTATCAGTTTTACTCATTTTTCTTTCAATTAATCTTATATTTATTATATTATTAACTTATGTTACATTTTCAACCTTTATTTTTCTGTTGCCTTACTTATCCATTTTTCAACTGATTTAATTGTATTTAAAATACTTTACAGGCTTTTAACTTTCAGAAAAAAAACAACAATATTGGTCAACAATGATTAAGTTGATAATATAATAGACTGCAAGTAGAATTATTATTATACAGTAATGATAAAGCTTGGGCGGACCTGGTTGACCTACAAAAATCAAGCATCAAACATCTCTGTTATGCTTTTGTTGTTTGTTGAGTTAAATTTTGCAACTTTCAAACTGATTGTGGAAACAAACAAACAAAAATTAACTTTATTTTTTCCACTCTTTCACTTGTTAAATATGATAAGTTTTTTTTCCTTCAATTTATTCTCTAATTGTTAATGATGGAACATTTTCTCCATGAGAGTGTAAGGATTGCAAAATTATGAGTTTGAAACATGAATCATTATTATGTTTCTTTAAACTTCTCTTCTCTTCTACTACTTTATCATCATTTCAAAGCAATCCATCTCATGCTTGGTACCCTCTCCCTCAAGATGGGTCAACATTCATCTGGGGAACCCTCATTTTCCTTCCTCTCTTTTCCCTATCTCTTTTTTACCCTCAGGTTATATTTTACTCGTAATATACATTTATATAAATACATCCAGTCCTTGGTTATTTTTGAAGTAGGAAAGTGCTAATGTAACTTTTTCTTTTCTTTTTCTTTTCTCTTCTACAGATTATGTGAAAAAATATGCTACCGAAGAAGCGTTGAAAGAACAGCAAGACAAAGAATCTTCGTCCGAGGAAAGCTCGATGAGTGATTTCTCTGATGATGAAACTAAAGATATGGAATTATAACTTGAACTTATCATTCTTATCAACCTAATAGCATACACATATTACATACATGCATACAAAACCTCTACATAAATAAATAAAACATACACTCACACACATAAACACACCACATGAAAAAAAACAAACTCACCAAAAAACACAAGCCAACACAAAAAAAACCATCTCTTACCATCCGTACAACTGAATTTTATCAAATTACATGAAGAGGATTCACATGTGATACGAAATAATCAAGAAACGAAAAATCAAAACCTTTGCAATTTTGAATGGTGATAAAATTGTTCAAGACATCATGCTTTGGGCTAAAACAAAGAGGAAAAAAAAGGTTTACATCAATAGTTTAATTAAGAGATTATGACATGGTGTGTTATTTTGAATGAAAAAAAAATCAATTGGTATTTACTAATTACTACTACGTAAAGTTGTTGTCGTGGCTACATATTTATAAAAATATATTGTAATTTTATTATAGATGTGTAACCCATTTAGGTGATTGTTTTTGATTGATTATGGAGATAGTTTTTGGTTGTCATTTGATAATCTTTGGTAAGGAATAATATCACAATATAATTAAGCTATTGATGGCAATTGATCGACATTTTTTTTCTAATTTTTCTTTGTTTGTCAGGAATCTTCTATTCTATTTCATTTTTTCTCTCACGTTTTTTTTGTAAAACACCAAAGGCTAACCATTAACCAGATAATTGTCATAATTAAAGATAAAAGAAATCATTGTTATTACTGTTAACACAAGAAAACGAAGACCCGATGACTGCTCGATTTATGGAGTTGACAGTTTGCTTTTTAAGTGTTCATTTCTTTTTGGTACATCATCTCAAACGAATCACTTACAAGCCCAAAAACCCACAAACAAACGAAAAAAAGTAAACTAATTAATCAATCCCTTAATTACCCGAGCAATGTAAATCATATTCTTCTTTTTTCTGTACTTTTCTTGTTTCACAATTTGAAAAAATGAAAGATTCGTTTCATTATATTCAACTTTTTGACAAAAAAATTCTTTAACTAAAAACAAAAAGTTTCAATTTTACTTTACTAATGTATCTTTATCTGACATAATCTGATTTTGAAACAGTGTGAATGCTACCGTGAATTTAGTGACGAAGGATATAAAATTTAAACATGAATCTGTCACTGGATATGTCATATTTCCGGAAATTTTGTAAGTGGTGATAAAGTGCGAGCAATTCGCAGTTAGATTTTCTTAGTATGATTATCCTTTCCTTTTGATTTCCTGTCGCATCTTCTCAAAATTGATTTAGCTGACTCCAATTTCATTATCATCATAATTCCTTTGAATAATTATTCCTGGCTTGATCAACTTTGGATGATTTTCTTGAATGCGCAGTTATCTTTCTTCTTTTAATAAACTTGTTTGATTGTTAAGTACCACTGGTAATTACAACACCCGGAGATCCAGTAATTTGATTAATTTTGCAGTTTGTTGTCTTTGCTATTGTAATCTGATCATTTCAATGCATCAGATATTTAGTGAGGCTCCGATTCTTGTGTACTCGTAGTACGAGGATGAGAAAGAACTGAATCAATTAACCCAAATTCGGTTGCCTCTTCAGGTGACATAAATTTATCTCGTTCAAGTAATTCTTCAATTTTTTCAATTGATTGTCCAGTGTGCTTTGCATATAAACCATTGAGCATTTTTTTAACCTTATTTATCTCTTCAGCACGAATGAATATATCTGTGGCTTGACCGTGTGCTGCTCCATGAGGTTGATGAAGCATAATCCTTGAATGTGGAAGCGAATGTCTCATTCCTGGGGTTCCACTGGTTAATAGTAAACTTGCCATCGAACAGCATTGACCTAAATGGGAGATTAAAATAATTAATTAAAAATCAGCTTTTCAAATATTGAAACTGAGAGGTCAAATGAAATTGATAATAAAGTTGCGCAATTCTAATGGATATAAACAAATAACACGCAATCCTCTCATCTTTTGTTACATGATGATGATCATTTTTCCCTGTATGTGGTTAGTAACCAGAGTAATATTGTACACTAATCCTGGAAGCCTTGATAAAATCTATAGTCATTGGTTTCTATTCTTGACTCTGACTAAAAAATAGATAAACTAACAAGTTGTAAGTTTAATTAGATAAAGGTAAGAAAAACATCAACTATCAGGTTGACTTAGAATTGATAAAAAAACCAAAAGATACGGAAATCATGAAAGCGTGGGAATAAAGGTGCAAATAAAGTTATAAAAACTTGAAGGTTGAGTTTTCATAACAAAAATGACCATGAAGATGAATCAGTATCCATAAGTACAAATTAAGATAGAAAAGGCTTGACGGTAAATAAAAATCGATGATAAAGCAAAATAGAAATGAAATAAAGAAAACTGAAAAAAGCTCATGAGCAAGAAAAGTAGTCAAGAAGGTCATGAGGACTATCCATGAAAGCATGTCTAATTAGTCGTTTTCGTTTAAATCGACTGGTTTCCTTGATAAATTCATTTCACCTTGGTTGCTTTTCATTTTTTGTCAGTTATCTAGTTTCCGTATATGAATGGCTTCCTTCAAGATTTAAATTCAACAAACAAACACTTTCGTGAATCTTTCAGATTTAACCAAAGTAAACAAATCTCATCACCATTATAAAACTGTGGATTAGTGGATCGCTGCAATAAACACATCAAACATTCAGGATCGGATCACATAAAACTGCTTACCAACACACCAAGTTGCAATCGGCGGTAAAATATATTGCATAGTATCATAAATGGCCATTCCTGCAGGAACTTCACCTCCAGGACTATTAATGTACATGTGAATAGGTTTCTTGCTGCTCTCGGATTGAAGGAACAATAATTGAGCAACTGTCAGCGATGCTGTGTCATCGTTTATTCCTCCCATCAGGCATATTATCCTTTCCTTTAAAAGTCTTGAAAAGATGTCATAACTTCGTTCACCAGTTCCAGTTTGTTCAACCACTATTGGCACTAGATGTAAACCTCGACTTGAATTTGAATTATTTACAGGCAAACTAGAAAAAATTGAACTCAATGCAACAGTAGATTTATTTGATAAAAACTGATGGGTTGAGAATACCTTATTTAAACGGTTTATCAACATGGCGAAGAATTAATTAGAACACTTAAACAGTTAACTTAACCTTATTCAGGTAATAATACATATTCATTACTCTACAATCACGTGTTTTTCAGAAAACAGCTTATTTATTGAGATAAAAATCCTTTAAAGTGGCAGCAGCTCTTATTCAATGAATGGTGGGAAATACAAAATTTATTTATCCCAAACAGCTGTGCAGTATGACTAGTTTATTTGAAACCCACAAGATGTCGTTGCAAGTCATAATTGATGAAATTCATTTTCATTCAACTAACCAACTGATTATTTTATAATGAATTCACAAAATTATAATTTATATTGTAAAAAAGAGAGAGCGTGTAAGATGAAAAGAGAAGACAGAATAGAGCAGGAAAAGATATAGAAAGGCAAGAAGATAATGAGAGTTAGTCGTCAAGCCTTACTCATCTTTGGATCTTCCTCTTTGTTGTCGCTTCTTCACTAACAAAAGTAGAGATGAACAATACTTTCATGAAGTGTTGATTGATATTATTTTGATAATATTGGTATTGGTCGATCAAATATTTATAAATAAAAGATAATGAACTGAATGTTGATGCGTTAAAGGTGTATGTGCAACGAAAAATGGAACCTCGTTAAATTAACTTAATTTTGTGAAAGAGGCCATTGAAAAACCGTGATAGATATTTTCAAAACTGCTGAAGCATTTCGCGTTTGGCCATAGTCGCGCTTCAAAGTCAAATCTTTTTTGATACTTTCTTCCAACCTGGTGACGATATAGAGCTGAAATTTTGTGTAGATATTATTTCTTGAATAGTTTTATTGATCAACGCAGGGAAAATTATTTTCAAGACTTGGATCCAAAGCTCTCTAGCTCCTAAATGAATCAACATTTATTAAAAGTCTTTAAAACAAACATGTTTTGTTACGGCAAAGATTAGATTGATCCGAGGTCACAGAAAAAATTTTGCATTTTGGCCGTCTGATTTCACTTGAGATCGCAACATCAAATTTTCCCGTGACGTCGTATGAAGGCAATCTTTTCTATCAGCAAAAACATTTGATTCGATAGCTTTTGGTGAAAGTTCTATGTGAATATTTTGATTCATTTAAGAGCTAGAGCTTGTCAAAAAAGGCCACTCGTAAATCAGGCGAACTACTGGTCATATGAAAAAAACGAGCGTTAGCTCAAAGCTGGTAGTGTAAAGACTATTTTGTATCAATCTGTCAATCATGTGAGTCGATGTTAACCTAGTCATTATCAAAAAAGATTCAGGTAAAGTATAGTAAGGTAGTTCAACCAAAAATTGACGCAGAAATTGTTTTGCTAATTATTCAGCAATCAGATTAGTTAGACAATTTTTTTAATTTTTATTAATTGAGTCCTAATAATATGCCATAAATAGCTACTGTTATTATATTTATTTTATCTCATGAAAAAATCAGAGAAAGCAATCTTTGTCAAATTTTTCAAGTTTTGATATTTAACCTTATTTTCTATGGGATTTTTCACCAACGAGATGATTTATCTTCAAGTTTTGTTTCATTTTGCCCTCTTTACGATTCACTTAATGAAGACATAGTCGACCAATGTTTGATCAACGGACTTCAAATTTCATATTTAGCTTGAGTTAGGTTGTTGGCTCGATACCTGGAAAAATGGTGAAGTTAATGGTTAAGTCTAGACATTCCGTCTCAAATTTTATTTGAACTATTAAATCTGGATGTGCCAATTTTTAGTTGCACTACCTTATTAGTTCGTACAGAAAATTGAGCGCTCTATCTTGAACTACTTGCGAGAAAGAATCGAAAAAATTCACTTTTAAGTGCAACTGTGGCCAAACGAGACATGCACCAGACAAGACCAAACATGGTTTTTACTGTCATCTTACATAAAATTAAGTTGACTTTCATTTGACTAGGATCGATTTTGCGTGTCACTTATCCCTTTAAGTCAGAAGGTTGACCTCAAACCTTCTTCAATCAAATCTTTTCAATTGGAGACAAAATTTTTCTGGCATTCTGCTATATTATTGTTCAAGACTTGCAATAGTGACGATTTTTGTGGAACAATCGGCGTCAAGTGAAAAACTTGAACTTTCAACTAACAAAAAGTATCGATTGCTCAGTACTATTACTCGTATCGATAGCATCAGTGCAACGCCAACGAAAGTAAAAGGGCGAGAAATAACGTTGAAGCTAAAAAAACATTCATCATTCTTGAATTCACAATACAATAGATGCAATGTATTCAGGTTAACTTACGGATGAAACATGAGACAAGAAAGAAATAAAGAAGATAAATAGAAAGATAGAAAGTGAGAGGTAAAAATAATAATAATTTAAGTCCCATCTCATTTTCTTCAAACAAAAAGATCTTTCCTCTGATTATTCTTACCTTTTCTTGTATCCATACCTTTTTCAAGACCATCCTTTACTCTGCTTGCTTTTCAATCCATCGATATCATCCATTGTCTCCTTGGGTAGATCAACTTTCCCGATTCTCTTTCGGACTGGACGCCACATTTTTTCACTCTTATCTATTCCCAGTTAAATAACATCCCAGTCAACATGTACACATATGCCAACGATTCAGCATGAAAGCGAAGGACCAAATACCACGCCAATCGAATCGAAGATGCACATTATCGCGAGGAAACGCAAATAATTGACATCAATGATACCTTGATCAGCTTTGAACCCTCAACCCTAGCCTAATCCTCATTTGATTTGAACAGCACTTTAACCACTGGACTATACTTATTATTGTTTTTCTATAACATTATTTCATCTTAATTAACTCATACTTATTGTTAATATAAAAACATTAAAAGAAATATGAGCATAAATGAGTGTCAAATACAAGCAAGAAATGTCAAGATTTTTTATTTTTACATTTACATTTGTATTTATTATTGACTGTAATTAGTTATTTACGAATAAACGGAGTGTTAATTAAACAACTTTAGACGTTTGATTCCTGTTTTTCTGGTTGATGCAAATAGATGCATTTTTTCAATCATATATTCTGTCAACCCTAAGTGTAGATTAATTTACTTTAAGATCGTTTGATTATTTATCAAACACAAGCGATTCTAGGGGCTAAAACCTGATTTTGAAAAGTTTATTTTCGACTACTTTTGCAAAGTGTGAGAATGATTTTTCTAGCATTCAAAGACAGTTTTCATGATTTTTTGTCTTGTTTTCGAGGCAATTTAGTTTAATTTGATTTCTCTCTTCGTTCTCGTTTTATTGGCATTTGTTGAATTGCTAAAGAGCATATTCGGAAATTTTCAGAATCGTTACCAGGAGTCAAACCATCTTCTATGCAAAAAGTAACTTAGGCATGTAATGAATATTGCCATTCCCAACTTTTTACATTCATTTGACCTCCTGAAACAAGAAAAAAGTTCTAATTTTCGGTATATACTGAATTTTTTTTCGCGTTTTTCTTCTTCATTCAGAAGAAATCAAAAATCTTGATGAAACTAAGAAAAAACAGACTCAAACAGCCATTCAAAGTTCATTAATTAACATCCTGTACCAATAAATAATTCCAGATAAACCATTTCAACTTTAATGATAAAGAAAACGAAATAAAATGAACTTACCAAGGCCGCTAGCTTAAGAAACAAAAAAAAGTTTCCTTTGACTTAAAGCATGAGTTTGTTGAAAGGTTTTAACCTACAGTTGCTAAGAATGACGAGCTGTTGATTCAATAATTTCGAGATTTTCATGTTGATTGAAATAATCAATCTAATAAATATCATTTCTTTTCCTTGTACTTTTCAACTTCATTTATCGCATTTTTATCTTTACCTTAGTCTACTTATTCCCTCTCTCCCTTTCATCTCTAACCTCTGATTTTCATCTATCATGAAATTCACTAATTACTTGGTTACGCAATATTTTTCGTTATCTTTTTTGTTCAGTCAATTTGGTCAGTATGGGATATAATGGATATGGGAATCACTTTAGATTGACACATTGAAAGACAATTTGAAAGTAAATCGGCCAAGTTAACAAATTGCCCGAAATAATAGTTTACATGTTACATCTTCTAGTATTCAGAGGCCCTCAGGGATTTTAAGTAAAATCCTTGAAATGTGATTGAAAGTGCGAAGAAGATGAGAGAATGGGAAAAATATGATAACAAGGTAAAATGAAATTAACTTTAAAGTTGATGTTACAGTCGTTACTGTTTCAAATTTGACTTGTTTATCCTGTTTTTTGATTTCCATTCATAGACGCTATGATGATCCCATACTGACCAAATCCACTGAATATACTTGGAAAAGATTCCAGAAAATATTAGGTAACCAAGTAATTAGAGTGAATTTCATGAAAAAATCAATCAATTATATTAATTGGAGAAATGATGAGTAAACTGAAACAACACTGACAATGATGCCTGGGGATAAAGCAAGTGCAATCTCCTTTTAATAAACATTCAGTAAAACGCTGTGGCTGTTTCGAGTGAGAAGGAAGACTGACCTCGTGTATATGAGTGAGAGAGAGATGATGATGATGATGAGAGGAGGGAAAGTAAGTGATGATGTTATGTAGGATGAGCGAGTAAGATTATGAGGATGGTGAAAATAGCGAAAGTGATCTTATGCAAGTTACGATAATCTTTCAATATTAACAAAATTATTATTGAACAGAAGAAGAAGAAGATGATAACCTTGCAAGAAGAAGATGAAGACAGAGATGATAAGAAAGAAAGACGATGATGTTAAACAAGGTCAGGTTGTCAATCCAGTTAACGATAATTCAATCCAGATTCAACTGACCCTGGACACCAACGTAATCAAGAAGACGACGAAGATGAAAGACGAAAGGAAAACGATGATTTACCTTGCATTTTTCAATGTTTAGTCTGTTTTAAAGCGCAATCAAATGTTAAACAAGAATCAGCAAAAAGTTACTTTAAAATGACATTTTCTTGTCGCCTTTAACTGCTTAACTCCAGTAAAGTAAGTCAATTGATGCAAAATTCATTTGAGTCTTCCTTTTCAGTTTTACTCATTCAAATGGTGATTCTCATCTTGATCTTGGTGGTGATCAATGATTCTCAGTGACCTTTTAAACAGTGATGAATCAACTGAAAGTGAGCTTAGAAGTCGGAAATATTTCACACTTTTTGTGCCTCATTTCTGATTAATATTATTGATAACATGCCTATATAATACTTTGCTATTGAATAACAGATAAACAGTTTTTAAAATGGTCTAAATTGATAGAGATTAAACCCGAGGGCAATTGAAATTGATTGTAAGAAGAGCACGCAAGATGGTCCAAATCTTTTGTCTTGATTACCTTGGAATTGAATATCGAAATTGGATATTCCTGAAAGTGAAAGTGATTTTGGTTTAAAATCATTGATACAATGCAATACAATGGATTCAAGTTGATTTGGTTGATACATCAGAACTTCAGTTTTCTTCTATTTTTATATTCTCATTTATATTAATCTTTCATTTGTGTTGCGAGACGATTTGTTCTTGTTCTTGATTTGCTTTGTTTAATTTGTTCTTATCTGAAACAAAACAAAGAACAATTAATCTGTTTTGATCCGATAATTTTATTCGGTGGAACAAAACAAATTGAAAAAGTTCAAGAACGACTTAACACCAACTACATTGTTTGTATCGATAATGTGAAAACAAAATCACTTTCACTTTCAGGAATATCCAATTTCGATATTCAATTCCAAGGTAATCAAGACAAAAGATTTGGACCATCTTGCGTGCTCTTCTTACAATCAATTTCAATTGCCCTCGGGTTTAATCTCTATCAATTTAGACCATTTTAAAAACTGTTTATCTGTTATTCAATAGCAAAGTATTATATAGGCATGTTATCAATAATATTAATCAGAAATGAGGCACAAAAAGTGTGAAATATTTCCGACTTCTAAGCTCACTTTCAGTTGATTCATCACTGTTTAAAAGGTCACTGAGAATCATTGATCACCACCAAGATCAAGATGAGAATCACCATTTGAATGAGTAAAACTGAAAAGGAAGACTCAAATGAATTTTGCATCAATTGACTTACTTTACTGGAGTTAAGCAGTTAAAGGCGACAAGAAAATGTCATTTTAAAGTAACTTTTTGCTGATTCTTGTTTAACATTTGATTGCGCTTTAAAACAGACTAAACATTGAAAAATGCAAGGTAAATCATCGTTTTCCTTTCGTCTTTCATCTTCGTCGTCTTCTTGATTACGTTGGTGTCCAGGGTCAGTTGAATCTGGATTGAATTATCGTTAACTGGATTGACAACCTGACCTTGTTTAACATCATCGTCTTTCTTTCTTATCATCTCTGTCTTCATCTTCTTCTTGCAAGGTTATCATCTTCTTCTTCTTCTGTTCAATAATAATTTTGTTAATATTGAAAGATTATCGTAACTTGCATAAGATCACTTTCGCTATTTTCACCATCCTCATAATCTTACTCGCTCATCCTACATAACATCATCACTTACTTTCCCTCCTCTCATCATCATCATCTCTCTCTCTCACTCATATACACGAGGTCAGTCTTCCTTCTCACTCGAAACAGCCACAGCGTTTTACTGAATGTTTATAAAAAGGAGATTGCACTTGCTTCTTTTCATTTTATCTTCAGTCTTCACTGTCGGTGTTGTTTTAGTTTACTCATTTCTCCATTAATTAGTTAATTTTATTTTCCAGATTCCAAGTGAATATCAATCACCATGTTTAAGGTAAGCTAATCAAGTGTTGCAAATTGTGATTCAACACCAAAGGACTATCTTTTGTTATTGTTGTCTGCCTAATTCAAGATGTTAAATCATTCGCCATGTCTCTTGATTTGTGAAAATTGTGATTCAATGGTTGCTTTTCAACAGTTTATCAGCTGTATCAATTAGTTTAGTTGTTTAATTGAGTTTAGATTTGATGATATTTCAATCCATGGATAAAATATTTTCTTCTGTGTCAGCAAAGAACAAGTTTGTCCAGTCTGTCCCATCTTTGACTAATGAATAATGAAACTTGAAAATGTAAGGTGATAAAGATTTTCTTATCTGTCACTAGCACCATTTATTCATGCAGTTATTTGGTGAAATAGTGAATTATCGTTTTCCATTTTCAATTTTCTTTATCCTTACCTGTAGATGAAATTAATAATAGTATTCAATCAAATCTTAAATGATAATTTTGGATTGTGTTTTATATCTTCAACTACACGATTGAAAACAATTTACAACCTTATCAATCTAATGAACAATTTGTTTGTCAAATGATAATTATGATAAACCATGTATTATGTTTAACAATTGAATTGAACATTTCAATTGAAATACAAAGAAATTGATTCATTAAAAAATAATTGTAGTCAAAAATATCAGTTTTATCATCTAAATAAAGGTTAATTGATAGCTTCTATTATTGTTAATTTAACTTGATAGTTAAACGGGTTTTTTATAATTCTGTCTGTTCTTTATTCTGCTGAATAAAAATAGACAAATGACCTTTGATTGGTTTATTGTAATGATTTGTTGAACTCATTCATTGAACAGATTTATTAATGTTTGGTTTTTCCTTTCACAGGTAACAATCTTATTGTCCATCCTTTCAGTGGTTTTAGCAACCAAAGGCGGTAATGTTGTTCAACAACGACAAACTGACTCAGAAGGTGCACTTGGACCTGAATCAGTTCCCTTCCTTGCCCCTCCACCAGCCCCTGCACCAGAACCAGCTGGAGCTGGTGGTGATTTAGATGCTCTTTGGGGTCCACCAAAGCCTTACTCTTTCGGTTATGAGGCTCCTGGATCTGATGGACGATCAAGCCGATCTGAAAGCTCAGATGGACGTAAGGTAACTGGATCATACACCATGGTTGGTGCTGACGGTGTTAACCGAGTTGTCAACTATGTTGCTGATGGAGATGGTTTCAGAGCTTCCATCATCACAAACGAACCTGGAACTGAGAGACAAAACCCATCTGGAGTCATCATGGAAACCTCACAGCCTAAAGCCGAAGAAATTGCTCGAGCTTTCGGACCAGTCGCTGAACCTGGACCAGATGCCCCACGAAAATACATCGGAGCTCCAATCCCAGCCTTACCTTCAGTCAACTCATTCCAACGAGCTCCAGCTGTAAGTCAAGGATCTGCTGGTCCAGCTTTCGATGCTTTCTCCCAACAGAAACAAGATGAAGATAGATTCGAACAGCAACAACAACAATCACAACAATCCCAACAACAACAACAACAAGAGCAACAAGAACAACAATCTCAACAATCTCTTTCCCCATCCTCACTCCCTGCCCCAGCCCCACTTCCTCAAGCACCAAAATCATTCTCTCAACAAATTGTTCACTCAATCCCAGCTCCAAACACCCAACAAATTTTCAGAGTCCCAGTTGCTCAAACCTTCCAACCTCAAGCCTTCCAACCTCAAACTGTTCAAATTTCAGCTCCAGTTTCTCAACAATTTGTATCTGATTATCAACCAGTTCTTGTCCAAGAAATCCCAAGACTTTCTCTTCCCAAACCAAACTTCTTTGTCCAACAACAACCAGCTTTCATCCCACAACCATTACCCGCAGCACAGCCAATCCCAGCTCCACGACCAGTAGTCATTGCCCCTGCTCCTCTTCCAGTTCAAACTTTCAACTTCCAACCTTCACAGCCAATCTCATCAGGATCCCTTTCCTCTGCTTCTGGTACTAAATCAGCATCAGCATCCTCATCATCATCAATCAAGTCAGCTTCACTTTCTTCTGGTTCAACCAAGGGAAGATTTGTTGCTCCAAGCCGATCTTCAGTTCGAGCTCTCCCAGCTCTTCCCGCTCTTCCAGCACGACCAGCTCTTTTGGTTCAACCTCAACCTGCTCAAGCTCAAAACTCATTCTTATCCACAAACCAAGGAAAAACTAGCGCTTCAAGTAACTCAGCATCAGTCAAATCAGCATCTCTATCGCCATCATTCAACTCAGGCAAACTCAATGGTCAACGAATCTTGAAGCCATTCTACCTTACATCCACTCAAGCTCCAACCCGATTCGAGCAATCCCAACAAAGCTTAAACCAACCAGAATCCTCATCAGCCTCACGGTCAGTCTCCCAGGTCAAGGATGAACAACAAAAGGATTCCGAATCACAAGAAGACCAATTTTTCAGAAGCTAGATTTGCCGAAAGCAAACAATGCAAAACGAATCATGATGACCATTGCCATACAAACACATAACCATCATACTCTTTTTTAATTATAAATCATTTGAATTTACCTTTTTTGCCGAAGACTTTTTTTTTCATTCTCTCGTCTTTTTCGCTCTTCTTATCCTATTGTTCCTCCACGTTTTCCGTAGTATCTCACTAGTTGTGATATCGATCGTTCATCGAAAGAAACGTGCCTTTTTATTGCTGTAAGAATGCTCTTTCAAATAAAAACATGATAGACATGATGATGATGGTTCAATCAACTTGAATTAGTATCACATTATTAATAGATCTGACCATTCATCTCATAAAGAAAACTTAGTTTGTTTACTTTGATTACCTTAATCAATCACTGTTGATGAATTGATAATTGATTAAACAACCTGTTCAAACACGAAATTAATTTATGACTTACTTTTATTAACGAAATTAGGCTTTTCCAATTAAAAACAATGAAAAACATTCCTCATTTAACTTTACATTATTCAATTAGATTGTCTTTAATTTTAAATTTAACCATTCTAATGTATTCGAGTACTTCATGCTTTGTTTTGGCTTACATTTAATCGTCCATTTGATCTGAATCATAATATGAAAAATGACTATTGATCTTATTGGGGTTAATTATCCAGTGTTTCATGTTCAACCCACAAGTCCCGATAAAGCATCTCGAGCTATTCTTACCCTAATAGATCTTTTGAATGAAGATCCTTTTATTCAAAACAAAGCCTGAAAATGCTGCTTCAATTATAACAATTATCATAATTAGAGATGGAATCCAGATTCAGTTGATTGTACTTCAGAAAGTTTAGTACTAACATTTCTAGCAATATTGCTAGAAAACAAACGAAAATCGACTGTATTTCAGCGATTTAGAAATGAAATTTAGGTTGTTACTGAAAACACAACTATCACAATTATAACATTTATACACAAACTCACACAAATGTTCAAAACCGAGTGAAACCCAATTTTTTAAAATTTGGACTGCTGTTGGTTTTTAAGGACATGAAAACTGTGTCCATTCGTGAGATTTGAAGATTTCTGTGATCGATGGTTCTCGAGAAAATCGGGTTCGAAGTTGAAACTTGAAAAGCTTTTTGTACAATTATGACAGCAGATTTTTGTCGTTAAACACATTGTACTGATGTATCTTTTGAGGATAAACCAAGAAATGTATTCATTTTTAGAAATAAAATTTTCATTTTTCTGTAAAACGGATTAGTTCGATTTTAATTTACACCGATCCCAATCTATGACCATAAGAGTTAACGAGCTCAAACTTATTATTTGTCCATGAAAATTGTTGTTACACATCAACGACTCAATACTTTTAGCAATTAATCAGCAGTTCTCTTGATTTTGGCCATTGGTCTTAAAACTTTGAGTCTCGATATTTCGAGAATGGCATCATTCACAATTATTATTCTCTAACCAAATTAGTTCTTAACTAATAAATAATACAATTCAATTTAATTACTTTCAATTAGGCCATTTGGGTCATGATTTTTGGACTTTAAATGTTCTAGAAACAACTTATTCAACACAAAAAACTCATATAAACCCATATCTTGCTAAATAAACCACTTTTCTGGTTAAACTTACAAATGAGATGCAAAGAGTGCTGCCAAAGGCTCGAACCTTTGAGTTTAGATTTAAAACTTAATAAAGTTTGTAGGGAAATGAAAACTGAGTTCATTGGTACTATTAAATAATTCCTACGATGGACAACTTTCTAGAAAATCGAAGTCAAAGTTTAAAGTTTGAACGCGTTTTGTTCAGCTATGGAAGCTAATTTTTTTCATGAAACTCTATGCAACTGATGTAAATTTTGATGATGAACCAGAAAATGCTTTTAATTTGAGAAATAAAACTGTCGGTTTCCTGTAAAGCATATAAGTTCGATTTGTAGTAAAAACGATCTTCTTCTGTGACCGATTGAGTTAGATGATTGAAACTTATAATTTGTCAATAAAAACTGTTGGTACACATCAACGACAAAAAAGTTTTTTCCATTAATCAGCAGTTCTCTTGATTTTGGCTATTGGCCTTAAAAATTTGAGCCTCGATATCTTGCGAATGGTAGCGCTTGCAATCACCATTCTCTCACCAAATTAATTCTTGACTAACAAATAATGCAATACAATTGAATTGCTTTCCATTAAGGCGTTTGGGTCATGATTTTTGGACTTTAAATGTTCTAGAAACAACTTATTCAACACAAAAAACTCATATAAACCCATATCTTGCTAAATAAACCACTTTTCTGGTTAAACTAACAAGTTAGATGCAAAGAGTGCTGCCAAAGGCTCGAACCTTTGAGTTTAGATTTAAAACTTAATAAAGTTTGTAGGGAAATGAAAACTGAGTTCATTGGTACTATCAAATAATTCATCCGATAGACAGTTTTCTGGAAAATCGAAGTCAAAGTTTAAACTTCGAACGCGTTTTGTTCAGCTATGGAAGCAGATTTTTTCATGGCAATCTGTGCAACTGATGTAAATTTTGATGATGAACCAGAAAATGAATTTATTTTTTGAAATAAAATTTCCGTTTTTCTGTAAAGCATGTAAGTTCGATTTGCATTTAAACTGATCTTCTTTTGCGACCGATTCAGTTAGAGGACTGAAACTCATAATTTGTCAATAAAAATTGATTGTGCACATCATTGATTGAATACTTTTTTCAATCCAACAACAGTTCTCTTGATTTTGGCCATTGGCCTAAAAACTTTGTGCCTCAATTATTCGAGAATGATATCACCTACGACCATTATTTTTTCTCGAAACATTAGATCTCATTATGGGCTATAACATTATATGACTGAATATCAAATAAAATCTAAGTTAATTCATCTAATACTGAAGATACTTTTACCGCTCAAGATTTGTGTTTAGCATTATAAACCAAGTTTTTAATCTGACAACATAAGTAATTCAATGCTATAACTTTTTTGGAGGTTCTTTCATGGTTCAATATTACAATATATTACATATACATACAATATATTAGTATAACCCAATATGGAATCTAATGTTTGCTCAAGAACGGTGATCGTAGGTGATACCATTACCGAAATTTTGAATCACAAAGTTTTAAGGCCAATGGCCCAAATTAAGAGAACTGCTGATAAATTGATAAAATTATTCAACCCATAATGTTATGTTAACAATTTTATGGGCAAAAAATAAGTTTCAGCTCCTTTACATTGAAGGTTGGTGAATGCGGTCGGTTTAAATAAAATTTGAACTTGATTTGTTTTACAAAAATAGAAAATGTTATTGGTAAAAACAAATTCATTTTCTGGTTCATCATCAAAATTTACATCAGTTGCACAGATTGCCATGAAAAAATCTGCTTCCATAGCTGAACAAAACGCGTTCGAAGTTTAAACTTTGACTTCGATTTTCCAGAAAACTGTCTATCGGATGAATTATTTGATAGTACCAATGAACTCAGTTTTCATTTCCCTACAAACTTTATTAAGTTTTAAATCTAAACTCAAAGGTTCGAGCCTTTGGCAGCACTCTTTGCATCTAACTTGTTAGTTTAACCAGAAAAGTGGTTTATTTAGCAAGATATGGGTTTATATGAGTTTTTTGTGTTGAATAAGTTGTTTCTAGAACATTTAAAGTCCAAAAATCATGACCCAAACGCCTTAATGGAAAGCAATTCAATTGTATTGCATTATTTGTTAGTCAAGAATTAATTTGGTGAGAGAATGGTGATTGCAAGCGCTACCATTCGCAAGATATCGAGGCTCAAATTTTTAAGGCCAATAGCCAAAATCAAGAGAACTGCTGATTAATGGAAAAAACTTTTTTGTCGTTGATGTGTAACAACAATTTTCATGGACAAATAATAAGTTTGAGCTCGTTAACTCTTATGGTCATAGATTGGGATCGGTGTAAATTAAAATCGAACTAATCCGTTTTACAGAAAAATGAAAATTTTATTTCTAAAAATGAATACATTTCTTGGTTTATCCTCAAAAGATACATCAGTACAATGTGTTTAACGACAAAAATCTGCTGTCATAGTTGTACAAAAAGCTTTTCAAGTTTCAACTTCGAACCCGATTTTCTCGAGAACCATCGATCACAGAAATCTTCAAATCTCACGAATGGACTCTTTATCTAATATAAATGAGTTTATTGTGGCCTTTTAGAGGACCTAAAATTTGACCTACTAGAAATAAGATCTTGTGCGGATGAAAAATTTATAAGTTTCTTTTGCTTTTCTTTCTTCCTTTACTTTCATTTAATTTGGTTGCTGTTAGTTTGTTTGAATTGCGCGGTAAAAACACTTGAAGTGACATCTGTCGGAGTTTTCTTTATAATTGTGTTGTTGTTGGTTTTGTTTTGGAAACATGATTTAAAATCGCTGTTTTTTGTTTATTGTAGTTGCGTTTATTAGTTTGTATTCATTGTTTTAATTGTATAATTTCTTGGCAACTAAAATTATTATTATTGTGGATATGAGTGGATTTATTTCAAATCGTGGTGCCTCTTTTGCTGCCAAATATAAAGGAATTTGCTAACAAGCCTGTTGAAAAGGAAATTGTTAAAAATAAAGTTGAAATTGAAACTGTTTCGAAAATACTGAAGGTTGATGACGCGCCTGTTATCGAAACCAAAGAACAATCGTTTTAGATGAATCAGACGAGTCTCTTATCAGTCTTGAAGATTCAGTTGAAAGCTCGGAAGAGGAGGAAGAAATACAAGAAACATTGACAGAGCTGCTCAATGTTAAACTCAAATTTGATGGAAAAATCCATAGGTTCATGGTTGAATATGACAGCCCACTCTGGAAAAATCTTGACGAATTCTATAAAACTCTAAATGTTTCAAAGAAATCACATGAACTGGTCATAACTCTCAACGATAAAGTTTTATCAATGAAAGATTCACCCAAAAAATTGAATTTAACAATCGTGGATATTTTAGAATGTTATGCCAAAGAAAGATCAGATGGTCCAGAAGATGCAAGGAGGAAAAAGCATAAAGAACCAAAAGATCCTAACGTTTTAGAAATCAAATTCCGTAATAATGAAGATGGTAAACATGCCGTGCCTGTAACTCTTAGAATCAACAAGACTAGCAGTATGAGTTTAATCATGGAAGAATACGCTAAAACCAAAGGATACAGTATTAGTGATTTAATTTTTGACTTCGATGGAGACCGACTGAGCGGAAAGGAAACCCCATTCGAATTAGAAATAGAAGATGGTTCCTTGATTGATGTTATTGTTAAAAAACCAAAATAACTGTTGATCCACTTGAATTCTGTGGAAAAATTCAGATCATGATATTAACCCGATGTTATTCTTTTTGTTATGATATAATTTCATATCTTGTGTACACCAATTAAATTTTTGTAATACTCTCTTTTACCAGTTATATACACTGTAGTGATATTTGCATCTCTTTTTCTGCAATTCACCCATGATCAAGCCTTTACACACATTTCGCCGATACCATTGTAGAGTTACAGGATTTCTTGACGTATCGATCAAAAATCAATTATATTCAATTTTGAATTTGTGATTATTTTACAATAAAGAGTCGATTATAAACAGCAAAACAATTTGTAAAATCCAAGACGGTCAAGATTATTTGGCGATTATAAAATTTCAAGTGGAAAAAGTTAAGTTGATAAGACAGGGATTAATTGTCATTGATTGACCACTTCATCAATATCCAGTAAAAGACAAAAAGTCAAGAAAATTTTTTTTCAGCTGCATTATCGTCATCTTATCAGTGAAGATGATAATGTTGTGGATAAAAGAAAGTAACAATAACATGATAAAAGAGGATAAGAAAGAGCAAAAGTTAACTGAAACACATGGTGGTCAAAGAGGATAAACAGTCAAATTTGAAACAGTAACGGCAGTAACATCAACTTTAAAGTTAATTTCATTTTACCTTGTTATCCTATTTTTTCTCTCTTTCTTCTCACTTTCAATCAGATAAAAGGATTTTACTCAAAATCCCTGAGGGCTTCTGAATGCTAGAAGATCTCTTATCATGTAAACTATTATTTCGGGCAATTTGTTAACTTGTCCGCCGATTGACTTTCAAATTGTGTGTCAATCCAAAAGTGTTTACCACATATTTAGATGAAAATCAGAGGTTAAGAATGAAAAGGGAGAGAGGGAATAAGTAGACTAAGGTAAAGATAAAAATGCGAGAAATGAAGTTGAAAAGTACAAGGAAAAGAAATGATATTTATTAGATTGATTATGCTATTTAACTGGGAATAGATAAGAGTGAAAAAATGTGGCGTCCAGTCCGAAAGAGAATCGGGAAAGTTGATCTACCCAAGGAGACAATGGATGATATCGATGGATTGAAAAGCAAGCAGAGTAAAGGATGGTCTTGAAAAAGGTATGGATACAAGAAAAGGTAAGAATAATCAGAGGAAAGATCTTTTTGTTTGAAGAAAATGAGATGGGACTTAAATTATTATTATTTTTACCTCTCACTTTCTATCTTTCTATTTATCTTCTTTATTTCTTTCTTGTCTCATGTTTCATCCGTAAGTTAACCTGAATACATTGCATCTATTGTATTGTGAATTCAAGAATGATGAATGTTTTTTTAGCTTCAACGTTATTTCTCGCCCTTTGGTAAAGTAGGAGGAAGAAAAAAAGATCGAGTAAGGCCTGACGACTAACTCTCACTATCTTTTTCCCTTTCTATCTCTTTTTTCTGCTCTCTTCTATCTTTTCATCTTACATGCTCTCTCTCTCTCTTTTTTTACAGTAGTAGGCCTAGAGACACGTCGGCAGATTGTTAAAATAGATCCTCCTTCATCCTCATCTCTACTCATTTTACCACTAACTATATTGGATAAACTAATGACCGTTTACCTGAAATAACAATTTAACCAAAAAGGTAAGAAAACCAAGGTAACCATAGGAAGGACTCTTCGGGCTACACCTCACACCGCCTTAGTCCAACCTTTACTCTCTTCTTTTCCTTTATTTCTCTTTTTTTCGAAGACAGTAAATTCTTACCTTATTATTCTTTGTTTTTACAGGTAGACAATTAAAGAAGGGTAACACTCAAATTTATTTATGGTGTGGGAAAGGAGCAAACCAATAGCTATACTAGTTGTTGACCATGGATAAGGCGCAAAGAATAAGGATTGAAAAGAAAAGGAAAACCAGCTGATTGTGATACAACGAGATACCATCATCAACAATAGATATATTGGCATGAAAAGAAATTATAAATTTTATAAGAAATGATTCCGATTTATGATGAGATTTTTGGTAAAAGGCAACAATAACACAAAAAGAGAGGAATCACCGACATGATCGTCATCAACATCATCAGTATCATTTAAAGGACAATGTGAAGATTCACAAAAAAAAAGAAGCAACCAAAGGAAGGATGAAAGGATAGAGAGGAAGGGGGAGGTTGAAATGACATGTATGAAATGTATCTTGTTGACAAAGGATAAGTAAAGGAGCCAGTAGCTAATATCAAACCAAGACCACCATCAGTCAATTTCAAACTCACCAGGGAATCTTCTCTTCTTTTTTCATCATCCTTTCTTTAACTTATTTCCCTGTAATGTCTTCTTCTTCATCGTCATCATCATCTCCTTACCATACCTTGTCTTGAGACGTTGAGACTTTATATACAAACATTTACCAAATGTATACTGTGAATGATGAATTTGTAATAATATTAAAGTCAGGTCAACAGACAAGGTAGGTTAGGACGCTGAGCAGAGTTTTATGTTGTTTTTTGTGTTTATATCTATTTTTTAACTTTCTTTTTCCTCTCACTCTGTTTATATATTGTTACTCCAAGTAGTAGTAGTCGTAATCGCAGTCGTAGTGATTGAAGAAGATGATAATGATGATGAAAAAGAAGAAGAAATCAGGAGAAGTTGAAAAAATTTACAAAAAAAGTCTGCATAACTGAAAGGTTGAAGAGACACGATAGATTATTGAAGATGGATTTAATATGTTACTGTTTAATGTATTTAAAATGTGGTAAACCATTGGAAAGTCCTTGATAATCAATATCCATCATTAATTTTCATCCCTGTGAACTCATCAATATTAAATGTTATCTGTTTAAGAAATCTGAACACAAAATAGAGAGAAAAGCTGAAATAATTAATCACCTTTTTCTGTGTTATCAAGAAATTCATTTTCGCCAATCAATCAAATAACCATGAATCACCTTTTAACTCGGGTCGCTCAGTTAATGAGTTAAAAAAAGCTGTGGTAATCGACAAAACAAAATAACATCAAGTCCACATTGTATTAATACCCAAGCAAAGGTTTCATTTGAATAATAATAACAATAATGATAGTGTGTGCGTGTTTGTTAAATGTTAACTACATCTATTAACATTATTATATTATCATTGTTAGTGTATTATTATTACTGTGGTCGTTGTTGTTGAAAAGCTTACTTAGTTTTTTTAACAACAAGAAAGCAAAACCAAAAAAAAAAAGGATTTAACTCTATTATATTACAAAAGGAACCACAAAAATATGAGAAAACAAAAAATAACATTTTGGATTAGGATTTAGTTGAAAGGCAAAGTTGCTTCAGTTGAAAGTTTATCAACAACAATCTGATTTGTGTTAATAAAAGACCTTTTTACTTTAATAGTGTCAAACCGTATTTCTTTTAAGCTTCAATCATTGTTACAATAACAGTAACAACAACAATCGCAAAGTACAATATGGTATACAATTATTATTTAACTGTCATCATCAGAGAGGACGGCACAAAGGTATGTATTAAAAAGTAGTATATTCAGAATAGTAAGTGAATGCGTTTCATTTTTACGACCAAGAATACAAGTCCAACAGCATATTGAAAGAGGAAGGACAATCTTTGAAGCTTGTTAGTCAGTCACAAATTCATCGATTCCATTGATGGTTCAAGGTAGTTATTAGTCGGTATTGAGATTTTTGGACATTTTTCCGCCTCTGATTACCACCATTCACCAGATTCTGTTCATCACTGAGGTAGAATAAGCTGCTTATGGTTACAAGATGATTCAATTATTATTATGCAAAAATTTTCGTCCACTTTTGAATAAACCATTTTTCCAGTGATCTTCAAATGCCATTAAACTTGCAGTTGATGAGAAAATGAATTATCGTTTTCATTTTTATCTCAATACTTTTCTTTTTACCTGAAAAGAAAAAAACAAATCAACTTGTAATTGTTAACTAAGATTGACAGAGCATAAAAAAGGTGTTGTAAGCTATTGAAACTGATCAACTGATTGAAAATGAAAAGCTGTTGATTAAGAATGTTTTTCAGCTTTTTTTCTTCATCTTCTTTCTTACCTGAATAATGATTATGTTGATGACGATGATGATGAGATCAGAATGTTATTTCAATCTTGTCAAATGCATCATTAACACATGATTCTGCATCTCATAATAAAGATAGTTGAATATAAACAGTTCAATTTTTTGGCTTTGCATAAATGATTGTTTCAACTCATGTTGATTCAAACAGCATATTGGAACAGGTACAACATTTAATTGAAACAGCCAAATCCTTTGATTGTTAATTCATCTTTATCACCGTCTAATAGCAACTTGCAATGGTTATGCAGCTTCCAGTTTGCAAATTAAAGGGAAACAAATTGCTCCAATTGATTACTTTTCTGCATGAATCTAAATAGATTAGCGACTATTAATAATATTATTAGATAATTTAACAGTTCATTGGTAAGGTCAATGGTACTTACGAATAAGTTAAATTGTTATTCTTTTTCTTTGCACACAGCAATCCAAGTAAGAAACAACAACAGCAAGAAACACAAAGCTAAATAGTAACATTAAATTGAAGAAGACAATATAAGTTGGAAAAAAAATCCTCAACCAGTTTTACAGTCATAGATAAATTGTTTACCTGTAAAAAAAGGTTATTGAAAGTTGATGAAGCAGATCGAATGTACAGTTAGTAGTAAAAAAGGCAAGACAAACTGATGTTAAATAATGTTAAAACAGCGAGACTAATCCAAGCATTATTTTTTTATGGTTAAGATGAAATATCAAGTGTCCGAGACTAACTTGACAATAATAAATGTTAATAAAAATGTGTATTAGAATGGGAAAAGTTATTAGAGCTGGTAGTAATAATGCGAATCAAGTTAATCAAAAATCATTTCATTATAAAAACGTATGAATATAAAAAGAAGAGAAAAGACTTTTCATTTTTGCCTTTCGTGAAGATGGACTTACGCATTTGAAACGTTAACCTGGCCGTGATGATTATGATGTGAATAATGCTGATAATGATCATTTTGATGATGTGGATGATGATAATGATAATCAGTGGATTTGACAAAGTCAGGATTTTTGTTGGTTTGCTAGATTATAATATAAAAATAAGGTTGTCATAATTTAAAACTATTACAAACCGCAAAAACTCTTGCAAGATGGTTTTCTGGTTTAACTTTGCCTATTCAGCAAAAGGAATACCTTTCTTTTATTTTACTTACTTGAGCAAATCTTTTCGTTTAACGTTTTCTCAACTGATAAGGATTAGCGTCATGTCGAAACGTTTTGTACCATTGATCTCTCAAGAGAGTTTAGATATACTATTATGTTTAAAGTAAGAGAAAGCAAAAATTGTAACAAGAAGCTCAAGATGAAGATGCTGAGGTCTTCTTACCTTTCGCCAGGTTAAAGGTTAAACCAGGTTAAATCCAATGGTAATAATAATGGTAAGTGGCAAGGTTGGCAAGAAACTGAGTCAAACTGCAGTTCGAAACAAAAAAAAACGTCTTGACTTGATTGAAAAGCGTAAAATCATTTAACTGAATATGAATTAAAATAAAGTAGCAAGTAAAACCATTTTGTTCTCATTTTTACCTTTTTTTTGCCAACATCTTAAAGGAGAGCGAAAGACACACAGATAAAGAAAGAGACAGATGAATTATTTAAAGTTGAGTAGATTAAAAAAAGGCTAAACTGACTAAATCAATGAATATTTATTTAATCTAATCAATCTACAGAAAATAATAAGTGAAGCATGACAGAAATCAGTTTTATCCAAAATTAACTTTGATCAAAAAGTGAGGTAATTTAATTAAGAAATGAAAACCCACTCGAGAAATAAAAACTAAACAAAGAGGTAGAGCATTGACATCTATTGCCAAGCCTAAGAACCATTGTTTGGTATTGTTTTTGATTTTATCAAACAACATTGAGGTTTTTAATTGAAAGTGTTGATTATAAGGTTGATTAATGTTTGTTTTGTGTTTTATTTTAAGTGTTAATGTAAAATTGAATCTGGTTAACAACAAAAATTGACCCAAATTATTGGTGAAAGGTGAAACTTGATTCCAAAAGTGTAAATGATTCTACTGTTGACAATCTAATGGGAAATTAGAATCAACTGTATACAATACAAATTTTTCAATTGAAACAGTTTTTTCTTCTTCCCGTTTAGATTTGTATTAACATTAATAATAATGATAATAATAATCATCATGATAATGGAAGAAGAAGAAGAAGAAGAATAATAAAAGAGGTTACTTGTTGTTCTTTGAAGAAAAGCCAAACAAAATATTATCGTTAGAATGGATTATATTATATTATTACTTAGGTATTCAAAATAATACACACAAAAAACATCCTCGGAAACATTTGTCATTCATTTCTTCATCGTCATCATTCTCATCTTCGTCATCTTTTCAACTGTTGGAGGAAATAACAACAAACCTAGACCCAAAGAAGACGACCTTTTCAATGGAGACCTGAGGCCATTTTTTTTGACATTGTGTTATTTGACAATGAAAACTCCCAAGACTCGAGATATTATTATAAGTACAAATATTCTTGTGTGTTTGTGTATTATGTGTGTATGAATTGCTTCTTCACCTTAATAAAACTTGCCCACAAAAAGGTTGAATAATTTTGTGTCAAATTATTTTCACTTTTTGCATCTGAAAAAAAAGAGGTTGCCTCAAAAGGTGAAAGCCGATTGTAATCCATGTAAACTTAGGAGCAATCAAAGAGTAATTAATGTGATATGTTTGTGTGTTCCAGGATAAAATGTTTAACATGTTAACAAGATAAAAATGTGTAAAGATGGAGTCAAGATGAGAAAGATGAAGATGGTAAAGATGGTGAGGATGACGCTTACTATGAAGATAGGCTTTTGGCTTTTTTGGTTTGGTTTGGTTTGGTTTTTTTTGAAGTGTCAAGTCAAAAAGAAACCATTGACTTTATCAGATGAGAATGACTTTTTTAAGGGTTCAGATAATGACACTGATATGGACAACAACATTGTCACTCAACTGTGACTTTTTTCAGCGTATCAAGTTATCAGGTCAAAGGTGATTATCAGTTGACAAAGTTAAAAGGTGTCAAAAAGTATGTAACTTTTGTAATTTGATATCAAATTAGCTTGCTAATAAAATAAAATAATATAACCACAAAGCAAACAGTCAATTGTAAAGGGCAACATTTGAACCATAACACAACGCTTAAAAACAGTGTTTATTCATTTCTGTTTTACCAGTCAACTACAGTAACCTTTCAGATAAGGATAGTAAATTATTCAATAGTCCCTTAACCCCTTTGTTTTCATGTTAAATAATGAAAGTTTAGATTGAAATTTAAAGATTTTATCAAGAAAATTTACTTTTTCAGACAAATTAAATTTAACTAGTCATCTTGAGTATAAATTGTTACTTTGTATAATGTTTAAAACAAGTAATTTGATTGAATTTCAATTAATTTTACATTTTTTGCTCAATGAATAGTACTTGCTGTGTACATAAGCTATTTCAAGTCACTAACATCTGGTAGGTTAATGTACCTTCATTATTTGATTGAATTATTATTAATGTACAGATTGTGAAAATGAGAAAAATTGGAAATATCCAACCAAAAGAATTTAAGGTAAGAAATAAAATAGAAGTTGTTTAGATGATATAGAAATAATGAATCGTCTGTTAAACTGAAGTCTTTTGAGATCTGTGACTTCTTGTGATATTACTCATGTTAATTTGTTCTGTTTTTTATTTTCCAGGGTCTTGATGACTTGGCGTTGGATCAAAATATCTGAATACCGATTCCCGAAGACGAAGGATAGACATCTATTCAAGACTTACAATTCAATGAGTATCACAATAACCCTAAACTTGATAGGATTTGAATGGAGACTTAACCAGGAGACATTAAAATGGATTTTCTGTATCATCATCCTTTCAACTGTGATTTGACATGATCATCGAAAGTCTGCCGGGATAAAGGTTAATCTAATTAATTTAATTTATTGTTTTTCCTTTCATTAATTGTTAGTTTAATTTTACTCAGTTTATCCAGCAGATGCAGCATCTTTACTTTATTGTCCTTCATTAACCAAATTCATTTTCCTCTCTTTTTTTGACAAAAACTAGTACAAATGAAAGGACAAATTTTTAAAATTCCGTTGGTTTTACTGATGACAATGGGAAGAGAGGAAGAGCATGAAGATAATTCAGTAGCTTAAAAATAATTGACACAACCAGAAATAATGGTTGGTTAGGACCACATGTTAATCGCTTTTCAACACACATGCTACCAACTGGACGTGAAATGGACGGACACCAAATGGGTAACTAATTAATAATCCGACGCTTGGTTCTTCTTTGGCGATTTTAACCTTTGACTTGCCTTGATATTCAATTTGCTGTTGACGGATAGGGAAGGATTGAACAAAAAAAATTAAAGATTTGGTTCCCATCTAAGTACATCAACATCTAATTGTTTACATGGTTAAAAGTGGATAATTAGGCTAATAAGGCTTTGATCAGGAGAAGAGGCCTAAGACGGAGAAGAAAAGGTTCTTCAATTGAATGTTGAATCATTCAATTGACATTGACATTGATTTTTGAGCCAAAAAACGATGAGAATAGAAAGTGAATGGAAGGAAGAAGAGAAAGAAAGATGAGCAAGATGATAGGAAAGAGAGTAAGAAGATAAAAAAAGAGAGAAGTGTAAAGGAAGAGGAAGACCGTTGAAAAGATGATGAATGAAAAAAGGTTAACTTAAGTGGATAATAACATACCTTTTCATATGAATATTTACTTAGAGTAAGGTGAAACAAACAAATGCTATGGGAACAACTTGTAACAACTTTCTTATTTGCTTAACAATTTATCATGATGTTAACAGTAATAAGACAACTTTTAATTTGAACGCAAATCAAGTTATCCCAATAATCGTATTGCAGGTTCAGGATAGAGTCAAGGAATTTCTGTATTGAATGAAAATTAAAACAAAAGCCAAGAGGTTAATGTGTATGTTCACCATTTATCCTGATTGCTGTGAAATCAGAAAGAAGGCCTTTCGAGCTCAATTTATTTTGATTAATTGTAAATTTGATTTTTTCTCTTTTCTTTCTATTTTTCAGATTTGATTGATGAAAATTGATTAATTCAGCCAAATGACAGAGACACACTTATACTGACAGCAAAAGCCAAGCAATTTAAATTATATTGCTGGGAAGGAATTGATTTTCAATTGTATCAAAGTAACAACACACTGAAAACCAACAGTTAAAGGCAGTTGAAGGAAACCATTATAATGTAGCCAGTTTTATTTGGCGTGAGATTGAAACACACATTCATAGACACATCCACATGAAGGGACACAATAAACCTTTAACAGTTTTTACATCCTCATCTTAATAATAATAATGAAGAGAAGATAATGTTTGATATTGATGAAGAAGAAGATGATGTTGATGATGATGATCCTTATTTTATTATATTGTTCACCAGAGTGAAGCCAAAAGCCAATATGAACAAAAGAGTGTCTCTTTTTTTTTGTTCATAATAAGGTCAATATCAAAACCAATGAGGATTGTCAATCTCATTTTCTCATCTTCTTTCTCATCCCATTCTTGATCATCTCTTTCCTTTCTTCTTTCCTCTCCCATGTACAGTAATATATTCAAATGTAATTGTTACCATTTTAGGCCATTAGTATCTAAAAAGCTGTATCTTTTAACTCCTCAGGAGACACAATAAACAAATAATAAACAAAAAGGCAAATGAATATAAATAAATAACCCGAAAATGCAAACAATTGAAAAGCCTAACCAAAATCAAAGGCAAAAACTATTTAATTTTGGGTATTTTTATTTCTAGTCTTCAAAGGCAAATCAAATGACAACAATATATACGCTTGTTAACACTGTAAGAGGACATAATTAAATAATGAGGTAAAGTGTGTAACTTGAGATTCAATTTTGAGGTCAATTCCCACTCTGACAACCCAAACAATCAAACAAATAAATCAATCCTTCAATTACACTATTATTGGTCCATAGAAGAGTAATTGTTTGATTTGTGTCTTTCCAAATAATAATGAAAAGGTTGAGGTTAAAGGTTGTTAAAGGTGTAAAAAAAGGTTCAGCCAGTCAATGGGTCAACACTCAAAATTAAAGTGTTTAATTGGACGGAATCGCGCCAACAAGTAAAAGTAAATTGTTAAATTAAATTTAATCAAAGTCACAGTCGAGATCGTTGTATCGATGGCAAAACAGTTTATTGTCAGGTTAACCTTTAAAGTACATTGAGACTGTTTCATTTAACGATTTCAATGGCAAAGATTAATCATGTTTTTGGGAAACTGAAAGAGACAAATCTTGACGGTTAATGGTTATTATTATGATGATCATCTTGAAGCTGATGGTGCTAGTGCTTGGTGATGATGATGATGGCCTTAGGCCATAGGGCGAAGGGAGTCAAAGGACAATAGAGCGAAAAATTTAAGGGCATAATTTCTTTAGGGTGAAGAGGTCAGTTTGGTTACTGTCCAGTTTATGGCTTTTTATTTCGACCTAAAGATGTTTTGATTTACGACAGTTTTTTTTTCTTTCTCTTTGCTTCTTTTTCTTTAAATTGTATCTTCTCAAAGTCTTTTCATGTTTCACAATGAACCAAGATGAAAAGGTAAAGAAGATCAACTCTTTTCTTCTTCTCATCTTTACTCATCTTTTTCTTCTTCTTCTTCTTGCTGACACTCATTTACAGAGAGATGAATGAAGCTTTGAACCATTTACTTTTGAAGGTTTCATTGATCATTTTAGGTTTACTTGTATTGAGCTTTTTATTTTAAGTTATAACCTAAATATGTTTGTTAAATTGTTCACAATCTAGTTTCAATCATGAAATGCATGAATTTGCAAAAAAAAGAGGTTTACTTGAAATGTGAATGAAGGGAAAAAAGGAGAAATGTTGATTTAAAAATATAAGTTGATTGTTGAATCATGATTATAAGCTTAACCAGTTCATGTTGCAAGTTTCACAAAGTGCAAGTTTAATAAGCACAATGAGTTGATTAATGGAGGATAAAATTAAAAGGATAAATGATTAACTATTGTTATTGGCATGTTTTGCTTTTCCCTGACAAACTGTGTGTTTATAATGTGCAATATTGAATAATGATGATGACAAACAGTAATGATGAGGATAAATGAACATCCATTTCTCAACAAGATTAAATGAAGATCAGTGAAAAGGTGAACATTATTTAGATTGAAGTGACCCATTTAAATGGGCCAAAAATCATTTGAAGACACTGATGAAGGTAAGGAATGGTAAAAAAGACTGAACAAGATGAAATGATGAGGAAGAAGAGGAAAAAAAAGTTATTTTTGTGTTACTAGGAAAGTGACGAGAACAGACGTTTAATGGCAAGAATAATGGGAAGACCAATTATGTTGATAGATATGTCAAAGCCACTGGGTTTGCTGGAAGAGAGATGAAGATGCGGATGATAATATTATGAATGAGCAAATATTAACAATATCTGTGTTAGGATAAAGCTATAGGCTTAGTCACTGAAAACTGATGCTCATCATCATCATCATCTTCATGACCAACCTTTCAACAACTGAATGTTTAGCAGAGAGAAGAGTTTATAACATGACAATGATGATGGGATGATGATGATGATGATGAGAAGGATGAAAAAAAAGATACAAAACTGGATAAAGTGTTGTTATCTTTTCCTGAGAGGATTAAAGGTTTCAATCCTTTTGTTGACATAACAATGAATAAGCATTGACTTGGGAGTCAATTAGATGGTTAACATGAAAACGAAGTAATAATTGTTTATTTATCTTCTCAATTCGCAAATTCAGTTGATAATTATTTTCAAATGTTAACTAATTCAGTTTATATTAAAGTCGGTTGAGGTTGAATCAAAAATTGATATTATTAGTTGAAGAGGATTGGCTCAATTGAAGCAAACTTCCCTTCACTTTTAATCTGAATCTGTTTTTCATTAATAACTCAGTTTTATCAATCATTTTGCATTTTTGTTTTTGAAATTTTTACTCAATCGCGAAATGAAATTGATGAAAGATGAAAAATTGAAGCTATTTTTTCACCCAAAATTGGTGAGAAAAGGTTGAAAGTTTAAGATTGAGATAAGCTCAGATGACAGTGTAAATTTACTTTACGCAATGTTTATGTGTATATAATATCATGATATAGATAATGTTGTATAGATGAGAAGATGAAGATGAAGATGAAGAAGAGAAGAAAACTTTTTTTTTCTCTTTTTCCGTTGGTTGAGCTAAACTTGGTGCGCACGCCTTCCCATCAAGATGCGCATGGTTCACCATCAGATCGGCTCATGTCTTCAAGGTGATGCTAAATCTCCTCCTTCCTGTAAAATAGTGTTCACTTATCATCATCATTATCATCATCTGCATCAGTAGTAGTAACAGCAGCAGCAACAACAACAACAAGAACTGGGAATTAAGTAAAAATTTGAAAGTAAAAAAAGCAACAAAAAAAGCCAACAGAGTAACACTAATTAGGAATACATTTTTTTGTTGTTTGTTTGTTTGTGTTTTTTTGTCAAATTGTGTATATATTATTATATTATATTATTATGGATCGAAATTATAATTATCCAGTTTCTCGTGATTTTTTCAGTCACTCACAAACTTCATCACTTTTTGTGCCCAATGGACATAGTTCGGATAGTGATTTATTTTTTCATCCCTCACTGATTGATCCTCACCACCACCATCACCATCATCATCATCATCATCCGGCTAGTGCTGCTGCTGCTGCAGCCCATCATCATCATCACCATCAACAGTCTATGGTTGCTGCAGTGGCTCATCATGCCCACAACATGATTACACCTTCCCATTTAACGATGCACCATCACCCTGGTACACATCATCATCCCTCTTCAACGGCAGCCCTTCTCAGGTACATGAGATCAACTCCCAGTTCAGTGAAACAGGAGATTATGACTTGTCTATGGATTGATCCGAATCAACCTTCTCCAAGGAAAACCTGTAATCGTTCATTTCCAGGTATGGGTGACATTGTGCAACACATAACCCATGATCATGTTGGTGGACCCGAGTGCTCCAATCACACCTGTTACTGGGAAGATTGTCCTCGTAACGGGAAACCCTTCAAAGCCAAGTACAAATTGGTTAACCATATTAGGGTTCATACGGGTGAAAAGCCCTTTGCATGTACAGTTTGTAACAAAGTTTTTGCCCGAAGTGAAAATCTCAAGATTCACAGGCGAACTCATACAGGTAAGACTTAAATCCCTTCCAATTATGGCCCTCAAAGCCGACTTGAAAGACAACTGAAAGATGCACAAAAAGATTGAAAAAACCATAAAAAGTTGAAGAAATTGAACAAAAAACAGAAAAAAAACTGGAAAACAGTTTTTCAATGAAGATGCAATTGATTCATTGACTGTAAAAGTGTGAAAACATTGACTTTTCATTGCATTTTCATCGATTTTCTTTCACTGAGTTTTCATTGATTTTTATTGATTTTTCATTCCATTTTTCTTCTCTTTATCCTCCTATCTATCCTTCTCTGTTTCATGATGATAATGTTCATTTTGTTCATCTTGTTGACCTTTTTTTTCTGTTTACAGGAGAAAAGCCATTTAAATGTGAATATGAAGGTTGTGACCGAAAATTTGCCAACTCTTCTGACCGTAAGAAGCATAGTCATGTTCATACAAGTGACAAACCTTACAACTGCAAGATTCGAGGTTGTGATAAGAGTTATACCCATCCAAGTTCACTGAGGAAACACATGAAAGTTCACGGTCGTAGTCCACCTCCATCCTCACTTGACGGTGATACAACCATGAGGAATACATCGTCTGCCCCACTATCAACAACGGGTGACCTAATTGATTCAAAAAGTGAACTTCAAGCTAAACTGTTGGGTACACCGTTAGGCAATTTAAACTCATCCAACACCAACAACAACAATAATAATAATGTTAATAATTTAAATTTAAACAACCTTAGCCCAAACTCATCTTCAAACCACAGCAATCACGGAACAAGTTCAATCAATGGCAACTCATCTTCATCGGATTTACTTCATCACTCACACCTTTCGGGACACCATCCAAGCCACCTTCAGCCACCCTCTCAACAATCCCAACAACAACATCAACATCACACTTCACCTTCATCCAATTCAAACTCATCTCTGTACCATTCACCTCTTCACCATCATGGTTCACCACTCCAACCACCTGGACTAGTAGCACCAACATCCCATCATCATGCACCTCACCATCATCAACACTCTCTCTATTCACATCCATCCCATCATCCACACCACCATCCACACCATGGGCCAACCTCAGCCTCTTCCCATCACCCCTTAATCAACCATTCAAATCATTTACAAAATGTAAATCATTCAAGCAATGGTAACACAAACAGCAACACTGGCAACAACAGCAACAATCCAAGTAACGGTAACACCAACAACTCGACCAACAACAGCAACAGTTTAACGCCAACCTCATCCAGCAATGGAAGTAACACCAACAATTCAAGCAACAACTCGAGTAACACCAGTAACAATCCATCAAACAATGTTAATAGCAATTCAAATAGCAACAGTAACAGCAGTAGCAACACCAATTTGTACGGTGCTCTTGGACCTCACAATGGACTCCATCCATACACTAATTTTTCCTCCCTTTCCAATCGTAGTAACAACAATTTAACCGGTAACACACCGGTCTTCAATTCAAATTCACTTCATCACGGGACCCATTTAACTGATTGGTATGTTTGCCATCCAAATGGACCAGGTGGACTTCCCACACCGCCTTCAAATGAACTCTCACCAGTGGCTAATGCACCCTCCTTATACCCAGGTCATACTCTACCTCATATGTCTCATCTTCATGTTGCAACTTCATATTAAATTAATTAATTAATTATATTAACTATGATAATTATTGCTATAGCCTGCATTATAACTGTCACTTATTATTATTATTTTACACTTATTATCATTTATCAAACAATCAACTTCAACAATCAACCGAGCTTCAACAAAACAATCAGCTTGAAATAAATGCAAACAATAACTTAAAACTTGGACAAAAACAAAAAATGGTTAAAACAAAAGTGAAAAGTGATTCTTATTAAAAACAAATTGATCGATTCATTTCTTTTCTTGGCCTCAACAAATCAAATGCAATCAATAAATGCAATGAACAATTTAACCCTTTTTTGCTTATAATAACAACACTTAGCATAAATATATTCAGTCAATCATATTTGCAATGAAACAGTTTAAGGTTATGCTTCAAGTTTCATTCAAAACCCGTTTAGAGTTTAAAAACACTTTTAATTTTAATGAAAAAACATTTCATTTAATCTGAAATCAAAATGGTTGATACAAGAAGCTCAAAAATTTAATCCTTAAATATATTCCAATGAATGATAAAACTCGAACCAAAACGGCAATCATAAGGTCTAGCGAGTCTTAAAGGTTAATGTTCAAAAACTCAAACTTCGTTATTGCTTTACATTTCGTTTCATTTTTCCCTTGACATTGTTGAGTTTTCATAAAAATCCATGGTAAATTCATGACAAAGCGATAGTTTAATGCCACAATGTTTCAACTTTGAACGAACTTCAAACTCGAGCAAAAACGTTGATCATTCAAAGTTGACCAATGAGTTTCAATAAATATGACAAGTCTCAAGTGAAAATTGAACCTTCAAACCTTTCGATCAAAAATCACAGAAAAGTGTTGAACAAAAAGGAGTGGGTCAAAGTGGGAGTGAAGGTTTAGTTCAAAGTGAATGCGAACAAAAAATGAAATCTTTTTTCTTCTTTACTCCCCAAAAAACTGGACGCGTTATTGTTATTGTTCAGTTGATTATCAATGTAACAACAATAACAGATAAATAAGAAAGGTAAGAAGAAAGCATTTTTTTCCGTATTGTGAGGGAAAAGAAATGTTAAGGTGTAAAGCAAAAAGGTAAAAAAAAATCATAAACTCAATGTTAAAATGTTCCTGCTGAGACTTTTTTTGAACAAAAATTTAATTGAAGATTCACTGTTGGATTCTGGCGCTTTTGTTTCTCATCATCGTTTTTTATTTTTTATTTCATTTTATATTTTTCTCTTTTTTTTCTGGTGAGTTGATTTTTTCTTTCAATCATCATCATCAGTTTTCATGGTGAAGCAATGAATGGATCAGAATTGATGAACCACACCCAAAATCATGCGCAGGTAAAGATGAGAAATGAAGATGAACATGAACATTGTCAGAATGCAAAGGCAAGTCAAGAGCAACCATTTATCAGGCCAAGTAAGTTCAACCTCCAATGCTGCGTAGAGACGCATCCAGGTTACAATTAATGTCTACCAACCACCTTTTACCAGTCACTTAATGCCAACCTTTTTTCACGTTTACTCGAGCAATCACTTTATGATAATAACTTTTAATCATCAAATCTGATCAGTTGATCAATTTACCAATGGATTCAGTTATTGTTTTTAGCTGGTTACAAGATTAATCGTTTCATTGTTCAAATTGTTCATTAATATTGATTTCATTTCAAACCTGTAGGCGATGCATTATTATCCTGATTATCATGATTAACATAATTATGATGGTGATTAGCTTTTGTGAATGATGATCATTTTATGAGAAATTTTTTGTTGTCTTTTCTGTTCAATTACTTTTGTTGGTGTAATATTTAAGGTTAACAAATGATAATTAATCAAGATTATTGACTTTTGATGGTAAGAAGAAGAAGAAAAATTAACAAATTAATCAAAGACATAAAATTATAATGAAGGACAACATTTGATTGTATTGGAGTTTTGATGTAAGGAAACAAAGGTAACAAAACCTCGACAAGGTAAATATCAAGTTTAGCCTAATCCATAACAATTTTTGCTATACAAATCAGAAGAAGAAGAGGGAAGAAAGAGAAGAAAGAGGAAAAAAAGATGAAGATGAAGATGATTGGACTAATGTATTAAGATGTTGTTGAAGATATTTAGGTTTGTTGTTATGAAGATGAAGAGTAAAACTCTGAACAGTAGGAGGGAACTGGAAACGATTTAAATACAAGATTAAAAGGGGAATTAATGAATTGAGTCTCTTTCTCATCATCATCATCTTCAGTTTCATCTTGATCATAATTTCCACGGTAACAACGGAAACAAATGATGTATCTGTTTTAAAGGTTGACTTCATAAATCTCTCTTCAGGCGAAACTTTAAAGAAAAGGAAAAGAAAAAACGAAACAAAAAAATGGCTTCAAATGATGACGAAGATGATGTTGATTTTGATGTTGATGATGATGATATAAACAAATGATGATAATGATGTAAGAAATATGAAAAGGAATTGAAAATGAGAATGAAAATAAATGTTGGAAATGAAATTTTTTTTACTTTTCTTCTTCTTCTTCTTCTTTGCTTCAACTTGATTTGGCGTTGAAAACAAATTGAAACAAGACTAAACAGGTTACAATGATTGAAAATGAATGTTGTTTGTTGTTGCCAAAAAGGTCATGATAAAAATTTGAATACTGAATGATAATTATGATGATCAGGATAGATGAGGATGAGAATGATAAAGATGGTGAAGAAGAAGAAGAAAAAAAGTAAATCAAAATGGAAAAATATTGCTTCTTCTGTTGATGATGATAAAGGGCTGAGACCTCTTACTGTTATCATCTTCACTCTCCTGTTGAGCATATTTTTATTTTCATAAATTGTATGTAATATTCAGAATGATCGGGATGATAATCAGAATGATGAGGATGAAAGAAAATATGATGAAAAATGAATCAACTATAAATATCTTTTTTTAATTGAATTTGATTCACAAGAAAAGATATTGAAACAAAAGTAAAAGAAACATTGACAAAATGAAACAAAACTGTATTTCATTTTCAATGACAATTTTCATTTCCACTTTAATTGCATTTCTAATTTTTACAATTAAAGTTGAACCAAACTGTAAATGATTTAATTGTCTTAATCACGAATGTGTTGCAATTAAATGAACAATTGATCAATTAAAATGCCTTTAAATGAACTTAGGAAATGATGAATATCATTACCAGTCAATGTTATTCATTTTTGCGTGATATTAAACGGTTCACAAGACAATCAACACTATTTAGGTTTATATTGATTTTTCATTTTAATCATTACAGTAATGAAAACCTAAAAGATTAATATAATATCATCAATCAACTGATTCTTTGCTGTTTAACCCTTTTCATCTTTACCATTATTCAAGTTGTTCATGGTGAGTTTCACTTTTCCTTTGACAATCAACTAAATCATCTTTTTTCGTATTTATATTAAGATTCAGCTTTTTGGTAACAATATTTTAATTGATAACATTTTAATTTAATTTAATAGAGAAAAGAAGAAAATAGAAAAAAGTTTTAACCCTTTTCGCTCAACTTTTGTCATTTAATTCAATCCCAAACAATATCATTAATAATCATAATCTCATGAGAGTTAATTGTTGTTTCGTCTTTTGTTAGACTTTCAATTTTGCTCTCTATTTAGTTCATCAAACTTTTTTTAATTTGATTTTAATTTAATTACAAATTTCAATCTCAATTCAATTTCACCATCATTATCATGTTATCATGGCAAAAATGATGCAAATTGTTATTGATGACAATTAATTTACACTGAATTTCATTTCCCTTTCATCCTCAGCTTGACTCTCATCGTTTAATCAGGCTGAAGGTTGTGAGTTAACTCAACCTAAAAGGCCTATCTTGTCCCATCAAATGTTTACTCATGAACCTCTTTTTACGTAAACTGTTTTTCCTTTCATTACTGACCAAAATTTAACCACAATTAACCAATTCTTTTGTAATTAATGTTCAACTCAGCGTGCAGCTTACAAAAGACATTTGATCAAGTTTTACTTTTAATTGCAAACAATTAAAGGCAACTTGTTTACCAACCTCATTAGCATCATATAATCATGAGGACAATTAGACATTAATTGTGACAATTATGTCTTAACATTGAGTAGAAATGAAAATGTAACTTTTCTTGAATCATCAAAATTAACTTTTAATATATTATTATAAAAAATTACAGCCTTATATTGATAATACAACCTGCTGAGAGTAACAAGCTTATCCTTTTTTTGCTTGTTGTTGAGCCCAAGTTTACTGGTAAATCAAACAAACTGTAATTAGATAATCAGTATATTTTGTTTGCTGTTCACAATCAAATCAACATGATTATCCTATTATGATGGTGAAAATAGAGAAAATAATTCAATCGCAAATAAAGTTGAATGAAAATTGTCAATGTTTAACTATTGAAAAGTGATAAGTTACGGTTAAGCTTGAAAGCCTATTGAGATTAACAGGGAACACCAACCTTTGATTAACTGTTTCAAAGTTAATCTTAAAATGCAATAATTGACTGGGAGTTTTGATATAAAATAATCATGCAAATGGCAATATAAAATGAACAATAATATCGTCAATAATGAGATCAACAATAATAAGATCAGTAATGATATTGGTAATGATAATATCAATAAAACTGTGTTGAATGTTGACAAAACAATTAAGAAACAAAGGTTTTTCCCTTCAACTTGTACAATATCAAGTTGGACACGATAGAGAAGCCATCCATGAAACATTTCAATTCTTATTCATTTTCTTGTTCATTTTCTTATAAAATAAAAACTATTATCATCTTAATCTTCCTCTCATCACAATAAGGAAATCATCCATCATTTGAATCACTTTTTTCTTCTCTCTCAACGAAAAATCTCTTCTCATGAATCTTGTCCTTTTAACTTTTCATTGTTTGAATCTTTTTTCCCTCTTTTCAACCAATTTCAACTTTTTTTTCATTTCTTTTCTTTTCGCCTTCTTTTCACTTATCTTCATCATTCTCATCTTTATCCTCATTATTATCTGGTTGCTCTGTCTGATGATCATTTTGAAAAGATGACTCTAATGATGATAACAATTAAGGTAAAAAAACCTTGCAAAGAGGCAAAATCCATTAGAACCGTTAATCTTGCTAATGACAATTGAAATCAATTCCCAATTTGAAGATTGAACAAAAACTTTACTCTTGATGAATGATGTTTAATTGTAACAATAACATCATAATTGTCATCCTTTTACTCTCACCTTATTTTACTGTGAAATTGATTGTTTCTAATTGTTATCATTTGACCGCTTTCCAGACAACTCAAGGGACTCTTTACAACGGTCTAACCTGATGAAGATGAAGGCTAAAAAAAGGTCATTTTAAGTCATTTTCAGCCATTTTTTTCATCGCTTTTTTTCCTTCTTCTTCTGCTTCTTCTCCTGCTCTTCATCATCTTTTTAGCTTACTGACAGCTGATTGATTGAATCAATCCTTGAAGATGAAGTGAAAAAAGGTAAAATATTGCTATTATTGAACACTTAATACAAGTAGCAATGAAAGGTAAACATGCATCATCATCGTAATCATCATCATAATCGTCACTTTTAATTGCATTTGTCAGTTACCTTAAACTGACCTCATTGATTTGACCTCAAGACAGCGATTTGGTAACAAAAAAAATTTGACAAAATTTACACCAAAAAGGAACCATAAAATGTAAATTAGACTATCTTGTTTTTTCCACAATTACTCTATTATTATGCATAACCATTAAATTATGCAGATGATTTAGCTTATTTTCACCATCATTCCTCATCATCTGTTGAAGTGTATTTACAATTTTCTTACCTTTAAATTTTGTTTGCTTCAATATTGAAGGAAAAACTGGAAACAGAAATAAGTTAACCAATAATAAATGGTATTATTATTAGTTTCATGATTGATTTTCTGATCATTTTCTTTTCATAATCAAATTTACCTGTTTAAAGTTAACTAAAAATAATTGTTTCCAAGTCTCAGATCATTGCATAAATTACTAATCAATGTATTAACTTATTTCAATCATTTATTCACTCTTACAGATGCAATTAGAACACGTTCCCTTATTGCTGTGATTTTTGCCTTTTGTTTTTATTGTCACCTCTTTTGGTTTATTGTTTTAATCTGGTTTTGTGCAATTGAACAATTATTAATTATTTTTTGTACTTTTCAACAGTTCATCTATTCATGGTCAAGTTGGTCATTGTCTAGTTTTATTTTTATCCAAGCCAATTTCATCTCTTTTCCCATGTGTTTTACGCTTTTCACTGTTAGTTGGCTTACTCGGTCTTACCGATCTTTACAGGTTTGTACTTTTGTTTTTGATTTCTAATGACTAACATTTTAAATTTACTTTGTGTCGGATTAAATGTTAATCTAAGCTTAATTGTTTATTATACAGGTCTATGGTACACAAGTGTCCCTCTGATTCGGATTAAATTGTATTGGGTCAACTGGAATCTCTTGAGTCTTCCAACTGTTCGGATCCTTGCTCGCTAGGGATTTTGGTATACCTTACAAATGTAACACAATATTGATGCTGGCTAAAAGTGATTCACATCTTTTCAACAACATAATTGTTACGCCAATGTCAATCAACACTTGAAAGTTAAACTGGTTTCAAATTAAAGTCGCTTCTCACTCGATTCAACAATATAAAATGCAGAACCAAACGAGTTGACACCAAACTCATGCTCTTCATCGCCATTGTTAACATTTTCATTTTCATTTCCATTTCTTTTTTGGTTACCTGTTCTGTTATTTAAATGTTATAAATTCCTATTTCAGTTTCTCCAATTCTCAAGGTCAATTTCTTAGTAACATTTTTCTTATCTCTTTTTGTTTTCCATTGAATCCAATCCTCAGGGGGTAACCAAATCAAATTGAGTGATAGCGGAAATGAGATTTAAGATTGCAATTGAAATTGCTTTACCAATCAATGTTTCCGTTTACAATTTCAATTCAACTTTTCTACCTTTTCTTTTTTAATTCCTAACAATTTTCCCTAAAACATAATCATTATTGTTTCCACCATTCAAATGGTTCCAGCCGTTGCCTTAACCATTACCAGATTCACCTTTTTAATTGCAAATTGTCAACCTGTTTTCATCTTTCAACTCATAAACCCAACTATACTTTACAACAAAAAATATTGATGCAAATTTGAGCTGTAAACTCAAAATTGCAATTTCAATTTGATGAAAATGAGTAAAAACTTGAAATCTTAATGAATCAGAAATTTTTATTGTTTCATTTCAGGCTTTATTGAGATATTAACATTTAAAATGTTGGAGTTGCATTCCCGAGACAATGATAAATATGATTGAGGAATAACATTAGTTATATATGACTTGAAATAATTAAATGCCAATAGCAATTAAATGATTAACAGTTTTACAAGCTTTAAAGGTTAACAAATGGTTTAATTTGAAAGACAAACATTTCGTTTGAAAATCAAACCCGGTGGGCCAATAAACCACCCACCTAGGTTTGCAAACACCTTAGTTTGCAAATATATATAAAAAAAGGACGTTTTAAGATGAAGACAAAGTTGATAATGAAGAAGAAGCAACCAGCAAAAAAATGATCAATGATGGTTACATGGGGAGTTAAAGGGCGGATCTAAGGCCATCTTCATCTTTATCATCTTAGCGGGTTTCAAAGCGCTCAAAATGCTTAATATGCTGTGTTTTTGTTTTTGCAAACCATCAACCATAATCACCATTGATTAAAGTGAACATTAAACATCAATTCAGGTAAACATGAATCTTTCAAGTTAATCATTTGGATTGCATTTTTCAAGTTGATCGTTTAAATCTACGAATCTTTGATCATTCACTAATTCAATCATTTCAATCTTGTTAATCCTAATGGGTTGTGAGTTGAAATATCATCAAGAAAAGTACATGAAAAAATTGTGTCAGTTTAAAAGATTAATGAAATGATTGTAATTTTAGTTGAACGTACAATGTTGTTTCATCAACAACAACAGCAAAAACAAAAGTGTCTACAAAATGCAATTTACTGGTTTATCGGTTGACTTTTGATAGCGATGATCGATTGATATTGATAAAATGGGATCAGAAATGGTCAATAACGAGATATTGAATATATGTGTGTGTACATTTATTCCCACCCACTGAGGGGTGCAACTATGCAAGGAAACAACCCCTGAGTGGAGCAACATGAATATGCAGTTTGAATAGTCATTTGAGTAAAATGAATCTCTTGTTTTGTATGTTTTGTTGTTACTTAATTTTCAGTGTTAAAAAAAAGGTTGACACAAGAAACAAACAAAAAACATTATTGAAAAAAAGGAGAAGAAGAAGAAGGAAAAAAGCGAAGATGGAAATGATGATAATGATGAGAATTGAGATGAAAATGATGATGAAAATGAGGTAAGGTTAGCTCTACCCACCGGAGGAGGTTGATTAAGATTGACTGTTTTGTGTTGAGACTAGAGGAGGAACAGTTGAGGAAGGATGATGATGAAGGCGGAGGAGGAGGAATCAAGATGAAGGATGTTTGTTATCATGTTTAAACACAGTTTCATATTGGATAATGTAACAACAAGACATGGGAACAAAAAGTGAAACCCATTTACAGGTGAAACAAGACAAATGTACAACGATTAACGTCATTTAGTGGCCTTAAATGAATGTCGACTTTTACTGATTCCATTTGTTATTTCACTGTAAATGTACCATTTACTGAATCCAAATATCAACCATTTTACATAAACTCACTTTGAATGTTGATCCAATTTTTGGTAAAATAATATTCAACAATGAAAAGGCGCTTAAAGACGGTCTCTGATTAGAGGATGATTTAAGGCCATCTAAAGCTGATATGTTTATGATTATGGTTAACACCAATATTAACAATATTGTTAGCGATCAGATAATTGTTGACTCAAAGCAAACCTATCATTAGTTGATTATGACAAATGAAGTTTACTCAGTCAATTGTTTATCTTAACCATTAAAAGCAATGTTTCATTTGACCAGGAAAGAGGCAGCCAGGGAAACAACAGGTAACTCACAGAGAGAGAGACAGGGTTAAAGATATTTTATATTTGCTGTGTGCTTCAAAGTGATGTTAAGGTTAGTGGGTGGGATGGGAGTGAGCATCTTACAATGATAATAAAAAGTTGAAAAAATAAAAGCCCAAAGACCTCCCAAAGTCAAAGACAAAAGGATAGACTTGGTCAGTTGAAAAATGTATGTCTATCATAATGTGGATAAAAAAAGCAATAAGTCAACAATTTATGCTCTCAAAGTTGCCACTGGAGATACTGAACATGTTATAATATCACAGGGAAAAAGGTAAAGGATACAAATTTATAATGTTTCCCAAAAGCGCCTAAAAACATCTCAACCATTGATCTACTTTTTTTTGTGATATTTTTACGACTCCCTTTAAAACTAATAACATTGGTTAGGTTTGAGCGAAAGGCTCCAAAAATTGATAAGTTTATTGTCAGGGCGTGAGGTTTCAACCACCACAAATTATCAATCATATTAACAGTCATTAGTTGATTCTCAGAAAATTATTATTACATGAAAAAAAGAGCGGAAAAATCAGTGAAATGATATCGATAAAAAAAAGAAGGCAAGAAAAAGTGTAAAAAATAAGCTTGAATAAGATAACAATAAAACAACATTTGATATTGACTTATGGATATTGTTTAGTGATTCAGTCAAACTGAATATTTCGATTTAATGATCTTTTTTGTACCATTTAACTGATAGTATCGAAACGTGTTTCAATTATTTCGACTTGTTCTTATCGTTGGAATCAATGTCATGTTTCTGATTGTAATCGTCAACATCAATCATTTGATTAACCACAGAGTAAGAAAAAAGTGTTTCTTTTCCTTCATTTGATTGCAAATGATTTACATAATAAAAAGATTTGATAGTTGGCCTTATTGATTATCAATTTTGACTAGTTTTACTTGTAACTACAGTTTTCCTGCTTCTCTATAAATTGATTATTTATACTCTATAAACGATGAAAAAGTGTAATTAACTTGTTATTAACACCTATAACTATGATTACATTAGTTGATTGATTTACTTGTTACTTGTTGATCCAAATGTAAACATTTTGGTCCTCAACTGCTAATATTTACAAAGATATCAATTCTGTAGGAAAATAATTTATCATGAAAATTTAATTCTTTTTATTCTTTCCCTTTCATGGTTTGATTTGGTTACTTTTTGGATCAAAATTCATTGCTGATTATACCTGTTGATTGTCGGGTTAATTTGGTGCTATTGAATGTATCATTTAGGGAACTTTTTTGTTTCTTGAAAATGTTTAATGCTATTTGAAGTAATTGCAAAAACATTTGTTGAACCTTTTATTTGTTAGTTTATGATAAGTTGTTTACAACTTGAAACTGTTCAATTTAAATCATAAATTGGTTGCCAATTAATTCAATTGGAATCATTGAATAGTCAATGAATAGGGAAGATTGATTGGGAAGGAAAAGATGATAAAATGGTGAAATTGTTCAACATTAAAGTGTTGGGTAAAATGGTTTTGATTCAGAATCGGTTGAATGAATGAACAAGAGAAGAAGAAGAGAAAAGCTAAAAAGTAATAACAAATAGATAGATAAATAAATAGAGAAGGAAATGGAATTGATGAAGATGATGTGGGCTTGATAATAATGATGATAATAGCCAGCATCCGATGATGAGGAGGAGGAAAATGATGATCAACTTGGTGAAGAGAAAGATGAGTGAAAACAAAGCTGAAAATGATGATGAAAAAAAAGCTATACAAAATGCAATATGTTTCCGATTTTTTTATACGCTCAGTGCTTTACGAACACTTATCATGTCTTCCTGATTCCCTGTCAAAAGCAACTGACTATTGCAATGCATAAAAATGGTTTTAACCGTTTTTCCCATTCAACAGAAGAAGCAAAAAAAGATGATCCAAATGATGATGAAGATGGAAATGAAGATGAGAGTAAAGATGAAAATAAATATGTAAATACAAGGGTTTTCACGCCAACAGAACCCTAATTATATGCATCTTTTGATGCAACACAAGTCACTCTCTTGGGTTGAGAGGTTCACCTCATTCGGCCTCTACTCAGTCCAACAGTGATAATGATCAAGATTATGATGATGACTATGAAAGTGATTATGAAAAGATGAAAGAGGATGAGACTGGTGGAAATGGTGAAAATGATAAAATTGATCGTGATAATGATCGAGGATAAAGAGTAACATTGTATCACTGGGACTGTGAAATGGAGAGTTAATCAATTGTTTGACCAAAATTGTTTGTCTTTGATTAAGATGAGGATGATAATGAGGATGATGTGGATGATGGCAACAAAGTTGAGTTGATGATGAGTTGCGATTAATTTTACATTGAAGATAACTTTAGGTTTGCATTTATTTTGTTATTCACATTTTTCATTGGATTATCTCGGCTGGATTCCCATTACATTCACATAGTAAATAACCTGACATTCACAAAATTAACTTTAATTGTACAAACTTACCTTTACTGAGCAGCTTCTAAGAAGAAGATGAAATTAAGATTCATCAATAAAGTTTATCATCATTGATCATCCATCATCCATTTTTGCCATCTTTTGTTTGTTTTCATAAATTTTTTCCTTACCTTTGTTGATGTTCAACAATTAACTCTGAAAATTCATAAATCACCTTAAATATGCAAAATTGAATGAATGACAAAACTTAATGAGAAACTTTTTCCTTCCTTTTAATCGTAAATTTTAATCTTGTTAAGTTAATTGTTTCACCTTTTGTTCCCAACTCAACCATTGGCCAAGGAGTGTAATCAACTGTCGATTTGATTGTTGATCAATTTTTTGATTTAAATTTTTCACCATTTTCTGGTGTTATTGTTTCAATGAAAAATTGTTCATTTGAAGGATAGTTAATCAAGTTACAATGTTAACTTTTCAGGTTCAACTTTTCAATTGCATTTGAATTATGTTGATAATAATGTAATTGAAATCTGTTAATGTGACTTGTGAGTTTCCAACTCAATTAAGGTTTTAAAGCTTGGAAAGCAAGTTAATGATTAACTTGATTGGGATGAGATGAGACAACTTTAATGGCAAGGTTAAGATTAATTTGCTTGAATCGGATCAAAAATCAAGTTATAATCTGGTTTTACTTTTGATTTAATTTTGCTTTTCACATTTGATTAACTTACCAAAAGTGGAAAGAGAAACTGTGATTTTTTCCCTGAAAACTTGAAAAGTAACTCACAATTTAAGGGAAGGAAAATTAATTGGATAAAGACGATTAATGTTATTAATACAAATATAAATATAAATATGTGATTAAAGTGACTTATTAAATAGCAAATTAACACACAAATTTAACACACCAAACAAACATAAACAACAATTAAAACCTGTAAATCACTGAACACAGCAAACAGTAAAAGCTGAAAGGTGAAAAAGGATGAAACAATTAAAACAATGGAAACAATTGAAGTAACTAATCAATCAGATTAATGATTACAGAATGACATTTGGATTTAAGTTGATAACAATAACTGGACGTTCAACAAATTATGTTGAGTATAAAAAAGCCAAATGATACGAAACAAAAGGTAAACAGAACAATTGTAAACAAAAAAAAGGTAATAATTAAAGGTACAGACAATGATTCATATTTATAAATGTGAATGTATGTTTGCATGGAAAGGTAACATCATCAATCATGAGTTTATTCATAAATATTCTGACCTTCATTGAAACCGTGAACTTTTCCTTCCAATGTTAATGGATTGGGATAAGACAAATATTACATTATCTCACGGTTATAATGAATAAATCCCATTGTTTCCAATCAATTCAATTATGTCTTAAATATTTAAAGGCAACAATTTAAAGTCAACGCTTCTTGCCAATCATTTTGGGAAACAAAATTTTGTCAAAAAATTCATTTTTACCTTTTCTTTGGACTTTAATAGAATAGAAAAGATCAATTCGGTTTTGCATCTTGAATTCATTTAACAAGTTTCGCTTTCTTTCAATGAATTTCAACGATTTGAGTCAATGATTTGAAAACACACTTTTGTTTAAAAATCAATTTTTTAGCGTTTAATTTCAGCCTTCAACTTGAAATTGAAACCGAAGATTCTGAATTTTAATTTCATTTTCATCAGGTTTTGTTTTCTTGCTCAGATGCACACAAGTTTCCGATCCATTCAATTAAGCCTTTAAAGATATAGGTAAGAAAACGAAATTTCGTCAAAAAATCAATTTTCGTCTTTTAATTTTTCCATCTTTATATTGGAGCTGAAGAGTTTAGTTCAATTCTGAATTTTAAATCAGTTTAGTTCAATTCTGAATTTTAAATCAATTTTTGTCAAGTTTCACTTTCTATTCCTTTGAGTTTTGTTTTTTAGGCTTTGATTTGCACGAGTTTCAAACCGATTTAAGGCCACAATTAAATATCGACAATTCTTGTCAATCGTTTTGGTAACCAAAATTTTGTCAGAAAAAAATTTTATTTTTTGATTTTGACTTTCCCTTTTAACTCAAGATGGAAACTGAAGAGTCCAACTCTGATTTCAAATTAAGTTCAAGTTTTACTTCGAGTTTCGGTTTTTGTTGTTTGACTTTTTGTGTTTTTTACGAGTTTTTTACGATTTTGCATTTTAAATGTTTTTATTCTGTTTTTAAACTTCGATTTTTGCATTTGACTTTTATTTCAGGTTAAAGTGTTCGTTTTTTTGGCTTTTGATTTTAACTTTAGATTTATTGGATTTACAAATTGCAATGTAAAGACATCAATTGAAGAATGCTGTTTATCGATTAAACTGTGAATAGTTTTACCAACATTGACATCTATTGAGTTCGTTGACGATTAATCAACTAAATGACGTTTAAATGCTTTCTTTTTGTGCAAAAACAATCAACTTTTTTTCCTTGTAAATCTGATAACAATTTATGCCATTTTTGCCTTATCAGCTCATTTTCATCGGTTTACCTTGTTTTTTGCTTTCCTTACCTTGACTCAATAGCAAGGTCAGTTTAACAAGGTAGATTCATGTCAATATCATAATAGCGTTTACCATTTTGATTATTACAAATGACATTACAAGTAAAGGTAATTTTGAAACAAAAAAAGGTCACTTTATGCTTTACTGGTTTAACCATTTCTTTAAGAAAATTAGTCTCTTTTCAATTCAATTTCAAGTTATCAACTAAGCTCATCATCATTTTCATCCTTTTTTTCAGCCTTGTCTTGGTAAATTATGTTTTTCACCTTATCTTTACAATCTTGATCATCATCTCATTGTAGCCTCATTTTGTTTATTTTGCGTTCAGGTTAAAAGTCAAAGTTTAACTTATTTAATAATAAGTTGGTCGGTTTTGCTGGCCAACAGAAATACCAGTTTCTTTGTGACCAACCTGATTCACTATGGATTAGCCTTGCAAATTACGATCAGTGATCAACAAGATGATGATGAAGATGAGAGATGAGAATGCAAGAAACAAGACTAAAAGAATGAAATATTTTTCCTTTAACGATATGAAGCTATGTTTTTGTCTGTGACAAGAAGGCGTTTCTTGAGCACTGACAGATAATTGATCTCCGTTACGTTCAGGTAAAGCCTCAAAGGCCAGTTCAATATTAGAAGAGCCTTAAAGACGTTTCTTTACCTTTTTTTTTGTTTCGCCATTCTTAACCTCAGTCTTCATCATCTTCATCAGCATCATCAACATCTTCTTCTTCATCTTTACCATCTTCTTCTTTTCTTCGTCTTTACCAATATTTTTGTGTCTCTTCTTCTTCTCTCTTCTTTCTCTTCTTCTTTTATCTTCATCATCATTATTATAACAGGTACACCTTTAAGACACAAAGGAGACGAAACAAGAAAAGGAGACAAAGAAAGAGGATGAAATGACCTGAAAAGATGGACAGATAAATGATAACGTTTGGCCAAAAGGGATAAAAACGTAAAATTGGTTTTAAGTACATTTTTTCAACCTTTTATACCTTTTTTTTGTTCAAAGTTTACCATTTTTATTGTAATATATTGAAAATTAGCTTTCCTTTTCAATTCCATTTCAACTTATTATGGATATTTCTATGTTTTTTGATTAACATTTTGGTGAAACATTTAAAAACATTGTCTGAATACCTTTAACCTTTGAATGACAGTTTAATGGTCAAGAAAGACTCAAGCCAAAGGTGAAAACGTAAATTGTTTTTTGCTGCTTTCAATGTTACCATTGAGGTTACCCGAAGAAGAGACGAACATGTTTTTAGGAGAAAAAACATTTACAAGAAAAGACATTTTCTAGTGAAAAGTAAATTGTACAATTTATCAATCATGAAACTAATCAAATATTACAAGGCTTTTCAACAATTTAAATTGAATTGGAATTGATTGAAATGACAAAATTTTTACCATAAAAATACATCATTCAGTTGACAATTGTAATGACTGGTTGAGATGTAATTGTTTAACTCAAGATTGATCAGTTTTCCCTCCTTCTTTACCTTTTGTTTTTACGCTCATTTCAACTGAAAATTAATCAGTGTTAATTGTTGACCTTTTACCTCTTTCAACTGGTAACAATTAAGAGGCAATAATTGACCAATATCTCAAGGGTAACATTAATTAACCATTATTCTTGACAATTGTCAAAATAATACTTAACCCACAACCAATTGTAATCATTTTTACCTTTTCTTTTGTTTTCCTGACTTTTCCTTTTCTTCACCACTCACCAATCCATTATTTCCTATTATATTTATACACACATTTCCACTTGTCTTGGTCTTTTTTGGTGACACTCAAGTGACCTTAGGTCATTGAAAAGGCCTAATAGCCTTTAAAGTTTACCTTTTTTTTCCTTCCCTCATTGTTGTCGCTCTCTCTCTCCTTATAATACTTGTATGTGTTTATAATAGACATGATAATATCCAGTTGACTTGTGTATATATTTATTTGACTCTCATTGTCTTCAAGGCAGGTCAAAGTTAAACTGGACTAACATGGACGACAATTCCTTGTCATTGGACACACCAATAAGTCACAAGCAACAATGCACAATCAATTGAGCTGAAACTAAATCAATGAATCAAAAAAGTTAAAACTCATCAAATATTTGATCAAGCTGACAAAGACCAAAATTCAAGATCAGCAAAAAAGGTAATCAGTTGATTTATTGCGGTTTAATGACAACATTTATTGATTAACCTTTTTATTGTCACTTTTTTACTCAACGCTTTTATTACAATTATCCCACTTTACTGGTTAATACAATCAAATGTTTGTTTGCAGTTCAGTTACCACTTAATCATCAAATCTGAATGGTTAATCTGTTGAGCAAACAGATTTTCAGATTAACCTAATCAATGTCAAAGTGATATTAAAGTTACAATCAAAGGACACATTCAATGTTAGTTTTTTTTCCATTCAAACATTAAAAGTGTTTTTCAAGTGAGAATCAAGTTGATATAAAAAAGTTGAGATTTTGACTTATTTTTTGACTTCTGGTGCTGTTTGGGAGTGAAAACTGGGAGTTAATAAATTGTTGATAATAAAGTCGACTATTATAGTTCATTTGGGAATTAAGGGTGACAAGTTGACAATTGATGATTGCTATTGGATGTTAAATTGTTCAATTACAATAATAAAGGGTCAAAATGTTTGTCATCTAAATGATTAATGTAAACGTAATTTAGAGCGAGAAACAAAAAAACATTATTGATGAGATTCATTTCTTCATCTAATGATAATTTATTGAACTTCATTTACATGTTATTGATATTGAAACAAATAATGTACGGCTTTTAATCTTTACAATAATCAATAAATGGTGAAGGAAAATGTTTCAGTGTTTGAATCTACAATCAACAACCAGATTTGAATGGTAAATTTAATAATATCATCAATTTATATTAAAACTTGTTGCTATGATTGATGACAATCTGGGCAACTGTTTTACAATGTAAATTTAATTTCAACAAACCATATTATTGTTTGCCTTCAACAATCAATTTTATTATCAATGAACGCTAAGAAAATGAGCTTTTTGTTGGACTTTTTTTTGCTTGCCTTCTCAATCAAATCATAAATTGTAATATTAAATTTATTAGTGTAAAAAAGAGGGTGAAAAATGTTCAACTGAGGCTGTTAATTTAATCATAAAAGGTTGAATTGAAAAGAAATTAAATTGCATTGAAAAGTCCTTTTCTTTATGTTTCGATTTTACAATGTTTTTTTGCCTTCTTTGACTTTCTTATTGAGGTTTTTGTTGTTGTTGCTTGTAATCAACCAATTCATTGAATTGTATTTATTGTGTGTGTGTTACAATGATTAAATGAAGTGATGAAAGGTTGATTAAAGAATCACAAAACTGACCTTAACAACAGCCAAATTGACCTTAAAATAACATTTTAAACGTACAGTTAAGTTTTATACTTAACAGTCAATCATCACTTACATCAATCTTTAAGAAGCCATTTTTAAATATTGTTTAATAAATAGAGTTGAGATTACAAAGGAAAGGCTTTATCTTCATCTTTACCAACCAGCAACATCATCATCAACAGTGGTAACATCATCAGCATCTTTGTTCATCATCTTAAAACATCTTTTCTCATCTTAATTCTGTTTACATTGCAGCGACTGCTTATGAATCAAGTGAATATGAAAAGATGATAAAAATGATGTTTATATGGTTTTGTTGTTGAACAAAATTTTCATCTTTTTGTATACAAGAAATTGAATGTGAAGATGAGTGAGATGGCGAACGATGATGAAGAGAAGAAGATGAAGAGCAGCAGAAAATTTTGCCTTTCCTTTTGCTTCTTCTTTTTCCATTTCTTTTGTTGAGATGATAATAATAATAGTAATAATAATAATGTTGAATAATTGTTTGATTATAAAACATTTTGCTTGTTAAATCTGTTTCACTTTTAACCAAAATAGTAAAATTGTGTTTGACATTAGTTGTGATTCCTTATTAAATTTATAGCTTCTTGCTCCTTCTCCTTGTTGTTCAATGAAACATTTTTTTCTCCTTTGCTTCTTTCTTGACTAGTTTTTTTTTCTCCTGAATATCTGGCTCTTTTTCAATCATCAGGATCATCTTGAAGGCCACCCAAGACCAATACAGTGTCGTTAGTTAAAGACGAGTTAATTGGCTTGAAAAGAAGAAGGTTCATGTTGATGATGATGATGAAAATGATAAAGATAAACGCGTCAATATCAACGCTCTTTCCATTCCATTTTTATTTGGTTTAGCTGAATAATTTGAGACACACAGCTTTAACTGAACACACATATATACTGTGGACTAGGTTGAAGGTTGACTCTGTTGAAGATGTTAATACACATTTATTTTATATATAAACTATAAAATAAAAGTAAGATGTATAGAGAAACAGCCTTAAAGATGCAACAAACAGCAACTCCAAGCCCTCAAGGCGAAAAGGTTAGCTTGTAACAATCGTAAAAAACAACAGCACAGAATGTAAAGGGAAAGGTTTAAGATATTTTCGTGCCAAAAAATCGTTCCAATCATGATGGTGATGATGATATAAATATATAAACGTATAAAACCAAGTAAAATCGGACTTTCAGCATTATTATTTTACACAGCCATCGCTTTTGTTGACAGAAATATTAGCTTTTTTTGCTTCTCTTTGCTGGCTTGCTTGTTCCATCTTCAAATGTCATCTTGGATTGATACATTAATACAAAATTGTTTCTTGGTTTCTGTTTGTAACCTTTTTTCCCTTGCTTCACAAAATCAAATTTGCATTTCCATCACTCCAATTGATTGTTAATTACAACTAAAGACCAGCAGGAGTCAACCAATCAGTTGCAAAACGAAATGGCTTCATCTTAGCAGTTGAACCAAACAACACCAACAAACACTAATTTAACTCCAATAGACGCTCCAATAGTTTCTTGTTGTTTCTTTGTAAACCTTGTATGTCTATCAAATAACAAACACGATAAATAATAAATTGTATAAAAGATAATTAAATAATGTACAAGTAGTTTCCTAATTCAATATAGTTAATATGATATACAAAAAAAACGTTACTTACGAGACATAATTTGACCGCCATCTATTGTTTTAAAAACTGTCAACTCTTCAACTCTTTCCATTTCCATTAGACTAATATTTTATGCTAAACGAAAGTAAACTTTACCAGTGTTTGAGCACCTTTCACTCGCTCCTATTATTTGGTAATCCGGATTATCGGATTTACTAGTAACTCTATAAATAGAGACCTTGAATTTACTTAAAAATGCAATAAAAGCAAAAAAATTGCTCAACAGAGTATAAAAAATACTCCACTTAAGCTGTAAAGTCTGCAATATCAAAGTCACATCGAAATAGGTTTCACCCAACTGCCAAAGATTAGGTTAACTTGAATCACAATCTAGTCAGATCAGTTGATACTAAACCAAAATCAGACCAATTTAGGTTATACTTTGATTCAAAAAAATACTAATTTGCATAATAAACATTCTCAACAGTAACAGATAAAAAACTTATAATACAATATCAAGTAAAAAATTTTCCCTCGAATCAAGATGCAATCACTGCAATCACTAAAGCCATCTATTGTTGCCATTTGAAACTAACCAAAGCAAACCATTAAACACTTTAGTCAAGTGACTTTACTATCAAAATTTTCCCGAATTCGGTTGCTATTAAAGTTATTCAGATGGCGAGAAAAGCTCGAGAATAAATTAACAACTGTGATAATCAGAAGTTATGTCAAAATCTTGCGAATTACTATGAAATAACACTAATAACGATAAACGATGATGGCTTTCAATGAAAAGGCTTCAGTTTTATCAAAAGGATAACAAGCAAATTACCCATTTGTCTTGTACAAGTGTTTAAGTGTTTTGTATAGACACTATAACTATAAAGTGTCAACTAAAACAAATGACTTAATTAAGTGTCTTACAATATTTGGACGCAATTAACTATCAAGATATCGCTATTTTAATTTAGTGTACAAAATATTTAACCATTTCCTACAGAACGGGTCGTTGGTCTAGGGGTATGATTTTCGCTTAGGGTGCGAGAGGTCCCGGGTTCAAATCCCGGACGACCCCGTCTCTTTTTGTTTTCTATCAAATTCTCACGATTTTATCTTTAAAATCTGTTTCTTATTGATTATAATGCTAACAGGAATGTTTGGCAATCGAGTGAAATGCCAATTTTGATTGAATAACTGACAATTTCAAGTGATTATTGAGATTTTAAAATGGCTTCCAGTTTTATGTGATTCTGTTGCAATATAAACCCTTTGCATGTTTCTTGTTTTCTTATTCATCCATTGGTTCATGAATGAATGTTTTTTTGCCGTTTTTGTGTTATTTTTAATTCAAGTTTTGTTTTTGATCTGAAATATTACTCTAAAGAAATTGTTCCTCATTGAATTGTTTGATTTAATAATATGAATGTTGTCGTCTGGAAAGTTTAAATTTCATCTTCGTTTTTGAGCAGTTTGTTTGGTTACAAGTCATTTTGTGTTTCATTTTTAAACCTTTCCAGAAGATTTTTAATAATTTTGTTTATTTTTGTTTAAATTAATGATTATGGTCAGTGATTTGTTGGTTAGTAATACTCTTGTGATTTGAATTGTTGGTAAATTAACTTGAACTCTTTAACTGCATTTCAATGGAGATTGCAGTTTTAGACTTATCAAACTTTGCGCGTAAACATTTTATTGGCTCACCGGCTTAATCATTGAAAACTGTTTTTCACTCAAATTGTTCAATCTCTGTGATGAGATTAGCCGAATGAATGAGAAATTTTATTGAGTATTCAATTCATCATTTATCAATTTAAATGTAAGTATTGTTATTTTAATGTTTTATTTATATTTTTATGGATTATTGACCCTCTTCTTTCATCTTGCCTTTATATTTTCTGTGTTCTTCTCTTGCCATCTGACTTCTTTTCCTTCGTAGAGCTCAACTGATATCTTTCAACCTTGTTTTCTCTTCTCATCTGTAGTCTACATTACAATCTTGCCTCACCCATAATTCATACCTGAGTCAAATTTCTCTCATCTCCACTGGATATGGCTAATCATCTACCCGCAATCGTTATTGACAATGGTACCGGTTATACCAAGTTAGGTTATGCTGGAAACACTGGACCTCAATACATTATTCCCTCGTCCATAGCTATCAAGGAGACATCTAAAGTTGGTGATCAGGCTTCTCGCCGGTTAGCTAGAGGAATTGATGATCTAGACTTTTTTATTGGAGATGAATGTATTGATCTCAACGGATACTCTATAAAATATCCTATTCGTCATGGAATTGTTGAAGATTGGGACCTTATGGAACGATTTTGGGAACAATGCATCTTCAAATACTTGAGAGCAGAACCAGAGGATCATTATTTTCTTTTAACGGAACCGCCCTTAAATACACCAGAAAATCGGGAATATACGGCTGAAATCATGTTCGAGTCTTTCAATGTACCTGGTTTATATATCGCTGTTCAGGCTGTTCTTGCCTTGGTGGCTTCCTGGTCTGCCACTAATGGTGTTCAAAGTTTGACCGGAATTGTTGTTGACTCTGGGGATGGTGTTACCCATGTTATTCCCGTTGCCGATGGCTATGTTATTGGAAGTTGTATCAAACATATTCCAATTGCTGGACGTGATATTACTTATTTTATTCAGAGTCTTCTCCGTGAACGTGAATTCAACATTCCACCTGAACAATCTCTAGAAACTGCCAAGGCAATAAAAGAAAAGTTTTGCTATATATGTCCCGATATTGCTAAAGAGTTTGATAAATTTGACAAAAATCCTTCTAAATGTGTCAAAAAATATTCCGGTGTCAATCACATTACTAAACAACCCTTTGACGTCGATGTAGGATTTGAGCGATTCCTTGGTCCGGAAATATTTTTTAATCCTGAAATTGCTAACCCTGATTTCAGTACATCAATCTCAGATATTGTAGACAATTGTATACAAAACTGTCCCATCGATGTGCGAAGACCTCTGTATAAGGTAAGGAATAATCATCCTGGTGAAAAATTTGTTTACTTTCTCGTGATTTCAGTTAGAAAGGAAATTCTGTAATCAATCATTATTTTACTGTACTTCAATCTTCTATCCAATATTTCTATTGGATTAAAAGCCTACCAAATTAGGTGCTGCATCTGTTTCATTCACTCAGAGTATCACGTAGGACATCCGCTTTTCCCTCTTATCCAATCTTTACCCTCCCTCATGATTCATCACAATCACAGAATGAGCTGAAAATTATCACTTTTTTATCAATTGATCTTTATGCATTTAATTTATTAACCAACTGTTCAACTTTTAAGTCATCTAATGTTAAAAATTTTCTTTTAACTTTAATTTATCCTCAGAATATTGTACTCTCTGGTGGCTCAACAATGTTTAAAGATTTCGATAAGCGTTTAGAACGTGATATCAAACGATTATGCAATGCCCGGCAAAAATTAAGCACCCAGCTATCTCAAGGAAACATCACTCCAAGTCAAATGAACGTAAAAGTCGTTTCCCATTCAATGCAACGTTATGCTGTTTGGTTTGGTGGATCCATTTTAGCCTCGACAAATGAGTTCTATACAACATCCCATACTAAACAGAAATATGAAGAGTATGGTCCTAGTATTTGTCGTCACAATCCTGTTTTTGGTGCTCTCATTTGAATCATTCTTTTCTTTATTTTGCACCGAATTTCTTTTACATTTCTTTTCCTATTTTTACCTTTCCCTTGCCTTGATGGCTAACAAACGATCAAAAATGGTGTTAACCACTGGATTGTTTTCAATAATTTGTTAGCACAAAACTTTAAAAGTGTCTCTTTCAAGTAACACATTGATTACAATGTTTCATTACTTGATTGATTACAGACCAGAAAAAACAACTAAAAAAATGTTTGAGAAAAAAGGTTTTGGTCTTGAAATCTAATTAAATTGTTTAATCTTTCTATTCTCACCCTGCAATACATTTCTTCGATGTGAAGTCATAAAACACAGAAACAAGCAGAAGCCATCAGAAATGATAATCAATTGTTTAGTTTATCCATCCATGTATTTTATAATATAACTTGTTTAATTTTAACTTTTGATCTTCCTTAAAAATACATTTCTGAATAATGGTTCTCACCCAGATGAGTATTAAAGTTAGTAAATTAAAATTTTAGCTAAAAATGAAAGCGCTTGGTAAATGAGATGAAATGAACTCATTATCTTATAAGTATCACATCATCAACTATTTCATATAATTCTTACATCTATTTTAATACAATATTTTTTAGTAAGCAAATGTTACAATCACACTAAATATTGCTCTAACCTTTACAGGTAATAAACAGCCTCATGTTTATAGCATTGACACAATTCTGAGTAATGAACTGATCAAAAAGGAAAATCTGTTCGTTTGGTTATTAATCCTTGGTTCAAATCGCATATTGTGGGCTAACCGCTGAGCCTTCAATAATTACGACTACGATTATTTGCTGAATGTTACATTATTTAATTTAAATAGATTATTCTAACCAAAAGACTTCGATTACATGTTAAACTTGGCTATTTGAATTTTCTTGCCCTTTTAAAGTCATTCCAACTGGTGGATTTAAACGTAAAAATTTATTGTGATAATTCAACTTTTCATGATTCAATAATAACCCAATTAAAAATACGCCCAGAGTTGAGATTTCCGATGCGCTGATGAAAATAATTTAATCGTATAACGTTATCAATTTATTTAAAAAAAGACTAGCATTATTCCTGAAATAACATATTAAGTTAAAGAGACCATTAAAACTGATGTTTATATTTAATGGTCATTTAAGTGTTTTGTTTCATTCAAATTATTTTAACATAATACTCGGACCGAGGTTACTTTAAATTCACTATGATTACAATGAAGCAAACAATGAAACAAAAGACTGAAATGATTCTAACCAGATTCAAAGCTGCTGAGAAACCTTGAAAAATGTAAGCCCATAAAAGTGAAACCAGTAAACCAAGCAACATTGAAAACATTTGATAAAGTAAAATTAACTCTGAGTTAATTGAAACTATGATGACCATAATGATAGCATTATGCTTAGTAAGTGTTCAAATTGGGATTTGTTAATGTGCGGATACTTGCGATTAGAGTAACTTTGTGTTTTATTGATCATTCATCATTTGTTATTCAAAGTGTTTTTAGGTAAGGTGAACATCTTCAAATATTTGACAATTCTGATAAATTCTGTGTGCTTCTTGATAACAGGGTACCTTTTACTTTCCTCTCTGGAAACTTCTGAATACGTTTAGTTGTAACATTTATTTAATACGTATGAGCAATGAGCATGTACGTAAAAAAAGTAGAAATAGTAGAAAGAGCAGAATAGACAGAGGCAAGAGAAAGAGGGTTTCTACTTTTTTTAAGCGTTTGCTTTGGCTGTTTTTGTTTTCTTTTCTTTTTTCAACTCTTGCTTTTATTTACAATATAATTTTGTTGATTAACTTGTTCATTTACACACTAATTTTGTCACTTTCTGTACAGATTAAACATTCATCAAAATCCATTTGAAATTGATCCACATTTGACATCCATTCAATTGAACTAAACCTTCTCAGGTAAGATTGTTTATGTCTACTACGGGTATCCTTCTTCCCTCATACCCTTAATTGTTTGCTTCTCTCCTATTTTCTTTCTTCCCTCTTTTTTGCCATTCTTTTCTTGTTTCTCTCTCTTTCCCTCTCTTTCTTTCTCAATCAAATTAACTTTCTATTATTTGTTATTGTTTATTTACCCAACTTTCCATACATATAAACACTAGGTGGTAATAATTTCTAATTATTTATTTATTTGTCTTCCATTTTCTTTCCTATTCTTGTTATTATCGTTTCTATCTGGTTGGCATTGGTTTCACACTATTCTTGGCTAAAACTTGACGCTCTATCATATGTTATTATTTGCCACTTTAACCTTGGTTATTGCATGATTGCAATCTTGGATTGATGCTTTGACATTTAAATAACGTTCCAATGGTCATCATTTGGTTTTATGCTGTTAATTTGTGTTTATTGCCAACGTTTGTTCGTCTCTAATATTACACTACGACACCTTTATTGCTGTTGGAACTTTTCTTTGTGTTTGTCATTTTATCACAACAATCTCGATATTCTCTTATCATTTATTAGAGCTTCACTTGAGTACAAAACTTTTGTCTTTTGTTGTTACTGAACATTATTCCCGCTTTAAATTATCAGTTTATTAGAATTCTGTATTAAGGATGGCAGCAGCAAGTACATCTCACTTGCTATTAACCCGCATTGATCATGAAGCTAAAGTTCTCAATGTGATGCGAAATTTATTGGAAGATGGCCAACTGACTGATGTTACATTAGCTTGTGAAGGGCAACTCATTCATGCTCATAAATTAATTCTTTCTTCCGTTTCAAATTACTTTCAAACGATATTTCAAAACCCGATGCTTAAAAGTCAAAGTAATCCAGTTATTGTTGTGAAAGATATGAAAATGGTCGATCTCAAAGCAATCATTGAATTTGTTTATTCGGGTGAAGTAAGGATTTGTGGTGACCAATTGGAATCTTTAGTTAGAAGTGCGGAGACTCTTGATATCTCTGGACTGAATAAAATTGACCCAAACCCAGTTAACCATGTTTCAAGTAAAACTTCCACCGAAAATGATTTAAACTCTCCTAATGAAAACGGGTCCGAAGTCCAATCTAATGGAAACTTATCAGGAAAATCAAATTCCCACCGTTTTCAGGATAACTCAACTTTACAGCGAAAAACCAGTAACGCAACTGAAAAATCATCCGCCTCTCTACCCAAAAAAACTACATCGGAAATTTCTACATCCACAAGAGGTACTCGTAGCAGTGATCGTCGTGCACCGCTTGTTTCTTCTGAAGGAAAAAGCAAAGCGCCTCTTGGAAATGTTAGGAGAAAAACTCAAGAAAATATTTCTGAATCTAAGGATGATCAATCGGCTAAGCTTGATGATAGTTCTCGCCGTGAAATGAGATATAATTTTCGAGTTAAACTTAAAGAAGGAGAAGAAAGTTCTGAAAAGATAAAGCGATCGGACATTCAAAATAAGTCTTGTAATGATGTGACTGACCAAAAAATCCCGAAAGATAGAAGGTCGTCGTCCATTTGTGAACCTATCGCCAATGTAGAAAATTCAAATGTAAAAACGAGTTCGGATCAGACTGTAAATGAAAACATTGGAGATTGTCTTAAAGAGTTAGTTGTTGGACAGCAACTAACTAATATTTCAAATAAAACCCCAGAATTCAAGAAGCCTTTAGAACCAGTGAGACGAAACTGCAAACTCATGAAACTTTTTGATGAAGCTTCTGGCAGTTCCAAAGAAGAAGTCTCCGATCCAAGTCATCCTCCTGATGCAACTGATGAAGAAATGGGCACCTATATGAGACAATTTGTCTATGAAAAATCTAATCTTAAAATGAATCCGAGACGAGACGATGATACTCAATCGGTATCTTCAGTTACAACTAGATCACGAAAATCTAAATTATCAGAAGGTTGTGAAAAACAAAACACCGAAACTACCTCAACAAACCAAAGCATTGCAGCTACTAAAACTAAGCGTAATATTGACTCTGAACCAACTAAGAAATCACTTAATCTTCGCAAGAAAAAGGTAGTCAAACCCACTACAAATCGAACTACAAGCATAACACGGACATCAGCACGACCTGTTAAAAGTGGTGACTCTCGATGGAAAGCTCGAACCGCTAAACTGAAAGCTGCAGTAGCTACGACTAGATTGTCAGCCAAAAGTCGAGCCAATAGAGTTGATTGGAAAGCTTGGTTCGAAAGTCAACAAAAAATCAATCAATTCAGTTTTGATAGACGTAAAAAAGAAACAAAGGACGATAAAACAAAGAGTGATAATTCCAGCGAAAATAACAAACCTCGACCTACTGACTCACCGAGATCTAATTTATCATCACGTACCAATGATTCACCGTTATGTTATAAAGATTTAGAACCAAAAAAACAGACATTGCAGCAGCAAACTCAAACTCAAAATGGATTAAGTCTTCAATCTGCCTCTACAAATACAATACCCAATAGCGAGTTAGACGATCTTGGAAATAATTTGAAATCGAAAAGAAGACAAACTGATCAAACACAGGATGAATTAAATAAGCGTGATTCAACTTTAACAACACCATCAAGAAATTTGAGACCAAAACGAGTCAAAGCCTCATTAGATTCATCAGATAATCAACTAGGATCTGCAACTTCAAACACTTCTACTATATCAGTCGCCTCTTCAACGTTATCTTTATCAACTCCAAATTCGACTATGTCTTTACAACCCGGTGATACAAATGTGTGAATGACCGGAAGAAATAAATATTCTCCCTTCAGAAAGACATAAGTGCACAACCAGATCACAGACCTTGGGACATCTCTATTTTCCCCAAATCAATTAATTTATTTCCATTCGTAAACATTAATATTGAACATTGAGCATTAATACTGAACAAATTTGTTGATTTGAAAACAGTTTGAAACAAAACTGGAATCAAAAAACGTTAATGGATCCCATTGTTCTTGTTATTTTTCGTTCAAAAGCAAGTTTAATGCTTAAATTTGCTGGATTTTTCTTTATTGTAAAGAAACTCACCATTGGCCCGGAAACTTGACCAATCATTCTTTATTGTTAACTTAATATAACACGTATGGATCCATGGATTTTGAACATTTTTGACGCAACAACCTTCTGGCTATTGCTGCTCTTAACAAGTTATTACTTCTCTCTTTGGAACTTTTTGGTCACTATTTAAGTTATTCCGCATGGAAATGAGTTCTTCATGGGCATTTGTAAGATAAACCATCCATCACAATTTTCTGATTATTTAATAACTTTGAAACTCTTCATCACCATCGATATCAGGTTTCATCTCAAACCTTGTTTACCTCTTTTCTAATTTAGAATAGTTAAATCAAATCATCTTGTTATTAAATTGAACTTCTTGCTAGTTAACTTAAGATCAACTAATTAAGATAAACAAACAAAATCAATGAAAGCTCAAAGGTAAAAATGGTATTTCAAGCTTTCAATTATGAATTATGTTAATATGATAAATTTACTTACATTTGATTACTGTATTTCACTGAAATCAATTAACAAATTAAAAATGATTCAAATAAAATATTCAATTGTATTTTTTATATGAATTGGTCAATTGGCCAGATTGTAAAATTCAATGAGAAGCCATTTTATCATCAATCTACTATTTAATCAACCGATTGAAGTTGAGTTCTTTTTGAGTTTCATAATGAATGAAGCTTCTCATGTTAAATACAAATATTGGTAAGTTATTTACGGACACTTACTAACAATTAGTATCAATTTCACCTTTTTGTCAATTCAAACTCTTGATTCAAATATTTTTGTATCATTTTTGATTTTTGTCACCTCTTTCATTTGATAATACTCGTTAAGAAGTCATAAAGTATATCTATTACAGTACTGGTCTGTTGACCCTTGAAAAATAACTCACCGACTCTTAAACGATCGCTGTTAATGATTGCGGGTCAATGTCAGCAGTTGTGTCAAAATGTTGAAGATAACAAGATCTATTACGTTGATCAAGCTTTTATTTTACCTGTACTAAACCTCAAGCCCACTACAGAGGACATCTTTAGCATGTTTCAGAAATACTTCATCTGTTTCAACATCCTGGGTACCATGACCCAGGTAGGCAGGGAATTAAAAAGTACGAGGGTTTACTTCAATTTCAGGGAGTATCAATTTCAATCACTATCAAGCGATTTGGTAGTAATTTTGAAGCATCACAGATGGAGTTAACTATCGCACATTTCATTTCGTTAACAAGGATGTTTTTAAGGAAATTAAATTTAAATTTAGTTAATTATAATGAAATATACGCTACTTCATATTGCAGAAGACGTGGGACAAAAGGTGTCTATGAGACTCATGGAGAACTAAGGTCAATGACTAGAGTCGAATAAGTCAATCAACTGATTAGATTCACCGACTAATTGGTTAAATTACATCAATGTCAAGGATTGCAAGTTGTTCAAACAAAAATCTATTGTATTACGTTTATGGATGGAATCAAAACAAAAGATTTGTAAAATATTGTTTAGCTCCAAATCAGAATATCTAGTGAAAGTGAATAAAATTCAGGAGATAATTGGTTGCTTAAATTAAACTAATTTAGAGATATTACATCTAATTCCCATTAAGAAATGTTTCGGATTATTTGAAATGAAAAAATTGGAGTCACCAGCTTTGTCAAAATTCAATCTTTCAATGCAATAAGATGATACAGCTTGATTCGGTTTGGGTAATTAAATATAAATATGGTAAATATTTTTTCAAGATTATATCATTTAAACAATTGATTATTCCTAATTCAAGATTGACATCATTAACTTTCAATTGCCTTGGAATGAGAACATAAAAATTCAGTTTTCAAGTTTAACCAAAAGATCAAACAATCAACAGTTGTTGTTTTACAGTTTTCAACTGGCATTTCATTTTCCTTGTTTTGTTAACCATACAGCATTTGCTTACTTGGTAATTTGAACAGCAAATTAAAATGCAACAAGCATTTACTATGGAATTACTTTGTTTGATTTAATCAAGTTAATGTAAAATTGTTTCCGCAGTCAAATCGGTAACAGAATCTGCTATCAGTTTCTGGTTTGTGTTCATCTTGCATCTACTGTTTTTGGTATCTCTAGCTTTTACCAAATGCTTGTCAACTGTCAACTTTGATTACCGAAAATAAGAGTGAATTGATCATTGGGTTAGTTGAAATTATCACCATTTCCATCATCATCTTCATCATCCTCATCACTGGATGCATTTATGAATGAGAGTGAATGTGAGAAAAAAGAAAGAAGATAGAGTGAGAAGGAGAAAGAGAGCCTCAGTGAGACTGGCAAATCGTGTTTTCTGTTGCCAGTAGCACAACTAACCTGTTACCTTTTTTTTCCTCTCATCTTCATTCTCATTTTTACTTATTTTGATTGTTATTAATACAAAAATACGATTACTACAATTAACTATCAACTTTTAGTTTAATGGTTCACCTTGATAGATGTGTTTAATTAACCTCGTTTAACCTGTTCAGTTGTTTTTATTTAAAGACTATCCTCTAGTCAAAATACCATTGCCAATCTCAATCTTCTTTCTCTTCAACCTCTCACACAGTTAACCCGCTTATCTGTTTGTTTTGTTTTTCCTTCATCTTCTGATATTATTTGGTTCCACTCTTTTCACCCAATCGTCAAATAGTGATCTTCAATATTTCCTCTAACCTGCCTATCATCACCATTACAAATCTCTGTCTCCATCGAACTACATCAAACTGGATTTAATAAGGTAAAAAAACTATACATTTACCAATGTTTTGCTTTTACCCATTTTAGCTTTACCACATTTTTGTCTGTTCAATCCCATTACACATTCACCATTTTTTTCCTGATTCCTAAATAGTTAACTGTGCTTCTCGCCATTTTTACATGTCTTTATTTTTTTATTACATTACCATCCAGTGACTCTTATGTTAATCAATCTTACCATGTAAATGGTGTTGATAGTGATTCTGGTGATGTAACTGTTGATGCCTGCCGTCAGTTAGCGGCAACTTTTGTTGATAATATAATCAAAATAGCATCAGAGGAAGCTGCCAACCGATTAAACCAATGTAACCAAACAACTGTTGATAAACCCAATAGATTAAAGGTAGGAATTAGTCTGCTGTAATCTGGCTTATGGTTTTTTATTGAACATTTGTATTAATCATTTTTTTCCTTATGGTTTTCTATGCATATTTTTTCTCTCTTTTTCCCTCCCTCGTCCCATATCTCATATATCATTTTCTGGTTCACTTTCTTTATTTGTCTTGCATCCATTTACCTATGGGTTTACTTTACAGAATCCAACTCCATCCATTCAAATAGATTTGATAGGACCACGAAGTCCAACACCTGAAGAAGAATCCTTCCCATGGGTTGAAGAGGCCAGGAGAGACCAAATTATAAGAGAGGAAAGTGAAGAAGACGATAAAGCGGATGAAGATCGAAAAGAAGAAGACAATGTAATAATAAGTAATGAACCAGATAGGAGCACAAAGCAAGATGAACTGGAATCACGTCCTGATAGTATTGAACCTGTATCCAATGATCCACCTGAAACAAAAATTGATGTGAGTTTTAAAGCAACATTTTCCCCGAAGCAGTACAAGATACATCAATCAGCAAAATTGAAAAATTTACATTACCTCAACACAAAATCATTTTTCCCTTCAACTCGCAGTGTTTTACCTTTTTTTATCTGTTTGTTTTACTAATATCCATTTTATTGATCATTTTGCTACAGAAGTATAGCTTTTGATTATCTTTTCTTTAATTGCTTTTTTATCTAATAACGATTCTCCATTTATTTATAACCACTTCTTCTTTTTTTCTATTCTCTCCTCATTTCCCTCCAGGAATCGTACAATGAAGAGATTATTCACCAATTTGCGCTGGAATACGTCAAAGATATAATTTCCAAAGCCACTGTTCTAGCCTCCGAAAGAGAAGCAACATTCCATTCTTTGCGTTCTGGTATGTTATCAATCTCCAATATGAATCTTCAGTATGGCCAAGCAATGAAATCAACTATAGTTAATCATAGTCATTAGTTGAGGAGAAAAAAATTAGATAGTAATCATTTAATAGCTGTTTGATTTTCACGAAGAAACGCTGAGTTGGTTTTTCAAAAAGCTATTACATTTCATAGTCAATAAATTAACTCTAATGTAAGATAGCAGAATCACGGGCTATGCAAACAATCCGTTCGAGATTGAATGCAAACAGGTTTTCATGATTTGAATAATTGTGATATTTTTCAAATCTATTGTTGACTGAAATCAATTTATTTCCATTTTTCTTGATGTAAACTTTCTTTTCACCCAACCTAATTCAATTGAGCTCACTATTTTTTTTCCTGTCGCTCTGTGATTGCTATCATTACATTTATCATTGTTCACTTGCATCTTTATTTATATTCATAGATATTTTTGATTGAATAACTTTTACTCAGCATGGTGTAAATCAAAATTTATCTAGTCTTCCATCTGGCACATTTCACCACAGACTTGCCGAGTTTTCATTCATTAGTTTTCAATCACTTTCATGTTCAGTTTAAATGATTAGGTCAAGTTCATTATCTAAATAATTGCTACTTGTTTCAATGCATCAAATTGAACCGACTTACATCAACATCTTATGATGGTTAAATGATTATCATAAACTCAAAACACCGGAAAAAGTCTCTTGAAATAATCAGTTATCAAAGGTTCTGCTGTTTCAGTTTACTTGCAAGTAACTCACCATAACATCTTATCGATAATATTCAACATTGATCCTACTTTAATAGATGATAGGGGAAAAAATCAACAATTGTTTCAAGTAACATTACCAGCAACATTTAAACCTTTCAACAAATCATTACTAATCATTAGGCTCTTATTTATTATTGAATAGTCATAAGAATCAGTCTAGAGAAATCTGATAATTCTCATGACCCAGTTTTAACATTAATTTTTCTCTTTATTTCATTAAAATTTCCATTCTTTTCATTTGTTTCAATTTTTGATGAAAAAAAACCATCAGAACAGTGTTCAACTTGAATTTCAACCTATTTGTAAACCCATTTAAATTGCTGTTTCAAGCAATTTCATCCTACGAATATTTCAGTTTAAAACGTGTTCAAGCTTAAAATTTAAACTAAAAACGAAAGAAAATGAAATATTATTGGGAACATTGAAATACTGAAAAGTCTTTATCATTCACCTTCATCGCCATTCATTGTTTGGTATAATTTGGCTGTAAATTATTCATTTGTTATAACAAAAGTTTATTTATAGTCAACTTGATTTCTTAGTATTGTTTTGATTTTTACACTTATTTTTTCTTTATTATTTCTAACAATTGTTTTTTTCTATTTCTTCCTTACAGAGCTTTCACATCACAGAATCTCTAGAGCAACGAGTCTTCCATGGTTTGAAAGGCTTCGACAAATATTCAGACGTTTGGTAGCTCGAGCTTGTTTATGTAAAACAAAACACGACTCAATGCATTCATTCAAAGAATCCTAGTTAATCCTTCAAAGGAAATACCGTTAAGCCAAAAAAGAGGGAAAAGAAAAAAGGAAAATGTTCCAGAAAAGAAACAACTCACACACAACTTCTGACTTTATCTTCTTATTATTATTATTCTTCACTTGAATCATCATCTTCACCATTTCGCCATTTCACCACCATTGAAATGTTCATGTCTCATTTTTCACACAAACACACACTTTTTTCATCTTATCTTTCCCTCCTTTCTTTCACCTTCATTGTATTTCTTTATATAGACCATCAAGACAACAATCATCTTCTCAAGGACCATAATCATTCGACAAAAAGCATTTCTTCTTGATATTAACCCTGACGATAATATTGTTGATGATGGAAAGGAAGGATAAAATCCAATAAAAAAACAAACGAGAAACGATAAGTGTATCAAAAATATGGCATCCATTGGATTCTGGTTAAATATTTTTTATTACTATCATCATCGTGAAAGCAAACTTTTTCATTTTTCCGTCTTCATTGTTTCTCATCATTATCACCATTTAAAGGATACCAAGAGGAACCAGTGTGTTTTATGGGTCAAATAAAAAAAAGGAGAAGGAAGATAAAATATCCAAGCCAGGAGAGGCAGTTAAGGAGTAAATAGCCATTATATGGGAAACCAAAGTCAAGCAATCATTTTCCTATTAACTAATCATTTGTTGACCATATTCAATGAATTCAAAGGATATCAGATTACTCTTCATGTCTTCCCTTGACTTGGAAATCAAGACCAAAATGAAAGGTAAAAGCTAATGGCAAAGGGTAAATAAAGACTGGTGGACTTCATCATTTCATCCAAGTAAATCTATTACCATTATTATTGATATCATAGTGGACAAGGTTTCAAGGAAAGCCGATGTTTATAATTCCGTAAAAGCAATCTTATTTATATATAAATATATAAATATATCGATTTAATTGGTGTTTTTATGTGGTCCTTACGAAAGAAACTTATCATTTCCATATTAATTAGACAACCGTTTTATTCCTATGCCTTAAACAAATTGTAAAATCAATTGATTGGTTTTTGCAGTGGTGATATTTATCATGAGACAATGTATCTGCCATTTGTGTCATTAGATGACACGTTTACAGGCCAAAAATAATTTAAATCGCAATCAATGGACCATTTTTCACCCAACTATTAACTTACATATGATTATAATTGTAGTCTCTACATTGCATTTCTCATTCTCACCATTTCAAAATTCAAATCAAAACTATTTACTAATTATGAAAACCAATTAATCGCAATCTTTTATGTTTAATATACATGTGAAAAACTTTACCTTTGTTACACTCAAACAATTAACTCATTTACTTAAGCTAATCCAGCTTTATTATAAATGCAGTTATCGATTAATTATTTCTCAAATTGTCAGACCAAAACAACCTGCAGAAAAAGGATATAAAATTGAAGCAATAATGTGTTTCTGCTGGTTAAACCAATCAATCAGAAATAGTAAAACAAATTATAGCAAAAGAGGAGTTTTTTCAACAAAAAATGGTTACATTGTGCCAATTTAATGTTTAAATGAACCAATCGACAGACTAAAACACAAGAAATTGACCAAACTTGTGTGTTCAGCTTATTTTAATTAACTGATTAACTGTTATGGTCTGATCTCTTCATAAACAGCAAATATTATCACATTAATGTTTTGGGCTGACTATTTGAGAGTTAAATCCAGTGTAGCATATCAATGTTACATTTAATATATTCATTTTAATTATCTGGTTCCTTTGGTTGTGAACACATTGCTCGTCACACGCACATAAAGATACAAAAACAAAAGACTCTGGCACAAAACACATTTTGCAAAATCAACAGCAATTTACCTTTATATAAATGGTAATTGCTTTTCCGTTTGTTTACCTTCAATGTGCTGCCCTTTTTGTTTGTTAACTCTTTTGTTTCTTGTTTTTTCCCTAAAATTTTCTGGTGCAATTTCATATTTATATATATTAATGTCTTCATTGTTACAATTGTACAATTTATAATGTCAACCCGATTCTAGCTGTCTCCAAGCCAAAGCCAATGTGAAAACCAATCAATCGCTCGACGTTTATGCACCCAAACTACTTAAATTGAACTCCTTTTCCTATCTGATCGAACCCAGCTTTATTTGGCTTGAATCGACTCGATCTTAATTTGCTCGTTGATCGGTTTGATTCAACACGAAACAGTCAAGAGGTTTTATTTGAATCCTTCATAGTCAACACGTAGACTTTGGGTTGTGGCCAAATCCAGAAAGACTAAATAAAAGCTAAATTTTGGTTGAGAATTGCTATTTTTATTAATCTTTTAGCTGTTAACATCCTATTTGCTTAACCAACTTAAACATTATGCAAAATTGTCAGATGTTTTTAATGGTATTTTCTTGATTATTGGATTCAAACTAAATCTCAAAAGTTTCAAAAGGATTCATAGCAAATCAAGACGACAGACGTTTCAAGTTGTATGAAGCAGGACTCAACCAGATAGGAATGATGTTCAAATTAAATAGTTTGACTGTATTTATAACTAAAGCCATATCATGTTACACATCTTGGTTGAATCGTATTTTGGGCTGAACAATGAAACTTTACTGAACCTTGAGCCAACACTAGAAAGCAATTGATTTGACTGCCATCAACTGGTAATCGTCATTAAAGGGAAGCAAAAGTTAAAGCTATGAAGATGAAAAGAAAGTCATCTTGAAATGAAATTGATATTCCCACCGAGATTGAACGCTTCTCATTAATCATAATTAAGCTTTTTTTATATATATTGTCATCTTTTTGTTCAAACTTTTGCTAGATCAATGTAATAATTCCCTTTACATGAAAAACCTCACTTCTCACAATTGCCCAAGTCAACCCATTTCTCTGTCATCGCCATATTTCATCTTTTCCAATCGCTGTAATCGTCTTTTTTAAATTGTAATCCAATGTAAATATCAACCGAGAGTTAATTGTGTCTCACCAACTCTCCACTTCCATCAAACACACAAGCAAGACAAGATGAAACTAAAAGTGTACCAAAATAACATAAGGCTAACATATTCCTTCTTCAGCGTATTGTGATCATATTGCTTTATAAATATAATTATTAAATATATCTATTCATATAGATGGATAAAATTGATGAAAAAATGTGTCAATTTTCATGATAACTAAACAAGACGTAAATGGCAAAACTGGAAGAAAATATTTCATTTTCATGTCAAACTTGGTGGCTTACCAATATCAATTTACATTTGCTATACAAATGTTAGAGTTGAAATATTTTGATGTGAAAAAAAGGGAAAAGAAAAGTTCATTTTCTCTTGGAAATCAGTTAAATTTAGAATGGCGTTAATCAAGTGAAAATAAACTCCAAGCCAGTTTAAAGTCCATTCACATTCCCAGTCAGTTTTGCATTTTGACGTGAGAAATGTATTTATTTTTCTTACTCTTGACAACCTTGTGATGTTGTTGATGATGATGAGGGTAAACAAGTAATTGTATTGAGTGGTGAAAAGACCAAGAAGTTGCTAGGAAAAGGAAGGAAGGAAGAAGATGAAGAAAAGGGAAAAAAGGAGAAAAAGATATTTACTTGTGTTCTGTGTTGTGGCTCATGATTATAATATTGAAAAAACTGGTTCCAATAAAGGCGAGATTGCGTGAAATTTCAGATAACAGGGAAGGTGAAATAAAATAATGGCAATTGATAGGAAATACAAAATGAGCAAAGATCTTGTTAACATGATTGATCATTTTGATTGTCCCACAATCACCCATTTCTTGGTTACATTAACCTTTTCCAGGTTGTAAATGTTTCTTACCTTTTCCTTTGCTCGTTTTATTGTTCATAGACTAATATTTATCATCAACTCGGACGAGAATTGAAAAGATATGAAAATAGGAAGATGATTAGGATGAATGTAAAATGTAAGGCAAAATATACAAGTTACAAGAGCAATAACCTTTAACATAAAATTTTTCGTCTTTTCTTTTCCTCATCTTTTTCCTTCTTCTTCTTCTTCCTTAGGAATTAATCAATCTTCGTTTTTTCATCTTCTTTTCTTTACTTCAACCTTCTCTGAGGATTTCACTTTTCCTCATGCAATTGAAAGGTTTACATGATAATTGTAATCGCCTTTCAATGCGTTTACCTTTTCTCGTTTCCTAAATGGTTCCTCATCAGTTTACATTAATTATATTTATCTTTCCAAGTTAATCAACTTTACTTTGAATATGAAAAGTGAAAGGATTTATATTTGCTTTTGTATCTCTGTCTTTAACCATTTTTGAAAAAATTAATCAATCTTTCATGGATTTTGTTGGGATTTGTAAAGTTGAGTTCATGCTTTGTTTCCTTTATTTACTCTCTGTTCATTTACCTTTCAGTTTTTGGCTCGATATTGAGCTATGTTTATGTTTTTAGGTTGATTAACCATTAACAGGGAAGAAATTGAGACTAGAATTTTTCAAGTAAAAGAGTTCAATTTATCATTGATTAAGAAATGTGTTATCTACAGACTTTATAAGTGATCACAAGAAAAAAAGAATCGTTGTACGATTATAAATACAAATACAATTTGAGATTATTTGAAATCGAAAAATTAGAAAATCAAAACAAACATGTTTGTTAAGTTACTTTTTTTTGATTTTTTGGTACTAAAGGTTTTGTTTTTGTTTTTCTTCATTTTTTCAGACAAGTGCAAAAAAGGACTTAGCGCACAGAAGTTTTATGGTATCAAATTTTTGACAGAGTCATTGTGAGCTTTGCCAAAGGTATTCAAGAAGTATAAAAATGTCAAAGTAAGAAAAAAAGCGAAAAATTAGAAATAGAAAGAAGCTAAATCTTTCTAAGTTGTTGAATAATAATAAATAATTTTGAGAGTCGTCATGGTAATGGGTCCAGTTAATTACCAGAGCAGGTCAGTTTTTCAAACTCATTGTTGAGATTGCATGATGCAATCTTGGCGGCTGCATCGGATAAAATGTTGGGAAGTGCATTTCGACGTCCAGTTCGCCCAGTCTGGATGAAATCCTCAAACGTGGGACTCAATCGATTATTTTTCTGGGACCGAGTGGAGTAAATGTGTCTCAAGTGATGATCAGAGTCGCCTTGCATTTATCCTGATCTACAGATAGGGATATGAAATGGAATAGGATAGCATAGAATAGGATGAAGGGTATAGTATAAAGGAGAAGATGGGTGAAAGGAGAGAGAAAGGAAAAAAGAGAAAGCACAAGAATAATAAATAAAAGCTTACTCAGCATTGGACCATGTAAGAACATGATAAAAATTCTTAGTCTACATAATTAACGACAATGACAGCGTTAAAGATTGGGGCATAGACAAAGAGATGTCATGGTAATAGGGAAATAAAAAACTAGAAAATTCAATGGTTTCAATCATGGTATGGCAAACATTAATGATTACAGCCATTGTTTACTTACCTTGTCTTTGGATCAATAAATAGGAAAAAGAAGTAAACCGAGAATTGGATACTTGGAACAAGCTGAGTAATACTTAAAACTTGCGATTAAAACGGATGACAGTCGAGTACAGTTGATCGAAGGTTCAACAGTAGATGAGTTCGATAAAAATCACTAGATTAATTTAAAAGACAATGAAATAATAAAAGCGGTCCTCTTATGGTTCTCACCGTGGATCCATTTGGCAATACAAAATAATTGCAAAATTGGCAACCAAAAAAGACACAAGCAGTTTAGTGGCTCCACCTAAAGGTTCATGGTTGGGTAATTTGCTTTTTTTGCTGGTAAACAAATTTATTGGTTGGTTAACTTTTCTCGATTAATGTTCACGAATAATTTCAAATTTCAGACACTCAATAAACATCCATGGATATTAAATCACACTGATTACATTCATTAAATGTAAGCTTAAATGTATCATTTTACGCAAAACTGTAACACATAAATTATCATGACATCCTTTTGCATATGATAACAGTAATTCCCTCTACCAGACATGGCAAATTAGTGGATAATTTTTTGATCAACATTACCAGATGATTGGATGATTACCGTGAAAGGAATTAAGCATTGATTTCGCTTTCTATTGTTTTTGCTAGCAAAATAAAACATAATTCTCAGGAAGTCACACAAGCTGATATTGAAATAACAAGAAACGTTTAATTTTGGATATATCTTTATCATTCTCATTGGTTTCAAGGAATATACATGTATTATAATTTTATGATCTTTACAAAAAATATGATTTATGCTATTTACAAACAAGATGATTTTGTATATGCAAGTTTGTGAAAAGTTATTTTTTCATTTGAACTATTATGATGCACTGAAGATTCATATAATTGCGATATTGGTGGGCAGAAATATTTGCGATGAAGGTAATTCAATTACTTTCAGAAAAATAAGCAACGAGGAGGGATTAATTAAGTTTCGTCTTTAGTTAAGTCCACTATAGGTATAAAGTCTGTGGAGGGGTTAACACGGATACGATTTGGTCTAGCAGGCGGTGTATCAGTTAGATCAACCAAAGTTGGGCGATCTCTTGGAAGCTGGTCGTTAGTTGTTTGAATCAGAATCCTTCGAGCTCCTTGAGAAGACCTAAACTGTTGGTAAGAAGTTGAACCATTTGAAGAAGACGAAGAAGATGAAGGCGCATTTGTCATTGGAGGATTATCTAAGTCATTTTCAGGTCCATCATCAGTAAAACAGGTTGAATTAGATAATAGATCTTCGGGAGGACTTTCTTCAAGTTTTGCCGTTAATTTACTACCATCTAATTCATAAGTGCATATTTTATCAATTGCAAATTCAGCTTCGCTAGCTTCAGTGAAAGATAGCCAAACATCTTGTCCGTAAAGTCGGATAAATCTTGAATTGAATTCGCTAAGGCCATAAATTAAAGGCGATCCAGATTTACAGTCTTTAAAACCAGTAACTTTAACATATAATAATTTTTTTGGAGCTTCTCTTGGTGGTGGCTGTGGATGTGGCTGTGGATGTGGCCGTGGATATGGTTTAAATCTTTTGTTTTGATGACCCTGAAACACTTTCTTTCCATATGATATTTGTACAGACTTCCTTATTAGCTCCAAATTGGGTTCACTCTTTGGCACATTATGTTCAACTTTTGGAGAAGAGTTAGTCCATAATGAATTGACCAATTCAGCTTTTAATAAATTTCCAAAAACTCTAAAACCATCAAAATGACTTAGATCCCTTTCATTCATCGGTCTATCAGTAGAGCCAGCATACCCAATCAATACAGCTCCTTTAGTGATTCGCAAAACTCGACTACCAGGACAAAATTTTTGACAGCGTTTTTCTATTTCTCTAACCATAAATTGACCAGTAGAGATTTGTGGAAGATCCGAAATTTTGATAAAACTAGAATTAGGTGAACCTCTAAGAGCCGAGGTTGGCGTAGATTCAACCAAGAGAAAATTATTTAAACAATACGATTCATCTGCACACCACAGCAACTCTTTAGAGAATGAGTTTTTGGGGTGAACTAGATAAACTTTCAGATCGTAATTAAGCTTTAAATTAATCAGAGTATCAATAAAATCTGAGTCACCAGTGACAACAACAATGGCACATCCATTGGATCCCCAATCAGCAATAAATTTTGTTATGAGAAATAATATTTTGGTATCAGCTGCATTTTCCTTTACATGATAAAAAGGTTGAACAATCGTTACACCAATAGATTCAAGAGTATTTCCCACTACCTTAGGTAGTTTTTGTACATTGCAGACACAAAAAAATTCACGTTCCTTCAGCTCATTTGGCATAACGATGTTAGTTCGAATATTTTGAGCTATCACATCAGCAGAACAAGTTTTTGGTACAGAAACATTCTCGATATCCCAGAAGATACCACAAGGTTTTTTCAATCTGTTGAACATATTTAAAAAATGAACAGATTAACTCAGTCAAAATAAATAATTACTAAGGCCTTAAGGTCTTCACCATGAATTTCAAATTATTGTGAATTTAAACAACAGAAAAATTGTTTACATTTAGAGAGCTGAGCAGCCTCACAAGCCATTGCTCTTTAAATCAGCTTAAGTTAGTTTTAAGCGCCATTTTCAAAATCTTCCATTTCGTGAAAATAAAGTAAAACATTAATTTCATGAATTTCTTCGAATCATTTCCAGAACTTTCAATTACAGCTAAGTACTCACTTAAAGAAATTTTTTTCTTCAGTCGCCATCAATTCATTTCGCTGTTTCAGCTATTTTGCTACAAATATATAAATTATATTTGTTATTGTTATTGTTATTCGCCCTCTGTGTCTGTAGACATTTCTATTAATAACCTTTCCTTTGGTTGTAAATGATAAATAAATCAATTGGTGATCAAAGTCTTTTTTTGATTTGAGATGAAACCAATATTTGATGAACTCAAGCTTCATGACTTCAAAACGCAGTCTAAGAAAATAAGTTGAAAACAAAAATACCATTGATATAAGACGTATAAATAATGTATTTTAATCATCAATATTTTGTCCGATAATCATCACTAAAAATGAATCTATGGGCCAATTGCTTGCTATTAACGTGTAATATGAAGTAACATTTTTAGTTTTAGATTTCAAAAATGAATATTTTATCGATTTCCACACAAAAATCTTTGTTTGTGATGAAATGAATTTATTACATTAGCAATCAAGTGAAATATTAGCCAGTCTGTTTATTGGACTATCTGATTGTCCAATAGCCAAATGGTTTCAAATGTCATTCTCACATCTCTGTAAAAACAATTGAAATTAACCAAAAGTGAATAGCCATTAAGATGTTGATCATTCAACAGATAACCGACTTGTGAAACTTTCTTTGTTTGAGCTTTACATTAACTTTAATCAACCACAATTAAAGTTAATTTTGCTAATTTTGAAACATCAATTACAAAGCTTTTCAATTTTAACTGTCATTCATCGTTTAGTTGTTAACTTTACAGTATGATGTGATTAACTATGGTCGTTACTGCTTTGGCTTTTTTTTCCAATTCTCAACTCTAATCCAAATTTCAGCTTTCATCATGAATAGTTAATTTGATTGGATTAGTCAGCGCAAGCACTTTACTGCATTTCTATTAATAACTTTTTCTTTAGTTGGAACTGATAAATAAATGAATCGACGATTAAAGTCTTTGTTTAAATGGAAATGAAACCAGTTTTTAATGAACTCAAGCTTCATGCCAATTAATTACAGTTTGATTATACAGGAAAATGAGTTTGTTGAAAACAAAAATACCTTTGGAATAAAATTTTAAATATTTCAATTATTCTATAGTTAGTATTGATGTTAGGACAAAAGACCAGAAGTAAGTGTCCAATGGAAGATTTCATTACTTCTATGCTGGAATGTGTTTATTTCTGGAACAATTTGGTCGTTTGAGATCGAAGTACGGTGAGCTTGGCGAGTGTTAACTCGGTTTGATGGTAAATATCTTTGTTGTAGCGAATAAGGGTGATGAGAGCGTAAAGTCTGCGCTGAGGAATTGACTGCTGTACGATGTGATGAGGGTTTATATGCATTATGTGACCTTGATGGTGAATGGGATGAATAAGAATATGTTTCAAGAAGTTGGCTTTCAGGGAGAAGGTTAGAAGGCTCTAAATAAACATCTTTCTCGGTGAACCATCTGTCTTGCATAGCGGCACGAGCAGTGAGTCGCTCTTTGGGTTGCCTATTAAGTAAACCTCGTATCAAAAATTCAGCAGTCGGAGAAAGTGAATCTGGTACTTCCAATTGTCCTTTTCGTATTTTAGCAAACAAAATATTGATATCGGGATCATGGAAAGGATAGTGGCCAGTTAACATTGTATACAAAATGACACCAAGACACCAACAATCAACACGGCGTCCTGAATAGTGAGTAGTTGATTTATGCAATATTTCAGGACTGGCATAGAGGGGACAGGCATTTTTGTCATCAATTAGATCATTTCGTGGATTTGCAAGTACAATAGCTTCATCCCAAGATCCCAAAGTCAATTGAGTTCTGCATGAAAAATAAATAAATAATAAATAAAATTATTAAAAATGATTCAAAACTGAACAAAATATCAACGAGAAACTTGTTTTAAATGACGTAAAATGAACAAGCTACAAGTATGAATGAAAGTTTTAAACTTGATACACTGACTATTCTTTGAAACGAGAGAAGAAACTTTGGAAGTGAAAATGAGTCAAAATTCGTAATGATTTCCTTGATTAGGTTTGTATAGTGAATATACAAGTATCTCTTAAATATTTGTTACTCTAAATACAAGCAATCTAACAGTTTCCACACCCTGTGAAATCTCCTTGAATAAAAACAATGGATATGAAGGGATACTATGAACAAAACCAAACAAGACAATCTAACCGTTTAACTTACCTTTCAGGATCTTTGAAGACAAATTTGCGTAGTTTTACATCCCTGAGTACGATTCCTTTTGAATGAAAATCGGCAACAATGGCACAGATTTGCTGGAAAAGAGGACGAGCTTCTTTTTCAGTTAACTTTCTTTTATCCCGAACATATGTGAGCATATCCATGTTCATCGTGAAATTTTATCTGGTAGTAAATGTGTAATTTTATAAATAAACGAAAGCAAAGAAGCAAATCATACAAGTAAAAGAAATGGAAACTTTGCAAGGAAAACCGATGAAAACATAAATATAAACAGTTTCAAAGTTTTGATTATCTCCTATTAAAGTGACTTTTCTGACTGACAGCTTGAGTTTCAAATGAAAAAGGAAGAAGAGAGAAAGAGCGAAAGAAAGAGAGTGAGTTTGTTGTGTAAATCGAGTGAAAAAAGAGGTTGCTCTGGTTGGAGAAGGCGGTTGTCTTGTGAGAGGGAAAAAAAGGGAACAGCAAAGGGACTGTCAAAAGGAAAAGGCCTTGACAAAAGGCAAGTAACCCAATTTCATCCCCACCTGCTGGTATCACCTACTTTTTTGGTGTACGCCTACAGCGTGTGTAGCTTTTGGAGTTTAACTCTTCTATCTTCATCATCATTATACTATCATAATCAGGAAAACAGAATCAGAAGCAGTTTCAGGAGTTACGAAATAAAAGTAATGAAACGAAACCATAACTAGTCAGAATCGTAAAAAAAGAGTCAGAATATTTGTCTCGTCATTTTATTCAATTTTTCCTCTTATATAACTTCTATTGATTCGAATGTTCAGTAATATAAAGTGAATTTTACCCTGTTTTATGAAGAAAAGTAAATGTTTATGAGATTCTAGACATGTATGAATTAGATAATAAAGAAACATTTCTAGTAGTAAGTAAATAGATGGTGATCTATTCTCATGAGATTGCTTCAGCAAAGGGTAAATGTGATTGTCCTGAACTTTATGCACTCTGGCATTCTGGATTCACAGAAAAGTTCACGCGTAAAGAGTGTGGAAAAGATGATAAAAAAGGAGGGAAAAGAGAGGTGTAGTTTACATGAATGAATAAATGTTTGAGTTCAGTGACTCGTCTTACTGACTTACACTGTTCTAGGTTAAACATGATAACAGAGCTCCAGAGTCATCAGAGCTTTCTTAGGTTTGAAGACTTTAAAAGTGTAACCTTGATCATAAATCATGATAAATCTAGTTAAGATGATAATGATTTTGTTGGAACTGGTAAAAGTAGGCAAGATAATGTTTTAACCCAAAAAGGTTCCCCCTAAAATATACATGACTATCATGTTGTTGATATAAAAACATTAAGGTTTAATGTTTTCTTTGTTTTCCCTTGTATTTAACATGCTATTAGTATAACATCTTGAAGCTGCATTTCACATGATGATTTACGGTAAGTCTAGATATTCTGGTGTTGAACATTGGGTTTAAATTGTCTTACAGCACTGATAACCCGAGTTTAAAAGGTCAAACAAACAAACAAACAATTGACAGTTGTTGATCCTATTGTTGTTTAATTCCTATTTTTATTATTGTAATTCAGTATGTTTAGGGATTGTCAACACTGACATTTAATAGCCGCAATCAAGTTAATGTGTATTAAATTACTGTATAATAAACTCAATAACAAGATTTGATGGTCAAAACATGTAGCTTATTGTGTTCCTAATCATTGGTGAAGTGCTATTTGAACAATCAATAATCTTGAATTGATCAATATCGTCCATATTTAAGATTTCAATTCAGGTTTACAGTTCATATTACATTGTTAACAACAGATTGAAGCTGTCACATGTAAACGGATATTCAAGTGAATTTTTGTTCAAAAAACCATAAACCAGTTTCATGATTTAGGTGTTGCTAGTAATTGTGATTTTGTTTGTTTCTGTGAGAGACAGACTTCCGGAAGCATGAAAATACAAATTGAATTGAAACAAACATCAATTAAAATAAACACAATTGATTGATGAAAAAATGAAAACAACCTTTTTTGCAATGGTTGATCACATCCAGGTCTAGGTCAACATTCAGGTACATGAATAGAATTGAAATGAATAAATAAATAAGAGATTAGCATGGTGAGAATCATTGAAAAATTGTCCTCTTGAGTGGAAATTTACTCAAAAGTGCATTTGGATTTTAATTTTGACTTTAAAATAAACTACTTTGATTGCACATAAAATTTACAGTTGATATAAATGACCTCAGCAATTAAAGATTAACAAATGAAAATGATTTAAATTGGATAAGATCAAGAACAAATCAGTGTAACAAGCCAAAGCAGTTACTGAAGGTAACCCAACTTGCCTCATCCATCCAACCTTGGGTGAAAAAGGTGCAACGACAAATGGCTAATCAAATTTTTACACAATTAGATACACAATAGGTTATACAAAAATAAAATTAGAAGACTTTTCATTGAATTCAACAATCAATAAAGAGGGCCAAAAAGCATAGCAAAATAAAGAGCAAACAAATGTAACCAGAAAACCCAAAAATAACTCAACTCATTTCTATTTGACTTTATTTCTGAAGTTACTATCAATCATACATTTACAATCTTTTGATCAAATAACTAATGTAAGTTAACGACAAATTAATGGTTAATGATTGTTTCAGCACTAGAATATTGATTTGCACATTTTAATGGAATGGACATTGGTTTGCTTATTAAACTAAAAACAAATCTTAATTCAGTGATTAAAAAGATTCTCTACATATATTCTAAGTACATTTCACTTTTCCTTTTACATTCAAATCAAAAGCTCCATTTTAAATATATTTACGAGTTGCATTTAATTTAAACATGAATAATTTGTTTCATTCACGATCTCAGTTTACTGTATTCATTAGGCTCTGATTCATCTCTCGCTCTTGCAATTAAACCAATTGATTGTCTCAATTTAACTTGAAATTGATAAATATCCTTATATGATAATAAAGTTTGTAAAACGATTTCAAGTTTATGAACAAATAATCATTTTATAGATATAATTTTAATCTTTATCTTACGTATTGAAATATTGACAACTATAACTTTGATGGTTAACAATCATAACTCATGAAATTTGCTAGAGCACCTGAGTTGCAAAATCATTGATTACATCAATTTATTGCTAAATCATCAATAATCATTCAATCGGATATCCCAATCTTAATAAATCTAACAATCGATTCAAATTTTTCATTTAATTTAATTCCAAAAACCAAATAACTTGATAACCAAATAAAAGTTGCTATTATTCGTTAAGGATAGTTGCTGAAAGACAAATACAACCAAATACTAGTTAACTAACTGTGTGTGTTGCGGACTGCTTCATGATTTCAATTGTTGATTTATCCAGTTTTATGAACAGTTAATTAATACATTTTTAAGTGCATTTTGCAATGTAAGATCTTCAATAGACAATCAAACTAACCAATGTTAATGATTCATTTCCAAAAGTTTGATTTACGCTTGCAAAGTATTTTTATGCTATTAATATAATGAAGTGGCAATTGTTAATATTCAAGTTATTTGTTGAGCAACACAAGTTTAATCAATGAAATTACCTGTTGCAACCAGAAAAAAGGTCAAGTTTCCTTAAACTGTCTCAATAGTAAGCGCTGTAGTCATTGTTCTGAAAGTTACATCAAGTGTAATCACATTGATAATTGTTAACATGGGGTTATTATGGTGAGATGTTGCAGCAAACATGAGTATTAACTGAATAATCATTTTCGTAAAATCATTATTATCATTGATTATTTGTTACGCTAAACAGTTTTATACCATATTTCCTAATAAAAGTCTTTATCATTGTAATGAATGTGAATAATGATTTGTCAAGACTATTACTCTAATACAATTTCAAATATCGATTTGATTAATAATGCTCGTTGACATGTTTAACCCACGTTCATGAGTTGATTGATTTTGGGAAATGTGAACATTTTATCTATTATAGAAGATCGATTCCAACCTCGATTTTGATAATTTTTATACATCGTACTAATATTCAATTCAATTCAAGAAGCTATTTTGTGAAACTTATCAATAAAATTTTCCTTCCTATTCTGAATGCTTTTGATTGTTTGGAAATTTAGTTTTTTTTCTATTAAATTCTGTTTATTTTAATTAAATTTTTTGATGTTTTGTTATTGTTAGTTAATGCAATCAATTTTTTCCCCATAAGCCAATTTAATCAACATTCATCTTCTTCTTTCTGGAATTGTTAATTGTCTTCATTTGAAAAGCGTCAAGATTAATGGTAAAAATGAGAAAACCTGGTTTTGAGTTAAAATGGGAAGTTAGCAAGAATTGGATCAATGCCAATTATGACCAGATCTAATTAAGCTGACTTCAACGAGATTCTATGTGAATTTTTTAGCCTGAAAAGTCTAGTGAATCCTCACAGAAAGCCATTTATCATGAAAGCATATGATGAGCAAGGCGTAACTGCCACAATAAATATGTATACATGGATAATCAAACCAGTAACCTTTGAGATGAAAATTAGGCATTGAAAGCAGAAACTAGATAAACAAATTCTGGGATTACTCGGTTGAGAAACAGTTCATTACTATGATTGATCTACACGATCTGAGAAATTGTGACTAATTCTAGCTAGAAGATTCCAAAACTATGTCTATCTATTAATAGTTTCAGAAAACTCATCGAAATAATATTCCAAAACTGAAATTTTTACTTCTCCGAAAAAAATGTAATTTTCACCTCAAAGCCACGGTTCTGTAAGTTTTGCCTCTAGTCTTGCCTCTTACTCAATGCTTTACAATTGAGTTTAACCTTGATTCTGGTTATTGTGACTAATCACACTGAATGTCTTGAGGACTTGAGTGAAGGAATAAAGGAAGACGATGATGATCATCATGTTGGTTCTGAAGATTTTATTGATTTTATAGAGATTCAAGGACTAATTGTGTAATCTCTGGTTCTCTATGAAAGGTTCAAAAGGGAATTTGATTTTCCCTCTCTTATCAGCTTTAATTATTGTCCAATGATGTGCACAGGCTTACAACATCGGTTAACAGGTTGATGACTCGCAATTAGCTTTCATTAACCGAAATAATCGCATCTTTACATATTAATTTTGATCGATTATAAGGTTTATGATCGATCCCAAGCGAAAAATCATCTCGTCTTTTATTACTTTCATCTCTACACTTGACTTTGTGTAATCAACATTTATCTCTTTATTATTTCCTAATACATTGGACATCCTAGTGTGACTTAACTATGGGTGGAGCAAACTCAATCAACAAGGTAAGAATCATTTATTTCAGGGATTAATTAGGTAAGTCATGAAACGAGAAGTGATTATAATTAATGTACCCAATATGACCTTTCTTCAATCAAATTGAACACAAGAAACCTTTAAAACAAAAACAAAGGTAAGACATTTGATAACCTTTTTTCCAGCAAAATGCTAAATAAATTTTCATCAAGTTTATTACCTTTTATATCCTTTTTTCATTTTCCTTGCCATTTCTTTCCTCCATTATCATGTTTTCACCATTTTGCCATGATATGCCATTCGACTACAAAACATTGGGTGAAGTGAAATCATTCAACTCACAATTTAATATTTTTGTAATATTTGATTATCTGTGTTATGATGCAACAAAAGCTAAACATTCTGGTATTCACTGATAACATCTGATTCTTCTGGTAACATCACCGGTTTCTCCCCTGATCTGAGCTTCTATTTCTCAACAACACCTTGCAACATCCATCACTCTTCATTCATTTCAACATCCTGTGCTTTAAGAACCATATTTTTTTTCATTCCTTTTCTTTTGCTTTCTACTTTTCCTTTTTTTTACTCTTTTTTACTCCTTTTTATCACCTTTTCCTTTGATGGTTATTTTATTTTTATATCACAAACTCACCTACACCTTAACAAATTACCTCTATTAGCAATCCTTTTACCAATAAACAAATCATTTTTTACTTGATGAGCTTACACTTTCCCGATCTTCCGACACTTTCTCTAATATCTTCATTTATCTTCCCTTCTTCATCTGCTTACTCCACTTGACTCGGGTCATTGAATTTGATCACAAGTTTTGCTTCATATTCATTGATTTTCCAGCATATTATCATGCCTGCTCTGTTAACTTTCAACATATCGGGTTAATCCTGGGCTCTTTATTTTTCCCAACTGTATGCATTAGATTGATAATGTAGCTGATGATTAATCGAAAATCTTTCCATGTATTACCAAACATGACATTGAACGGAAAAAGGACATCAATTTGTTGAATGTAAAGACTCTGTTAACTATGTAATGCTAAATGTGACGAAACATATCTTCCATCAACAATTTAATGATTTCAGATTAATGATATTTTAAGTAATCACGTAATCAAGTCTGGTCGAAGGAAAAAAATTGCAACTTTTGTCGCTTCAAAGTAATAGTTGACAATTTACAAAACTTGTCAACCTTTTTACACTTTTTTCATTGCATTTATCTTATTTTTATATTTTTTGGATACTTTGCAATTCAAATCAGATTTTGGACATTTCCACCGATTCATCTTGTTTCAAGTTTTTTATCGCTTCTATTTTGCTTACACAATTGATATTTTCGTCATTATTTGCTTTCTTTTTTATCAAAATGTCAACTCAATCCTGTTTATTTTGTATCTTTTGTGTACTTCAGGATGACACAAAAAATGGAAAAATTATAATAAGAATCGATAAATCAATATTGCGGGCAATAAAAGTTAAGTGGCCCTAGAAAAGGATTCAAAATGTATTGGAATTTTTAAGGTCAATTTTTTGCTGTTCTTCTGCTTCTCACTTCGAACAATAAAGGCCAAGAGGAAAGCTCAATTGATACAGTGATTCCACTTGGGCTGAACCAGTTTTCTAAATAGGAGACAATGGTTTCCAATAAGCAAGAAATGTTACTTTTAACACCTCTATGCTAATAGGACCAACTCCAAATAGCAAGCAATGGTTTCTAAAAAGGAGAAAATGCTTTCTAAATCGAAGCAAATGTTTTTCGCTAATTTTCAATAATTTCACCGTTTTTTGTATCTTATCAAGATACCAAGAACTTTATTAATATTCAAACTATAAATTTCGGCGATTTTCGTGCATCTAATATCCTCAAAATAAAATTCAGTAATTAATTTTTTGATCGCCTAATTAACTTTACGAGTCATTTTCACTGAAAATACTCAAAAAAGACTAACATTTGCTTCTATTTAAAAAGTATTTTCTCCTTTTTAGAAACCATTGCTTGCTTTTTGGAGTTGGTCCTATTAGCACAGAGGTGTTAAAAGTAACATTTCTTGCTTATTGGAAACCATTGTCTCCTATTTAGAAAACTGGTTCAGCCCAAGTGGAATGATTGTAAAACAGATGATGATCAAGAGGGAAACCAAGATGCCTGTGAAGTTTTTTTCATCTGTGAGGTTATTAACTTATTGAGTCTGATTGTAGTTGCCTCGTGGAGTTGTTGATTGAAACACATTACCTTTGTTATCGAAGGAGTTATTAATGATTCTGGAAGTAATGAATTATGCAGCTAAGTTGAACACGAGTTTGTTGATATGAAATCATCAAAAGCAATGACATTGATAGCGAAAGCTAGATGAAAGATGAGCAAAGATGAAAGCATTGATCAAAATTACAGACCATTTTATGCCTAAATTATATGAAAGTGAAAGCAAGATACAATCATCGAAGAGTGAACTTGCTTTGATTGGATTGACTTTTCATTGTTAAAATTTCATTTTGAATGTTTAAAGCAATTCAAAAGGTTATCTGTTTGCATGACTAATTCAAAGTACCTACATGCTATTGATAACCTAAATTTGTATTGTTTAATTGATGACACGAAAGGCTTAATGTTTTTAATTACTTCTGTTAGAAACGAAGATTATTTTCAATTGTTTTACATCAATGCCAGAGGTGCTTCAATTTTGCTTGGTTTCATTGCCTGAATCAGTTGACATTTCAGATTAAATCTGTAATACATTGAACTGTAATCCATTTAGGTTAGTTGATTACAATTTGTACAGGGAACATTATTATGCATTTAATTTATCCTTTTGAGAAAATATCTTTTCAGCAAATAATTTAATACTATGTATTACAAATGGTTTGTGCATTATTTTTATGAATACAAGCTAATTTACAGTATAAGTTTCCCTCAAGGAATTCATTTAATTACTGAATATAAATATGAATTTTATATTCAATCATCACTTTTCCTGAAATGGATAATTATGAGAAAAGAATGAAGCAAAAAAAATTCAGCTTTCATCTAATGTATTAATATATTAATAATAGAAATAAAGTTGAGTTTCAGGTTAATGTCAAGAAGAAGAAAGATTCATTTGTTATCATGTAATTTTCATTAATGTTTTTTCCTTCCATTTCTGGTTGATATTTGAATTCCATGAACAATTGGAAGGCAAAGTCTCTAAGCGAATCCAGGATAATACAAATATGATTAAGTCGAAAAGCAAGTTTGAAGTTTTATTAAGTTATATTGAACCTAATGATGATCAGACAAGTTTAATCTGTCTAAATTGGATTTGAGTAATCAGAAGACTGAGAAACGCCAAAAATAAGTTACAATCAGTTTCAATAACATGTTATGACTTTGATCAACACAGGCTTTGCAAGTGTTAATCACACATTTGAGACTTGGTTTCCTTGTTGACTATTGATTGCAATCTTTGACTAAAATTGGTTCCACAACCAGCAATGGTGGTTTGACATTTGAATTTTGCAAGGTAACCATTTGCTTAGTAAGTTGGCGATTGCTTGAGTCCTGAGAAACAATGAAATTAAGGAAATTAAATTCATTACTTTTACCTCTTGCATTTCTTATTGGTTTTTACTGTTTGTTTTCAAACTTTGATTTGGGACAAAATTAACATATTGCCATGTCAGTTTCTCACATAATGTAAACTTGAACTTTTAAATGAAACTATAAATCATAAGAATGGATTGCCTCATGTGCCTGTACACAATGAAAGGAACAAATATTTCATTATCAAATGCAAACATTAAAGATTACTATTTTTTCTCATTATTTGGGGAATCAAGTCTAAGAGTCATAATGATCAGTTAGTAAAGTGTAAATCAGCATGTAAATGTACCTCTGAATGAATAACTTGACCGTAAAGCCAGATAAATCTCGAGTGGAATTCGTTAAGGCCATTAAATGCGATCCTGACTTTCTAAACAGCAACTTTAACATACATTAGTTTGTGGAAGCTCTCGTCGTTTTGCTTAGAATCTTTTGTTTTTAAACTCTATTTCGGTGTGTGATAATAAGATATTATCTGCTTCCATCTCTGCGTTGTACCTCGCTACCAAAGCAAGACAAATAAGACGAATCTTGACTCGAAAACCATCTCCATTTCAACAAGATCTCCAGAAACGCTAAACAAAATGCTGGCGTAATTTTAGTTTAATTTTTAACTAAGGGCAAAAATCCAGGTCTCATGAGGGCGCATGATTTGATCCGAGGTCACAAAAAAGTTGATGTTGCGGGTTCAAGTGTAAGTGTACGGTTAAAATGCAAACTTTTTTCTGTGACCTCGGTTGGAATCAATCTTTTTTCACAAAAAAGAATATTTGATTAAAAAAATTCGCTGAAAGTTGCATGTAGATGCATTATTTCATTTAGGATCTAGAGCTTATCGACAAAAATATCACCACTCGTGAAACAGGCGAACTACAGGTACTAGTTATAAGAAAGAAAGCGTTCGTTAACGAAAATCATGTTCTATGAAGACTATTCTGCACTTATTCTCCATTTTTCGTTCCCACAAAGTTGATTCCCATAGGTTTGCGAAATTTGATGGCTCCATCTTTGATTCAACATTTGATTCAAAATATTAGCTCCTTGATTTGTTTAAGGATATATGAATAAACAAATAAAGCTTTTGTGACGAAATCGAAACAACTAAAAAACATTGAAAAAGATTTCTCGTTTTCCTTCTGCATCTTCTCCATTTTACGATCGTTAGATACCGAAGCTACACGAATTTTGCTGTGGTCGCTGCCTACTGCTAATATTGGTACGCATTTGAGAGAGGTGTCATTCGATAGAGGGTGATGAGTTATGAAAGACCATAATAGAAGAGTGTGTGCAAGTCCTACTTTGGGACAAGTTGTCCGCTCTAGGATAGCTTAATTCCGTTTCATGTCCGACTCTGGGACAAGAGTAAAAAAGCGGTTTTACAATATCATATTTTTAAATGAAGAGAATAAGCGAACTTTTCCATTAAAGCTATTTATTGTTGACATGAAACGGAAAAAAGCTATCCTAGAGTGGACAACTTTACCCAAAGTCGGACTTTTATACACTACTCTTAATGCTTGTATCTGTGAGCCTAGTGGCTCCTTAGATATTTGGGTTTCTAATTTGGCCATTTTCTTCAAAATTATGTTTAATTAAACAATTTTCAGAGCCAGTTGACAGGCAAGTGGTTAGAGATTTGGTAAGGCAAGAAAGTCGGATTTTTTGTCAAAGTTTTAATAGTTTTTTTTAGAATAAAGAATTGATTATTTCAAATATTACTATTTTATGTACTGATATATGTTTTTAGATATCAATAATTATATTTAACTTAGTGATTGAGAATCAGTAAAACCACAAAGTTTGCAACAATTTTTGATAGTTTCCTCACTTATGCTGTTATAAGCTTCATTTATTGTTTCAATGTTATCAACCAAATCAAATTTTTCACAACAACCAATTTCAAGTTTTGTTTGTCAACAATCTTTGTCACTCTCGACTATGGACTATGAATTTTCACGTTGATTTGTTGAAATGATTAAAAGTCACAGGAAAAATTAGGCAAAATTATCTGATAAAGTTGATAATAGTTAGCAAATTACGTTTGTCATCTGATCGATTAAAATAGTTTTACTGGTAAATGTAAAAAAATTGAAGGTAAGTACAACTTTATCACCGTTTTTCGAGTGAATTCACAATTTATTTTGTACTTGATAGATTCGATGTATGGGTTGATTATAAAAATGAATAGCAAATCTAAAATGGATAAAGAGAGGGCATTAAATTTACATGATAACACTTAATATTCACAATTTATTTACATTTATTTTGCAGACCAGCGTAAAGCGGCCAGTTAAATGTCATTTGCGTACCAAATGACTGTAGGTATAAAACTAGATGCTTTTTAAATGACTTTACACAGATTATCTGGAATAAATGGAGTCTCGTAGATGAAAGATTATGGATTCGCTCAGGATACATGGAATAAGTAATTTCGATGCCGACGAGACGATCGGTTATAATTTGGTTACAACTAAAGAGTATAGACTCCTTTCATGTCATCATATTCATTGAATTGCAAGTTATTCCTCGCACCTTTCCTCAGCCGATGGGCCACTGCTGCAAGTATGATAATTAGTCCTAGTTGTAAGATGATCATTATATGAGTGAAAAAGTAGGCTCTTGGTTGACGGATTTCTGTACGAAAATTAGATTTAAAATGAATGGTTAGTGAATTGTCAATGAACAAATAAAGATTGAGACAAGACTCTCATGACTTGTAACATGCAGATATTGTATTTACCATAAAGAGTCAATGAGTATTCAAAGAGAAGCGTTGCTGCTAAAGACGCCAAGCTGAAAATAATTGTTGCTTTTCGGAATTTGATTATTAAGATGAAACTGGCTAGGGAAGTTGATAGTCCAGAGAGTGCCCAACAGACTAACAGGGAGAAACAAATGATCTTGTCTCGATCAATTGGATGGACAAAGTAACCCATAACCATTGAAGCAGATAACAACAAGGTATAGTAAACCAGTAGAGGAAGAATCAAGACTATTAAGCACAATTTAAATGTAATTGAAAAATCCAAGTGGCCTGTTGGGTCCATTTTGCTGGTATTGTATTCACATTTTTGAGTAAAGATTGCCATCGTTGACCAACAAGTATAGACGGTCGAGATTTATTCCAGTAAGGATTGGCAATTCACTTGGTTAATGAGTTGAAACTGAAGTGATGAAATATTTCAAGATGCTGTTCAGTTCAATGATTTAACATGGCACATTATATCATAAGCTGGTGTTGAAGGAATGTTGTAAACAGTGTTTTTATTTTGCTCAGTTAAACATGAACATTGATCAACTTTAAATGTATTTAATCATCATTGTAAATAACTATTGTTACTAAATTATAATACAAGGTTGTGTAGATTATGTTTGTTTATGTTTGCTTGTCGGGTGTAATTTCATTATCGCAATCGATCTTTTGTTCAGTTGAACGCCATTGTTTCCATTGCTTTTCACAGATTGAACAGTTTTTTTATCAGCAGCATAGTTGGTAACAATTTGATTACAAAAACAGGGGTTGAGATAAAGGCCAAAGTCCACTGATTACACTCTTTTTTAAACGTTCATTTGAATATTTTTCAAATGATGTCTATGAACTCGTCATTCGTTGTTTGGACTATTCGATAGATATTTTCTGGGTCCATATATGCAGCTCACCAACTTTCAGCCTGCTCTAGATAAATACCTTTTGAGACAGTTTTGGTCTTAATCTTTTATATTCATACAACATCTACCAGGGACAACCAGAATCTAAAAATTATATGGTTCCTTAGTAATTAGTTTAAGTGCAAATTTTAAAAAATATTGTTGAAGCTGAAATATTAAATAATAAACACCAGAAATAGCAATTGAACGATTTCTTTGGTTTTTGTACCTAAGACTTTATTAAGCAAAAACAGAATCAAGTAAAGCGAAAACTTGAGCTTAATATATTATAAGCTTGGAATATTGGGTTTGTAAAGATTGTGAGCACATTCCATTTGCATAGCTTGTTTATAACAATAATTAAAGTGTCCTAAAGGTACAAATGATTCGATATCGCACTTCATGAAATCACATCCTTTATAATCTCCTTTGTCTTGTGTTGAATCGAATAACTTTTTGGCTAACATTTGAGTCACTTTTAAAGGAGCGCTTGTTATTAAATTCATTGTAATCCAAACATAAAAATCATCATTATCCTTTTCATGTAACATTTTGAACTTAATCTGTTCGATTTCAGTTTTTGCTTTGATTCCTTTCTCTGAATCATCAAATGCAACCCAAATTTTATCTTCAAATTCAATGTAAACTGGACAGTCCATCGATACCAAATGCAATTTTATTATTGATATCATTCCAGATGTAAATTTAAATTCAGAATTTGTTGTTATAACGAATAAATATTGTAGTTTCTTTACCACTTCTCCATCTAATACATCAATATCTGACGTTGGTTGAAGGATAGATGAATTTGAGTTTAGTTTATTCACCAGACTTTTGTTTTGTACAATCTTCTCGAGAACTTTTCGTTGGTCGTTGATGATATAGTAATCAAGTGTGTTTAATTTTTCTTTAGTTAACAACCCACTACTTTGCACTCGCGGTTCATTGTATGGACTATCTATGTAACCGATTTTGACATTGCTTAAGTAATGAGCCATTGTCTTAACTTCAACCCAAGAGGAGAAGATAAAACAAACTTCAGTAATACTTGCTGTGAACGACCACTGCATTGGTACCTGTACCACGGATGCCATAGCAGCCATTGGAATCACTTTGCCAAATGTAACTAATATTTTTATGATTTTCGTAAGGTCTAATGGTGGATAAGGAGCATTAGGTCCAAGTCCTGAGACAGTCACATAAAAAAGCGGATTATCCCATACTTGTTCAGTCTTTACCAATGATGATGGCTGAAAGCTTAATTGGTGTAAAATTTTTGAGTTTTTGGATTCATTCAGTTTTCGACTGATAACCAACTCATTTGAAAGGAATGCTAAATCATAAGCTTCACCAATTAAGTCTTTCAGTTCAATTGATTCCAAAAGCTTCTTTGGAGGTTGAGCCATAGTGATGGGCTTATTTGGTTTCCTCGAGTTGAATAAAAGTTTATTTACTATGTATTTTTCAGACTCTTTACAGATGCGTTTATCGGGAAATCCCAACCAAATCTCGCCTGAAAACGACTTGATGAAAATACATTCACATTGGCTTAGTTTACCTCTACTTTTATCAATGAAATCAGCGTGAAAATCCTTGTGCAAGGATATCACATAACAGTATAATTCAAGATCTGGAAGGAAACACCAAGGGTTATCGAAACGATAACGATTCATCTTATCTGTAATTTCATGTAAAGCTGCTTCTGGTGGAGTAGTTATTGGTACATAAGTAGAAGCTAAAGATGCTAAATCTAGCCTTTCCCTGTTATGGCATACATATTGATAACTTTCCTCGCAGTCCAAATGAACCCAGTAAAACCTTCCATCGAAACAGACCTTTCTGACCCCTAAATGGTAAAACTGTGCAAATAAATTGTGAATCAAAGACCATTTCGTGGTTAGATGAGAAGGTATTTTATAGTTATAGTAAAAAACAAGCTTCCATTGATCCGTAACTCGATAATTTGAATTTAAATTGTTTGCTCCATTCAGCGTAACCAGTTCGTTTAATTTTGAAATTTTATCGCTCAATTTTAAATCCTGAGAGTTCAAAATTAAAGAGAATCTATTAAATAGTTTAATTATTTCGCTTTCATTTTCTTTCAAGTTAACGAGTTTTGCAGGTTTATTTGGTTTCAGATCTGAGATCGTTGTTGAGTTTGAAACTTTTTGTTTATAAAGTTTAACTGTGTAAGGGCTTTCGTGCCACGCATAAGTCAAGTCATCTGGCGGTTCTGAAATGACTGCATCTGGATACGATGCCTTAACTTTTGATAAACACTTTTGTGCATCAGATTTGAATGTAAAGACAATCCAAAGGAATGATTTACTCGACAAAATACATTGACCGTCCGGGACTGGAGCAGGAACAGAAGTTGACTTGAGGAATTGCTTGCTCTTCACAAATGTGAGTGCTTTCACTTCACGACCTTTGGATTGTGGCTTTAAATATTTCAGTATCTTGGTCAATGGTGAATCATTTATTAATGCAACCTTTAGAAAGTGTCCATGATATCGCGATCTGTTTAATTTATCAATCGCTTTTTCAGCATTCTTCAAAGTAAGGAATCCAATACAAATTAAATTATCGTAAAAGATGGCACTGTTTTCAATACTTCCAATGGCCTGAGCATTCAATTCATTCATCACTTGATTGCTGTTAATTGAAAGAGGATAGTTTTCGATTGAAATGAAATACTTTGGTGAACCAGTTGATTTGATCGGCTTTAATACACCATTATTTAACATGAATGTGTAGTCAGCTATTTGCTCAAGTTTAGGAGAGCATGAATTTGCTAACCGAATCAGATGAATTGATGCATTATGAAGCTTCTTCAGATCACTCAAAGTACCATAATAATCAGCATCACCACTTAACAATATAATCGTACATTCTTGTCCAGCAACTTTGACGAATTTTCTCATCAAATCCATTATTTTAATATCAGCGGAATCCTTAACTCCATTATAAGCTTGAACAATATCTACATCAAGATTTACTAACGAATGGCCAACATTAGAAGATAATTTATGAACATCGCAAACACAAAAGAAAAAGATTTCATTCAATTCGTAAGGTTTAATTATAGTTGATCGAATCAGCTTAATGATTGAATTGACTGATTGTCCTCTTGGTATCCCAACATTTTGAATATCCCAAAACACAGCACAAGGTTTACCCATAATTATAATTGCATTTATCACCAAGGCAAATGATACTTAATTGTATAATTTAGACATTAACAACTTCACTAAAGCTAGATTTTACTAGCACAATCAAACATCAACCAGAATTACGATCAATAATCATAATATGGTAACAATAGGGCGTGATTTTGCTGAGCTGGGGAAACTTTCAACAGTTATCTAAACAAAATTTGCCCAGTTTCCCTAACGAATTGGGCTGGTAGGAATATTTTGTTCAATGAGTTTGAAAGTTGTAAAGTCATTTAATTCAGACGCTCAATATTTTATTTAAGGGGGTCAAGTTCCCTATTCAGATTTCAAATCAAAGATTGCAGCTGCAGAATCCATTCGTTTGGTTTGAAAGTAATTTGATAGTTTGAAGATTACGCTAATATTAATACAATAAAATAGATGAGTCAAGATGAATTATTAGATGATTTCGGATGATTTGCTTATAAATGATCAATTTCGATACATTTAGCAACTTGATATTCTCAAGACTAACAAGACTATTGTATTGTAAGAATTTTGTAGTGTATTTCGCAAAGCGTATTGGCATTCCATAGGCGAAAACTCCATAAAAGAATGAGTCTGTGTAGGTAACAATCCGATCAACTTAAGAAAACTTTTTCTACTTGCAATAACTAGCGAAAGAAAACTGAATTGCAGTCGCTAATTTGTTTATTTGTTTTTTTATCACAGAATGAGTAAAGTATCGATAATACGAACTTTACGTCTTCAAGCCCAAGCTAATGCACTTAACTGACAATATCGGCAGGTTGACATTCCAACTGCTTTTCTGTAATTATAATTGAAATGGCCTAATGGCTCAACATAGCGATGCTTTTGCATATTTAAAATAATTTTTGGCTTAACCAATTTAATTGCCAACATTTTAGCCACTTCTGTTGGACTACTTGGGACTGATTGCATTATAACTCCAACTACAAAATCATCTTCATCCTTTTCATGTAACATTTTGAACTTAATTTGTTCGATGTCAGTTTTTGCTTTGGTTCCTTTCTCTAGATCATAAAATGCAACCCAAATTTTATCTTGAAACTCAATGCAAACTGAACAGCCCATTTGTACCAAATGCATTTCGATTACTGAGATCATTCCAGATGTAAACTTGAATTCAGAATCAGTGGATATAATGAATAAATATTGTAGCTTCTTTGCCACTTTTTCATCCAATACATCAATATCTGGTGTCGATTCTGCTTTCGATGAGTACCAAGTTAATCTACCCTCTAGAATATTATTTTGTACGATCTTCTCGAGAACGTTTCGATTGTCGTTGATGGCATAGTACTTTGAGTTGCTGGAAAATGATAAAGGCTGTTGTTGCACGTCACTTGCTCCATTAAACTCGGGAAAATAGGGAACTTCAAAGGATGTTAAGTGATTGATGAAATGACTAGCAGCTAATGCTTCATACCATGAATTGAATATCAATTTGACCTCATCATAAGATGCTGTAGCCGCGAGTGGAATAACTTTGCAAAGTTTTACAACAATTTTTACGATCTGTTCTAGCGATAGTTGAATCCAAGGGCTGCAACAACGGAAGTTTCCATTGACAGTGATATGGGAAATATCTTCAAATCCTCCATGTTCTTGGTATATTCGTGTAAGAGTTATTCGGTCTATGATAAATGGTCTGGTGACTTTCTTCAAACTTTCTAATTGTTTCGAAAGAAATTTTAAATCATGAGCATCACCAATTAAATCTCCAAAATTAATAGATTCCAAAAGTTTATTGGAAGGCTTAGCCATTGAGACATTACTTGATAGCTTGAGACTTGCCAAAAGTCTGAGTACTGTTTTCTTAGAGTTTTTACAAGTAATTTCATCAGGAAAGCCGATCCAAAATTGATTATTACAAAATCTGCTGAAAATACAATCACGATTTCCTAAAATGTTTTGGCACAATTCGGTGAAAGAAGCAGCATGCATACAGTCAACATTTACCAAAAGACAGTGTAAATCAAGTTCTTTATTGAAGCACCAAGGAATTTCGAAAGGATATCGATTCATTTTTATTGTAACTTTCAATTTGCGAGATTCTGATACGTTCACGAATTCTAAAGGTTCTAAATGACGTGAACGCATTTTTTCAAAAGCATCTCGATAATCAGACATAGAATCGAAATGAGCACAGTAAAGATCGCCATCACATATAACCTTTTTTGCTCCCAAATCGTAAAGTTTCTCAAACAGATTATAAAGTAGCGACCATTTGGTTGGTTGGCAATCTAACACATGAGAAATATTATTATCATATCGAAAAAACATCTTCAAATTGTTAACATCTCGAACATTAAGGGTGGGAATGTTTTTAGACACTGCATTTTTGACTATTTTTTTGCATGATTCGTTAGGGTTTAAAGCATTTCTAGGTTTTGCATTTGTTGTTTTTTTCAAGTCTACTGATTCCTTTGATGATTTCGATTTAATATCAGCAAGCGGGTCGATGTTAGGATGATTGATGTTAGTGGAGCTTTGGTTTTGTGAAGTAACTTGCACATCCTTTGCTGAATTTGGTTTAACTGCGTTATCTACCTGTGAACTCGCTTCTTTTGAGACTTTTTGTTCACAAGATTCAACAGTGTATGAGCTTTCGTGATATTTTGATGTCAAATCAACCGGTGGATCAGCAATGATTGCATCTGGATACATTATTTGAACTTTTGAAAGACAATCTTGTGCATCAGATTTGAATGAAAAGACAATCCAGAGAAAGGGTTTCCTTGATAAAATACATTGACTGCCCGATTGTGCCGTACACGCCATACAAAACTTAATAGTTTTGCTAATATCGGTTTCATTAGAATAACTCATCTTGATGAATGTTAATTGTTTAACTTCATCATCGCCTTTCGTCTGCATAGTCACATTAGGTTTAATACATTTCAATATTTCAGTTAGAGGTGAGTCTAATAGCGATTCGGCCTTTAAAAAGTGACCATAAAACCGCGATCCATTAAATTGTTCGATGGCTTTTTCAGCATTCCACAAAGTAGGAAATCCAATACAGATCGAGTCACCAAATAAAGATGCACTCTTTTGAATACTTCCAGCAATCTGGCCATTCAAAGTAGTCATAACAAAGTTAATGTCCATAGTTAGCGGATAGTTTTTGACTGAAATGAAATACATTGGATTACCGGTTGCCTTAATTGGCTTCAATACACCATCAGTTAACATGAATGTGTAGTTGGATATTTGATCCAGTTTAGGTGAAAATGAATTTGCTAATCTAATAAGATGAATCGATACATTATGAAGTCTCTTTAGATCACTCAAAGTACCACAATAATCGCCATCACCACTCAACAATATGATTGTACAATCTTGTCCAGCAACTTTAACAAACTTTCGCATTAAGTCCAATATTTTAATATCAGCGGAATCCTTAACTTCATTGTAAGCTTGAACGATATCAACATCAAGATTTTTTAATGAATTTCCAACATTTGATGGTAACTTTTGAACATCACAAACGCAAAAGAAAAAGATTTCATCCAAATTGTGAGGTTTAATTATAGTTGATCGAATCAGCTCAATGATTGAATTAACTGATTGTCCTTTTGGTACTCCAACATTTTGAATATCCCAGAACACAGCACATGGCTTAGCCATCTTAAAACACTTGATGCATCAAAATTCACTGCTTGTTCTCATTCAATTGATCCAATGAACAGGCGTTAATTGAAAATAACATGTAATCATCTCAGCATCTAATCATCTAGCTACAATTATTATGATAAACACATTCTGTAACTATGGGTTAGTCATGTATCATTGAACTAACCGTAATCTCATTAGTTGATGATCAAAATGTACCTTACCTTCTTGAATCGAAATATAGCTTATAATATTGATGCACGAAAATATCGATTAAATTACTGTGAACTACTCACAGTGTCTATACTATGCTCCAAGTTAAATAGTTCAAAATCGGCTTCAATATTTCTTGATAATTAATTGCAAATGACAAATGAAAAGTTCTTAATTTCAAATAGATCGTAAATAATCACCATTTTTTACTTGTCACTGAAGATGGTCTGAAATTTTAGCCCTGAAAACTTATGCTGTATTAGTTATACATTGCCTTCATTCAGCGGTGGATAGTACATTCATAGCCTGTGTCTGAAATTATATGCCAAATCAAAATATGAAATAATTTGATTTTTAGGAGATAAGAGGGATAAAAGTTATATCTTCGTATAATAAGCTTCTTATTGTATTATACGAATTGTTTGCTGCAACACTTGGAATATTTCTAGGCCAATCTTTACTCAGTTCGATTGCTATTGATAATTTTAATGCGTATCAATAAGGTACTCGTGACTGGCTAATCAATGATTTTAAAATTGAATCTAAACCCAAATATCTACACAAATTAGACGCGAAGTAACATGAAAGATTCGTCAAAATACGAGTTTATTAAGAGTTAGATTTCATTTTAAAAGCAAGTAAAAGAGTTTGAATAACAGTATATTTTGGTTTGCATTCCTACTTCTTCTCTGTGACAATAATTAAAGTGTCCTAAAGGGACATATGGGTGAACATACATTATTTGAACTGTAAATTACCAATTCTAACCTTTGCTATATTTCCTTTATCTAAATCCTCAACTTCAACCCAAATTTTATCTTCAAATTCAATGATAACTTTATAGCCCATTTCAGAAACATAATATATTTCTATCGAAAATGAATTTTTTAATTCCTAAATCATATGATTTCACAAACAGATTATAAAGTAAAGACCATTTAGTTGACAGTGTCTACAGGAAATTCAGCGTGAAAAAACATTGCACTTTATTTTACATTCTTACTCTTACTTTATTCTTGGGACACTTTCAATGGAGTTGCAACTTCTTCAGTATTTTGGACGATTTTGTGTTCAATTTCCTGCATCTTTGCAGCATTAATATTCAAGGAATTGATGCCCGTTTAACAGGTTAATTATAATTTGAAGGAAAAGTCAAGTCTCTCGCTGGACAAAGAGCAGTATTACTCGGTACATATGGCTTTGCAGTATTAGATACGATATTTTGCTCATCACAAAACTGGATAGCATAAGGATTATCTAAACATGGTAAAGTCAGATCTGAAGGTGGCTCAGAAATGACTGCATCTGGATATAATATTTGAACTTTTGACAGACAATCTTTAGCATGAGATTTGAATGAGAAGACAATCCAAAGAGATGATTTCCTTGATAAAATACATTGACTTCCAGTAGGTGCAGTACAAGCGACACAAAACTTGATGAATTTACTGTTATCAACTGAATCGCTTACGTTGAGTATCCTGATGAATGTTAACTGTTTAACTAGTATTTTAAATTCAAGAAAATGAGACTTAATTGTGTGGTCTGAAAATAACTAATTTACCAATGGATGGAACACTTTTAATAAGGTGTGAATTGGTTAGTAAATCAACTGTAAATCAACAATAATGTGTGACTGAATGAAAAATGAAATTTTCAAACAAATGATATAATATCTGTTCAGCAAAACTCTCTTTAAATATCGTGCATGTGTAGCAAAAATAGCTTGTACCCTAG